AAGAGAGAATGGATAACATACTATTGTATGTAGGTAAATGTTAGGGGGATCTTCTACTGGCCGACGAGAAAAGACAGTTCTGGGCCCATGGGGCACTGGACACGTCCTCCAGAAGGGACCGGCGTAACAACACCAAGTCCGCTCTCTTCCTCAAAATCTCCACTCCCGTCATCATAACGCGGGTAGTAGGGACCAGGTACACAACAAAGGCATGCATTTCATCAATACCTTGTCTCCAAATTTATCCATCTTCCAACTTCAATAAAATATCCTCCGCAACCATCCTCAACCAAATACCTCCTCCTCACTTGCCATCACGGCCACCCCTCCTTGGGGCTTCGAAACTTCCTCCGCCTCCTTCTTCTTCTTGTTCTTCTCCCGACGACGATCACCCCGACGGACCGTCTCCGAAGAACGGTCACGACGAACCCGAGGCGCCGGCGCATGAAAGGGGCGCCCAGTTGACGCCTCTTGGCCTCACGCTCCTCCCAACGACCCTTCAACACTTCCAAAGCGTCCGGATAGAACTGGTCAGGAGTGATGCCAGCCTGCACCGACATGAACTGCTCGGCTGCAGCCGCGGCCATGGCCGGATCCAAACCCAGCTTCACGTGCGCTTGAACCAAAGCATCACGACGAGCGGGCAACTGACGATGGTGTTCGGCAAAAATGGATGGCCAAGGACTCACCTCACGTTTGTCTCGCACCCGCGTCATACGTTTCCCCACTCGATGGTTTGAAGGAAAAGTTCAAGCGGTTCGTGAAAACGCGGCCAGGGCATAGTGTAGGATTGTTGTCGGCGCTGTCAAGAATTGGCCTACCCTGGAGAAGTGCTCGTTATAGCGGGCGCCCCACTACCAATTCGATCTTCCAGTGGACGTCCATGCGGGCTGAATACGTTCTCCCAAATCATAGGTCTCCGGGAGGCGAAAAGCCTCCCACAGGTGCACGTGGATTGTTGTCGGAGATCGCGACTGGAACATGCAGTCTGAGGCACTGGGAAACCTAACCCCTGAACAGGAGCGAAGACTTGCTGCAAGGAGCAGGACCCACTGGCGTTGAGACAGGCTTGGGCTTAGTGGCAGGTTTGCGTGGCTCTGGCACTGCCACTTCTACAACTTTGGGTGCGGGCTTGGCCTTGGGAGCTTTCACTTTCTTGCCCCATGAGCCACTGCCACTTCTACACCTTTGGGAGCGGGCTTGGCCTTGGGAGCTTTCACTTTCTTGCCCCCGACTGAGCTTTACGCACCAGCTATCGCCTTTTCTTGGTGAACCGACTCTTGGCTCTTGCGCGGAGCAGCCGCGACCGCGGGACACCCAGGAGTGGGGCCTGCCACGACTGGAAGTTTCAGGCGTGGGAACCTCCGGAGTCGAGACAGATGCAGGAGGAGGAGACTGAAGCAAGGGAACCTGAGGGTGAAGCTGATTCCCACGGCGTCGAGCGGTCTGTACATGCGAGTGAGCCAGACCAGCCGCGGCGCAGGAACAGCTGGAGACGTCACGTAGATGACGCCAGGTTCGCCCGACGGCGGGAACGGTCATTCGGGCGGAGGAGATTCACCCCACCACCACGGGCTCCTCGTCTTCGTCCGTACGCCTTCTTCCTCGAAGTCCTCGTCGGACCATCATCATCTCCTCCTCTTCTGTCATCATCGGACTCCAACAGGCATGGAACCCGGGGGACAAGTGGCGGCGGTTTGTCATCATCGTCGGCGATTCCTCTTCCATAATCCTACAAGGTTGGAGCTATCAGAGGACGGCCGTGGATTGTTGCCCGAAGGGAGCGGCGTAAGCTTCAGGAGCGCATCTCGGTAGGAGGCCGCGCAACAGTTCATGGCAGCACGTTCATTCAGGGGCAAAACTTTCAAGGAACCGTTGCTAACAACTTCAGCTAGGACACCAGTGGGACTTTCGGAGTAGCAACTGCACTTTGGGCTGCTTCGACATTTTTGTGAGCACCAAACAACTCACTGCTTGCACCACGTGGAGACACCCTTGCCAACCTGCTTATGCCATCAACTCCTCATCTCCACTCAACGAAACTGTTTCGCTACGAGGACTACATCACTGGGAGAGGTTTCGGTGGAATCCATTAGGTCAACAGCAGAAAAAGTACACTAGATACGGCAAGCGATGGAAGTATAGATCCAACTACTCATCACGCTGTCCCACGAGAGTTCGCGTTGGATAACATCGAAAGAACTCTCGGTTGGCCCGCTCACATCGGCGAAAAATTATTTATGTCGGATTCTCAGCGAAGAAGCTCCCGTTGGACACGGCACGACTGGCATCCAATTATTTAAAGAACACCACTTACCGCGCGTCAACCGCGCTGAGACGGGTGGCCCCAGACCATTCAATCCTACGTTCACACCAAGTGCCGGTCTTCACTTTACTAAAAACGGAACATACAACTGCAATCGAGCTCCCCAACACCAACACCTATCCAACCATGAGCGACTCAGAGACATGGTACGATAACTGTGACGACTTGGAACTACTCACCGACACAGGTCCAAGAATCTCAGACTCGGTACACCCGTCAAGACGACCTGGCGTTCCTCACTGCACGAGTGGCCAAGTTACACTGAAGCCAAACTGCGGGGGCAACACCACTAACACATCCGCAGCAACACACCGGCTCAGCCCCGCAGAAGCGTGCCTTCGTCAAAACATACCGCGAGTGGAAGAAGGTGACCGCATCATCTTATCTCCGCAACGACAGTACAACGGACGGAAGGCTACCATCCAAGAGCCGCCTGGCAGATGGCCGTTCTGGACATAAGTGGACCCCAATGTGCCTGGCGGTATTCAAATCGACGTAATACAACCGACACCTGGCTTCGCTTGATGAAAGCAGGTAACTCTACGGCCGGTCGCGGACATAAAAACCAGCAACAACAAACAACTAGCAAGGCACAACAGCAACACGCAAGCTCGCGCACCGTCCCTGCATCGGCGGCGTAATTGGCCGGCTGGCCGGCCGCACGGGGATTATCTATGGTTCATCATGAGGTCTGGCTCCGACGGAGGGTAAAGATGGATGAAGTAGGTCTGTCTGTGATACATGCAGAGGCCTCTCTGGTATTACAGGGCCATTGCCTTTTCCAGGATCCTAGTCTGGAGGGAAGGTTTACAACCTCTATTAACCCATATTGACATGATCTGCTATAGTCTACTAGCTCTCCTTGACCTAAAAGTGGAATCCGCCCACCTTCCAGACAGGGAATAGAATATCTACAGAACGGAGAGTATAAGTTAACAGGGAGCGACCAATAAGGGAGACTGACGGACATGAATCCGGGAGAGCCACTCAATCCAAGAATGAGGTGGTGGACTGAAATGTCGGGTGCACAGGTGGAGTGCCTATGTGGTGTTGATACTAGCTAGAAGACTACTAATCGGGTCGTCTACAAATCAGGTTCATCTTTTTCTGAACCAGAAGTTGCAGCGCCCGACACAATGTTTCTTTTTCCCTTCCCTCCCCCAGGGAATTGGATGGAATAGGTCTGTCTGTATACATCAGCAGGCTCTCTGGTATAACCAGGGCCATTGCCTTTGCCTGGATCCTAGTCTGGAGGGGAGGTTTACAACCTCTATAGACCCATATTGACATGATCTTGCTATAGTCTAGTAGCTCCACTTGACCTAAAAGTGGAATCGTAGCTCTCACAAAACTTTCAACCTCCATCCCGAATCGATTGAATCAATCCCAACCAAAATCGGGCTCGCTGCTTTCACACAGGAAGCGGAAGACAACAACGTAACAAGAAATCCTTCATGATCAGCCAGTACCAGTAACAACACTTGTTGGTGGCCCATTGGAGATCAAGAAGAAAGGCTAAGCAGAGAGCACCAGCAGTTCTATGCATAGCCATAGCTAGCTACTACTGTTGTGGAATAGCAGGCTATTACTCCCACTGCCAGGCACACCCCGTACCAGAAACCCGTTGCACACCTACCTGGGAAATAGCGCTACAGCGTAGCTAGTGGGAGCAAAGGAGAGGTACCGTACGGTAGCAAGGTGAACATCCAGACTCCAGCAAGCAAGGCAAGAAGATTCATTCTCATTCCTAGCCTGGTTGATCCTTGTGTCAAGAGCCAGATAGACTACTGTAATCTAGCTACTGGCAGCTACAGACCAGCACCTTTTGAGAAGGTTGAGTCACGAACTGGACAGTCACTACCTAGCCCTAGTGTGGCTCCTTGACAACACTGAAGATCCTAGTTGGTTTGCACAAGAGTCTATCAAATTGGGGAAAACAATCCCAAGCCAACCTGATCACTTCCTACACACACAAAAGCTACACAAAGCTACCAAAGCCATACAGGTAGCCACCAACGCAGAAACCTTGTATACGCGTGAATAGTATGCCATCATCAAAAAGGAGCTGTAGGCGTAACTTGCGCCATCTCCAATGGATGTTGCTGATGCTACTATGCATCCTCATGAACGCCAGAGCAGAAGACTTTGTCAAACCAGACCACTATGCATATCCATGTGACGAGTCCAAGTGCCGGGGGACTCGAGCTCATCCCTGGGTGGACAATGACACTGAATACACTTGCTGGGTAGCGCAGAACGTGGAGGAATTTGATCTACAAGATCTAGCACGGGCCTACTGTGCCGATGACTATGTTGGAAGACTCGTCACGTCCGTGCCGCCCATGCAAGTCGACGGAGAAATGAGAAACTGGTACACTTGCTGTCCCGTCCAATACACGGGCCCCGTCACGGACACATGCAGTGATACAGCGTGTTCCAGCCCCGATTGGGAGGGCGGGGGAAACTGTTGGGCCGATGGATTCCAAGAACCCATGTCCTGCGGAGATTCCAAGTTTAGGCATCCACGATATACAGGAATGATGAGCCTCATTTACGTACAGTACTTGTGCTGCGACGCACCAGAGGCCAACGATCCATTCATGGATGAGCTATTGCTCGCACGCATCATTTGGATGGTACTTTCCTCCATCACCTTTGTCGTATGTTCCGTATTCATTGCTGGGATTCTCATTTCCTCCCGTGCAAGATCGCAAGGATACAATCTGTACTTGGTATTCTTGGCCACACCAGATGCCATTGCCAACCTCTTGATACTTGTACGAAATGCTCTCACCATCAAGGGGGCGCCAGTCAGTCCCACTCTATTTGTCCTACTTGCCTCCTTTGAGTACTTTTATGCAGCATCAAACATGTGGCTCAATGGAGTCATTGTCTACCAAATCCACTACGTGCTGCAAAAGAGCAATCAATTCGTCAAGGTCCCACCACCAACCGTTCAACACGTCTGCAAACAAGTCGCGGCCACATACTTTGTGGCTGCACTCTTCTTCGGATGGGCCATGTTCTTGTATCTACGAGGACTGGTCGTCTTCTCCTTGTCGACCGTCGTCAACGTGTGGATTGGAACACGTGTTGTCATGGTGGCCCCGCCCTTCTTTTATGTATCCTACGTTGGCATCGACGTATGGTACCGAAACCTACTTCCAGCTTCCGGACGAACCAGAGTCCTGTCCCTCTACTTCTTGCGAGTCATTATCGTCTTCATGTTGACTTGGATCCCATACTTTATCATCTACGAGATTGCGTGGAACGTCACGCATTCACGTTGGATGGTCCATTGCTCTTATTACTTGGGCTCTCTGCAAGGACTTGTATCGGTTGCAGTGGCCATGAGTAAACCAGACGTCAAACGAGCAGTGTTGAGGTTTCTCAATTGCCAGTGCCGCACTCCCGACATTGCCGGTCCCGAAGGTGGAGCTTGGGGCACCACTTCCAGGACACAGCATCAGAGCATTTTTGCCTTTAGTCGAATCATGGGATCTGGCCATCTGGGTATCCGATCAGCGACGTTCAACGTTTCCGACAGCAACCCTCATCGGTCCACGGAATTTTCCCTTGGAAACTCACAGGATGGGGGTCTTGTACAAATTAGAAGAGAAGGAGAAGATGCGCTGTCAGATGGCAACGTTCTGGCTGGTGCAGGCGCTGTAGGGTTCACACCGAATCATACTTTGAGCGTCTGGGATCAGGAAGATAAATGGGACGATGGCGAAGACGCCGAAGATATGGCAATCGCGATTGCAGGGGAAAACAAGACCGCAGTAGCCGCCACAGGTATTCCTGACAAAACAAACTTGGTCACTCATCAGGAAAACACCCAGGAAGATCTATGGAAAGATCATGGCGATGAAGGGGAAATGGCAAAGGAACTTGCAAAGGAAAACGAGGCCGCAGTTGCCGCTACGACCACTAATACTTCTGAAGCGAGTCCTGTTGCTGACGACAACAACGACTCTTTTAGAAACGAGTGAATTGAGTTACTGAATGCAATGGAAGTCTACGCGGGATGCTGGTTTACGACAGCTACATGTACAATGGACCGGTGCTCCTCTGCCTTGTTTGTCAGACTGAGACAAGATACATAAGAGATGGAAAGCCAATTCGCGTTCTGGCCAATCCAGATTCGCCCCTCTTTCAGTAAACGATCTCATGCCTCCAGAAAGCGAAGAGAAACATAACCGCATTGCTCTACCTTTGTTTATCCGAGTCGAGTCGAGTCGAGTCGGTCAGTACCAACAGCAATCGGTCACGCTTCAATCAGTCTATATCACATTCTTGAACACGGTAGCAACGTACCGTATCTGCAAGCATCAATGAACAATAACCTCAAACGTTGACCTCGTCTATATTCCACAGATTCTCCTGGTTTCGCCCCGTTTTCGAGGTTTCTTGACTGTGACGTTGACACGTTGCGATACCGATCGACGCTCTCGAATGAAGCCTACCGATTCGCTGTCTCTTGTCATGTAGCCACCACAACGAAAGTGCAAGACAGCGTCATCTAACTCCAAATCTGGATCAAGCGGATTGTCGCCCTTCTGTGGTTTGGGCATTTGCATGACACTAGCACTGTCTACTTCTTTGCCCATGCTTCGGGCGGGTGACCAGGGTTTGGGATGCCAAGCAAGGCAATGGCCATGGTGTACAACAGGAAGTTTCGTGTAAAGCCCACACGTTTTAGAGGCCCCACTGCCACCTCTTCAAAAATTGACGCAGCATGGCATACGGTATCAGGCAGGACTCACGTGACGCCGTACCTCAAGCGCCTCGCCCATTGATACAATTGCAGTCCCCAGTCCAGCCAACCAACGACTCCAAAAGCCAAGCAAGATGCCCACTGCAGCAGAGCCCATCAGCAACAATTGTGGGCGGGTGAGCCAATCATCAAAGGGGTGGAAATGCGCACCATCCTTGAGTACTATGTATTACTGTGATCGAACGCATGCTTGGACGTCTTCAGAAGTGAATCTTTATGGGGACGAAAACAAATAATGATGATGGCTTACATAGATTTTGTTGAAGTAACATGTATCTGCTTCATGCATTGTTGCGATACTTTTCTGCGTCCTTGTCGTCTCATGCCAAACCTAACTAGCTAGCTGCCTTGCCTACCGTAGCCAGCTGAGTGGACAGCTCGATGCTCTTCGTGCCCGGGACTTGCGTGTGATGCGCATTGTCTGCAATGGAAGGAGCACGTTCCGGTGCTGGTACGGTAGCTCGGATAGTCGCTCTACACGTACGTGTACAGTGAGACGGTGTCAGTCTTCTGTCCAACCATGTGGCTGACGAGCAACTATGGTATCTACCTAGCTAGCTAGCACAGTTAGGTCAGTCTGCTCCGAGTCGAGCCCTCATTCCGGATTCATCATTCGATTCGATTCCAGCTGTCACGAACGAAAAGCATTCCGAGATTGAGAGCCAAAGCATGCCCCGTGTTGTGTTAATGATAATAATAATGTGCATTAGTGAGTGAGTGGTAGTATTGGTTCGTTGTTGTTGTTTTTGATACATCATAGTAGATAATTTGTTGGATGGATGGACGAGTGAAGAGCTAGCTTTGCCCCAAGCAAGGCACTGCAAGGAGTGTTTAGTTTGGGCATGACACTCGAGGTACTTTAGTAGCGGACAGACAATTACAAGATCACGGTGGTTGTTTGTTTTGGTGGTTGTTTTGTTGTTTTACAGATCCTTTGACTTTTGTTGCCATGGTCTTCGTTCCACAGTAGGCAAGGGGATCCCTGCCGCCCTGTCCTTGTCACGTCGTGCCCTTCCGTATTCCCATGCCGCAGTGGCTCGTTTTCGGTTGTATGCCAATCCGACAAAGGCGAGAGTATCAATAATGATTTTTCCAGGATTGTATTGAGCAAATCCTCCAAACTCGGAAGCGGCGTAGTCGTATGGATACTTGTGGTGCCAATTGTGCCATCCTTCACCTCCACTGAAGAAAGCCACAATGGAATTTTCAGCGGGATAAGAGGCGGTATCGTAGGGATGATCTCCATAGAGATGAGCAGCGGAATTGACAAGCCATGTGTTGTGGAGCACGAGTACATATCGCAGGAATCCCGCGACAAAGAGTGCATTCCAAAAGTTTTCTCCCCAACCGTAATGAGCGACTTGAGCAGGCCAAATGAAGCACAAGTACATGGATAGGTAGGGATCCCATTTTTTCTGGAACATGACAACGGGATCTTCAAAGAGATCGGAGAGATCGATTTCTCGTCCTGCCTTTACGACATCTGGATGTTTCTTGACGAACAACCAGCCCATGTGGGCAAAGAAGAATCCTCGAGTGGCGTTATGCGGATCGGCATGTGTTTCACTGAATTTGTGATGAACCCTGTGGTCTCTTGCCCAGTGAAAGATGGATCCCTCGTTGGACATGGATTGTTGGAGCATTAAAACTACCCTTAACACAAAACCAGCTTCATAAGATCTGTGTGCCCAGAGTCTGTGGACTCCCACTGTGATCCCCATGCCACTTATAGGCCACATCAGCCAAGCCCAAATCAGAGTATGAGACTCACAGAGAGGAACATACCAGACTAGTCCTATCACTGCCAGCAAGTGACACAACCCTATATACACTATCATGGGCCAATTCAGATTCCCATTCTTGTAGTGATCACAAACCAATGAAGGGATATTCAAGAGACATTCAGTAGAGAGATCCATCTTGCCAATAGCAATAGATAACAATAACAATAACAACAATAGAGAATAAATGAGAGGAAGGGTAGCAATTTTATTAAGAAGGGTAGATCTAGCAAAAAATGAAGTAGCACCACATGGGCCACGTCTAAGCTAGCTTTTGTGGTTGCGATTTGTTTAGCTCGGCTCAGATTGGACCAATGCGATCGATCATTCAACGGAGTGGGCGCCATTTTTTCAACACATCTTTTCCTCTTCGTACAATTCAGTACAGTCTCTACGTGATAGTCGCCGTCCCGCCTTTTTCAAATATGCTTTGGCGGAATCAAAGGGCGACATCATCAGAGATTTATTGCTCCACACATACATGAAACTGACACTGCGCGATAGATAGAAAGGCAGCAAAGATGATTAAACTGTGAACGGGCTGTCGACTTCACACAGGTTCGGGATCCCCCTCCCACGCGTTAACCTAGACTACGTACACCATGTACGAACCGCTTGGCTGGACCAGCCCCCACAAGGCCAACAATGGGTACTAGTAGCTCTAGTAGCTAGAGGTCCGGTACGTACGATGTACCAGGGTTGGATTGACAAAGACTTGAGCCACACCATGTACCGGTACGTGTACCAACCAATAGCTTCCTTGCAGGATACAGATAAAGCGGTAGATCATTGAACTCGTGGGGACGGACAATTAAGCCAAGCAAGTTCAGCTGTGTTCTTTTTGGTCGGGCTCACAAGCCAAGTTCAGCGGTCTTCAAAGTTCTTCTTGACCGGGCTCACATCCGTACGGTATCCTATCCCGTGGCATGGCTTGGATCAGCAGTCTCGAGTTTTGATTTGCAGGTTGAGTTTCAGTAGCAGGTAGTGGTGTTGGCGGGTCAGTCGCTCTTATGCAGTACTACATGATGGACGCCCACTGCAACTATTGCCACTAGAATAATGTACGAGAAGACCAGCTCGATCGTCTTTCGGAGTTTATTGATTATTGATTATTATTAGTCGTTTAGCTGGTAGCGGATTGCCATATACCATACCTACCGTATTGCTTGTGCACTTCCTGTACCGGTACTTGGAGCCATCCAGGAAGGAACCATTTCCGTCCCATATACCAGTATACACCACCATCATGCAGACCATGAATGCCAAGCCAGCTATGTACGGTACATACCGTAGCTAGAAGTGACCCCTGCTATACAGGTTATCGTCGTCCGGTCCTGCACCCATCACTCCAAGTACGGAGGAATCACTCCACTCAAAATCCCATAAGGAGTCAGAGTCCTCCATCAACGACGATCGAGATTTAGGGGCCAGCAACGGCAGTAGCAGTCCCTTTTTTGCCCCCACTTTAGTAGTGTCAATAATAGTCTGCTTTTCCACCTTGTCGACCATGATTGCTAGCAGATCATAGTTGTCGGCATCATCATCATCATCATTGTGTTGATCCACCAGAGCAATCACGTCACTTTTGTTGGTGTTGGTGTTGGAGTTGGTTTTGCTGCTGTTTTGGCTGCCGCCCCTTGTACTGCTGCTATCGACAGTCTCTCTTCTTTCTTCGAGCACATATACAACGTCATTGTCGTCCATAGTGTCATCTCGGTTGTGGCATGATTCGGCGACTCGCTGTAATGTGCTCATGAGTCTCTTTCGGACCTTGCTCTTGACGCGCTTGGGTTTTGGTTTTGCCGTCTTTTCTTGTGGTTTTTGTGGTTTTTCTTGATGTTGCTGCTTACCATTTTCATTTTCTTCCGTGCCCTCCTGAACCCTTTTTGACTTCACCATATCGGGAGTATCCTCTCGACCCACATCGTTGCCTGCTTCTTTGATAGCATCTGCTACTACTGAAATGTCGTCTCGTGCATCGTGGTCCGTTTCATCTACATGTATGTGTTCAGATGGATCTTCTTTCATGCTCAAATCTCCTCTCTCGCTGCCATTGTCTGTGCAGTCGCATTCGTCATCGTCAAAGTCCCAGTCGAAGTCATCGCTGTCATCGTTTTCGTCGTCGTCGTCGTTATCTTGCAGAAGTACGGCGTGGACCAGATCCTTCATGGATGCTTTTCCAAAACTAAGGTCACTTTGCTCTGTCTCTTCTTGGGTTTCTTCTTCTAGTAGATCTTCTTCTTCCAGTGTCTCCGTCCCCTCGGCGACAGTTTGGGTATCCGTTTCCGTGACCGTGACAGTGGCGATTGTGGATTGTCGGAAAACAGCAGTAGTTTCCACTTGGGGTGCATGTAATGTAATTGAAGGCTGCACAGCTCGGCCCTGGACCATACTAACCAGGTTGTTTATCTGATCTCGTTGCTGCTGTTTGCGTTCCCTCTGAAGCTGCTCGGATAGCTTTGCTTGTCTGTTTTGGTAAGCAATGATTCGCTGCTGAATGAGGCATTTTGCTTTTGCTTTATCGTGTAGCTGTTGCCACTTTCCAGGTGTTGCTTTGAGAATCTCTTTGCTCATCGAGTAGCGTTCCTTGGACATGGGCTTTCCTAGAAAGATGGATCCAATTTCGTCCTGCGAAGTTCCGGTACACTCTGACGGCGCATCTGTGGTTTCTTCGTCTACTTCTTGGACCTCTTCTAGTCTGGCAAAGACGAGTCTCTTTCGGCGACGGTTGTTCACTGTGAGTGTTTTATCACAGTCTTCCTCGTGTTGCTTTCGGGAAAGATACAAATCTTCTTCTTCTTCGTCGTCGTCGTCGTCGTCGTCTTGGGAGGTCTCAGTGAGGTCTTGGCACTCGTAAAAGTCACCACCGCACGTAAGAAGCTCTGTCTCTTCGTCCACAAACGCCTCCACCATGTGCTCGAGTAGCGCCATGGTCGCCGTTCAGCTTTCAACTTTCAAGTGGCTTCAGACTTTCAAGCAAGCAATTCAAGTTCTTCCAAGTTGCTTGCTGCTGCTAGCTAGTACAAGCTAGTGGTACCAATCCAGTGATGTTCTTTAAATTACAGTACTGGTATGGCCTTAGTCGCGACGGCATAACAAGAAAACTGAGCCTGAAGCATGTGCTTCCCTTAACGTTAAGCTTATGAGCTCTTGGTGGTCACTCCAACTCACCTGGGCCTTGTAGTGTAGCCTGCAAGCTCTTGTGATCAGTTGGGATAAGCACAAACTATGGGCAGAGCGCAGCTATGGTGCGTCAACGCTTGCCATGGAAGCAAAGTCTTACTCTGGCATCCTGGATCATTGCGCACTTCAAAGGTCCTAACGCATTGCAGCAGAGTGCATGCTTTCCTTCCAAGTTTTGCGTCCGCTCTCTCGCAAGCAAGATGGGTGTGAGCGGAGGCAACGGATCTTTTGTAAGAGCTTTGAACTTATCAAAGGAAACCAGCCATTAATTCATTTGACGAAAGACCCCTGCCCCTTTCCTTAGAGGGGGACAGTTGACGGGCTTCACAGCCCGAACCCTACATTTTGTGTCCAGTCCTAATTGCTTAGTTAGAAGGTGGATCAAGCGGATACTGGTAGCTTTGCCAACATTTTGTCCCGATAGACTATCAAATCAGACTCTTCGTAACAGCAGAATATGATGCGAAATGGCACTGTAGGATGGGTTTCCTGCAATGCTGAAGATGGTTGTTGTGATGGCGGAGGAACCAACCGTCTTTTAGCCCATTCCATACAAGCTTCCAGGGCTACTTCAGCGGCCTGATCCACGGGGATGAAATGGGATCCACAACCTAGATTGCAAAAGGCAATACTACTGGCTTTCAGAACATCCAGTGCCATATCCAAGGCATGTTTATAGCATTGGCTCAACAGATCTTGCGATAAAAGGCTCGGAGATACCGTATGGATCACATACTGACAGGGCAGCCCAAAGCCTGGGGTGGCAATGCAATCACCAATTAGGGGATCTAGATCCAACGTATCATTGGAATCGTCTTTGGAGGACTTGTCAATCGCCGTTTGGGATCGTTTCATCTGCATACTAGTAGTAGCTTTGACTGCTTGCTGACAAGCCTGCTTCATGGCATCAGGACCTGCTTTTCGATGAATCGAACCGTTGATGCCACCGCCACACGTGAAGGATCTATTGGCAGCATTGACAATGCAATCCACGCGGAGAGTGGTCAAATCGTCCCACACGAGGGAAAACGTGTTGGCAAGCACAGCAGTCCTTGAGTCTGTCTTTTGGTTCTTCTTGGTTCGTGTTTCCGGTTCGCATGGCACCGTACCGGTAGGCACGCCAACTCCCTCTCTTCCTTGGAGCCTTGCGAGTATGGATTGGGTTTCCTTCCATGTTGGAATATCGCTAACTTTGGTGACCTCATAGGATCCCTTGGGCGAAAAGAGGAGTTTCTCGAGGCGCGATAGTGCTGTGCTGGAAGAAGAAGCCATAGAAGAACTCATTGTGCTGCGTGAACTACATGTAGTGTGAGCTGAGGGAGACCAAAAGGTCCCAGATCCAAGACTAAGTGGCCCATAACCGTGTCGTGTTTCAGCTGATATTCTAGACTACATGTACCGTATGGTTTGAGGGCCATTGAGGATGGCAATGATTGCTGGTCATGCAACGCACGGCATCCTGAACCTGAACCGCCATTTCTGGTGTATCAACACACACGGTGTTTTGTTTTTCTAGTCCATCAAGGAGGATGCTTAATCATTCTTTCGACCTTGGCAAGTACTCCAGCTTTCTTCCTATGGACGGTGAGACCGGTACCAAGGCATCGTTGCCACAATACCCGTATGGTAGCTTAAGTTAAAAAGTAGTAGCCAAGATTGAAGATTTGAAAGTGAAGCGTCTTTCTTTTCCGCTTCACTGGCTGGCATCGTGCCCTGGCTCGGGTGCGTATCGACCAGGCAGGCGTGCCATTGTCAAGGGTGCAATATTTATTTATGTCTCATACTCTCATACATCGAAGATTTTCCACCAGTCCACCAGTTCCTGTTCATACAGGTAGTTCTTACCAATGATGCTTAACAAATCGGATCCTCGAAGAATCATAGACACTGAAACCCGTTTGACATAAATCTTCTTATGTCTTCATCTAATAAGTACGAGACCCAATTAAGTCTAGCCTAGTTAGTGTAACAAAGTGTGTTGGCTGTTGGCTGTGAATCATTGAGTCCACGATCCATCAGCGGAACTCTTTCCAAATCCCAACGTGCGCCTCGCAAAACTCCTCTGGTCATCGCTCATTTTTTTCTCGTCTTTCACAACTTCACAACAACCACAGCAACAGCAACAGCAACACCTGCAAGCACAGCAACAGCAACAGCAACAGCAACAGCAACACCAACACCAACAGCAGCAGCAGCACAGCGACAACGAGTCTCCGCAACTTGCTCAGTCAAGTCAAGTTATCAAGTATTGTCAAGCCAAGATGAAGCAACTTTCAAGTTCCCCTTTATCCCTTTTTGTGTCTCCCAAGATGTCTATAGTGGCTTCAGTGGTGTCTTATTCGCTTTGTTCAGGTAGTTTGGTGTTAATGAACAAACTGATACTGCACCGTCTGCCCTACCCAAGCTTGGTGATAACATTCCAGTTGGTGGCAGCTTTGAGTTTCATCAAAACTGCAGAAGCGGGAGGTTTTATCCAAGTGGATCCCTTGAAATGGGAATATGTGGTTCCTTACCTGTACTACATTGTGGCCTTTGCCCTGGCAGCATACTGCAATATGCGGTCTCTAAGTGTTTCAAACGTTGAAACTGTCATTGTCTTTAGAGCACTCTCGCCCTGTGTCGTGGCCTTCTTGGAAGCATTCTATCTGGGCAGAGAATACCCAAACAAACGAGGATGGGCGGGAATTGCTCTCATCGTTATGGGCGCTTATGGGTATGCTAGCTATGATCAGGAAGTCAAAACACAGGGATTGACTGCATACTTTTGGCCTCTTTGCTACTTGGCTGTCATTTCTTTTGTTATGGTAAGTCCAGCCAAGTGCAAAGTGCAACTTCTACCCATAAAAAACAGATGGCCAATGCTATTTATTTCTAACATTGTTTCGTTTTGTACAGACATATGGCAAAAAAGTTATCCAAAGTGTCGATTTGAAAACTCAAAGTGGGCCTGTCTTATACACCAATCTACTAAGCATTTTTCCAATGCTCATGTTTGCAAGCATTGACAACGAATTCAGCAAATTCAACACTGAGATCCTTGCCAACAAGGAATATGAAATACCTGAGGGAACCACTGCCCTCATGCTCATGGGATGTGTTGTGGGAATTGGAATTGGATACAGCAGTTGGTGGTGCCGGGATCAGGTTTCCGCTACCAGTTTCACCATTATCGGGGTCATGAACAAATGCCTCACAATACTCATGAATTTCATGGTTTGGAGCAATCATGCCAGACCGGCGGGAATTGCATGTCTCCTACTCTGTCTTGCTGGTGGAGCCATTTACCAGCAAGCACCTATGCGAACAAACACTAACAAACACTACAAACTATCACCCACTGGCGATAGAGACGACACTGGCAACCACACTCAACAACCAGATGCAGCATTAGATATCGAAGCATCCAACGAGGATGTGCCAGGAACCACCGAAAGTAAGGAACATCACCGAACCCCAAAAACATTGTAACATAAAACACGAGAGGATGTGGCAGGAACATTTGAAAGCAAGTCGACTAAGGAAAATCACCGAACCCAAAAAACATGTACACTCAACCTAAACGATCGGCCAGATTATCTTCAGCTGGTTGTTTATTTTTTAAAACCGCCTACCTAACTCTCATGTAATTAATAACGCAACATCTTAATAGTTAGTTTACTCAACCGATGAATGTTTCGGGCCAGACGTGGACGCAAGAGACAGCGCCAAGGATGCGACCGACAAAGCTGTATCAAGTCAGGCCAAAACGATGAGATCCTCTCGAAGGTACCGGTACTCTCGTAACGTTACTTGGGAGGCTCAGTCGTCCAGTGCTTTGCTCTACCGATACTATCATAGCTGCAGTAGTCGTTGGGCAACTGTGCCTCTGTCCGATTGCCACGACCACCCACCCACCGACTTGTCGTACCTGGTATCATACACCGTACTGGCACGTTGCTTACCTTGCACTTTCCACTGCCATCGACGAGTTGTAGCGGGCCTCCATGGTGCGGTACGGTACCGGTACGGTACGGTACGGTACAGTAGTACGCAAAAGTCGTCTCGGAGTGACAGGCTCAGTCTCATTAGTTAGATGACCTACCGGTACCAGGCAGACGGAATGAATACTGTACGCGATGGCTATCACTCACCTCCGTTTTCGTCACGGTTCATTTACTTGCTTGCTGGCATCGGAGCCTCATTTCATTTCATTTCGTTCCATTCCATTCCATGCATGCAGCCAATGCTCTCCCGATGCCGGGGCCAACATTATCATCACAATGTCCAAATGAAACCTGCAAAGACGACTTTGCAAATAAAACCCAGACATTGCAACGATAATGTTCGCTCCGTGCACCACAAAAACACAACCATCTGCGGTCTCTTGCGTACTAGTATTCGCCCGTCCTTGCCAACAGTACTCTGCCATGGCGAGTGCATTTCTGGCGGTGCGTTTTCGAAGAAATGGAGTCGAGCCTACTCGTAATCGTGGCATTTTCTATCCTCTGGCAGTCAGTTCATTGAAGTGGCGCTCTAACCATTCAATCAAGCGAGGACTGCCCGGTCAGGGGAGATGGTGACTTTCAAGCAACCATTGGCCGATGGCTTAACATGCAGGTTCTACGAGCAGCTTCGATTTATCTGATTCAAACGCGTGCCAGCTTTTCTTGTACACTTCTACGAGTGCTGGTGTAGAAATGTACGAAGAAGATCGGCTCGCGTTTGAATTAATAGAAACGAAGCTGCCTGTAGCTAGTATAGATACTATCTACTCCGTGGTTGTGAGTGGGTTTCATTGTACCGGTACGGTAGCAATGGTTACTGGAGCAGCAGCGGCACCTCGCAGCCATCGTTCGTTGTACACAGCTACGACAGACACGGGAATTTAGCCAACCGGTCCTGGATGCGTCCAAACGATTGATCATGGGCGGAGGACGTGTTTTCACTTTCTCCACCAGTCTGTTGCCAGATTTCAGTTTGTGCGCCTGAATCAATGGATGACAGTCAGTTGGTTTGCTTTGTCTCTCACTAGCACTAGACTCCAGATGGTACCATGGCATCACCCATGTGGCCAACTGTACCTGGTCCGCAGAGGCTATAGTAGAGCCAATGTTGTTGCTGTGACAGGCCAAGGCTCCCCCAGCGATTGTGTCGCCAGCATGGACGCTGATGTCCCAGGTCTGCTTGCGAATTTTACAAGGTACTGATGTTTCACAGTGCTCATCAATAGGCATGGTCGGTACCATTTCCACTCCACAAGAGGAAAGAAAAATCTGCCAGCAACAAGAAATCAAATCCAAAAAGAAAGAGACAAGGTTGCAGCCACGGCATCACAACATCGATTGCCAAGCATCGTTAAAGTAAGGAGGCTGAAGGCTGAAGGAGCTGGTGCGTGTTAGTATCTAGCTAGCTATTATTGATAGCTACCGGTATACCCATACAGTAGCAAGGTAGAAGGTAGCTAGTGTATTTGATCAGTCAGCCGGCCAGGTACCAGGTACTTAGTCATTGTACTGCATACTGCATACTATAGTGTACGATGTTGGTGCTTGTGCAGAACGATCCCGGCAGCCGGTCAAGTGGTTATGTAGGTATAGTTCTCTGTGGATCCTTGGTGTTGATGCACACCATGGGAAGCGAGATTCCCTGGGCTATGACCATGGCTGCCTTTGTCCCTTGCTTGCTGGCAGCTGTGGGAGTCTTCTTAGTGGCGCTTGTAGTGGACGTGGACTGTTTGCAGACAAACAATGCAAATGGCAACCCAAATAGGAACACCATCACCAACAGTGACCCGCCAAGGGCGCAGGCAACGCTAGCTTCCAGAGCCAACGGCTTGAACAGACAACCGCTGGTACACGTTTCTTCACAGGGTACCATTGGGAATAGTACTATTGGCAGTGTATCACCCACAAATCGGTCACCCGTCATACACTTCTACACAAACAGACCTTCTAGCAGACGAAGCTTAAACTCTACCAACACCAGCAACACCAACACCAACACACCAGCCAGATTTGCTGCTGGAAACGCAAGTCCCAGGGATCGACAAGCACAAACACCACCAACATCTCAAAATTTCCGCCCACTCAATTGACTTGGCCAAGGGATTTGCATGTATGCTAACCTAGCTACTAGAGTCTCAAATTACACCCACCAAAACCTCTCATAGGTCACTACGTGTAGCCAGTCTTCACAGCAAACTCTGGCAAGGATATATATATGTAGGGAGGAAGATGCAAGCATAGACAGAGTATCAACCATAGAATTCGTACCGGCACGGTAGTCACCCTTCCGACTCGACTCGACTCTGCATTGCTCAACTAGAAAGAATGCAACCAAATTTATCTACAGTTCAAGATTGACTTCTGGTAGTAAAACAAATGCAAGCAAATACACGTAACTCCATCCACAGCAACTGCTTTCTATATTATTTGTTTACTTCGTGGAGCCCAGCCAGAACTCTGAAAGGTGGTCGGGCTGACAGCCTTCATGATAACGTTGCCCAACGGAGGAGCATGAACCTACTAGCTAGCTCGAGTAAGATCGCTTTCTGGTACCAGTAGCTGTTTGACCGAAACCCTTAATAGCGAAATTAGAGCTCGGGTTAACAGAGGTTTCACGGCAACCAAATTTCTGGTAGTCTACCGGTACCGCTACCATTCAATGCAACTGCCAACCAGGAAGCCACGAAGGCTTTGTTTTGCGTATGCCTTTAGGAAGCATCTTGATTCCTTTTCAGCCATTTTTACGCACGGTTTGAGAGTTTTCCAGCTCCGTTCCTTGGCCTTCAAAGAAAGCCAAACCAGGCTACTCTGAGTTCATGCATGTACATCGTACCATTTTCCACCGTACCTCTACCCTTCACTAAACCGATACCCCCACAAGCATAGCTACAAGCATTGGGGCGACAGCCAAGCTGATGCATGCCAGTGGTTGGGCCAGCTGTTGGGCCTTCAGCTCCCTCTTTGAAAGCATGTTTCAGTGAGCCTTGGGGGAACCGGTACCATGCACTTGAAAGTACTAGCTAGCTACCGGTATAGTAAGTCTACATCCAAATTTGAGATAGGAGAGGAAGGATGGAATTTGTTTCAATGGCCTCCTCTAGCGCATGGACCAGTCGGACAACTGCTTTATAACCTTGGTCTACCATGATGTCTATCCCATAGCAGTACATATATATGCATACATGCGGGCTGTTGCTGTCTTGGCCAAAGTGGCCCAAAGCCTGAGTTGGACATTACATACATACATGTTGACATGTTGTACCGGTGGCCGCAGCATTGTTTTGGTGAAACTTTGTTTCTTGTGTGGGGCGAACACGGAGCACGGAAGCTTAAATATTCAGTGCCCCAGTTTGAGGCCCTTTTTTGGAATGGAATAAATCTTCAGCTTGAACCAGATCTCCCTTTGGCAGTCACTAAACAGGGCACGCTCCAGAAATGTTCCAGTGTCACATTTTTAAATTTGACATGCGCGATTTGCCTGTCCTTCGAGAAGCATCGCGAAGCCTGTGCTGTAATTTCGCTTCTACGATTCTGGCTCACAAAATTTATGTTGACTGAACAGCTCCTACCGTACTGTATAACCCTTGCAAGTCTTTGAGCGTCTCTCTGAGCATAAAAAGCATACAATGGATCATACTAAGAAGTCTTGTGTCGATGCCATGGAAGGAAGTCCGTCTGCTTCAGATTGGCGGCTATCTGAGTTTCGGACTGTCGCTGTCTCTCGTTTTATTAATAGTAAGGAAACCACGGCGGTGTTTGGCCCGGGTCGAGGTTCGATACATGTATCCTCGTTGGACTACGAGTACACGTACGAAGATGACACTCTGTCGACTACGAGCCTGAGCAGTACATGCAGCGACAGCAGCCTTACTAGTAGTACTAGTAGTACGGTGATCACGAGTAGAGAGGAAGAGCTGGAAAATGCCTTCAACGCGTTTTCGGTAAGACTCGACGATTCCACGGGAAATATTCTCTTCTGCGTAAAACTGCCCGCTGCGTTCCCCGTACAAGACCTTACGGTAGACGTGCAGAACGGGGTACTCCGCGTAAGGGCGGAAATACCTTCTAGTCTGTCGTCAGAGCAAGAGCATGTGTCTGATGTGCATTACGAGGATCAGGACTCCATCAGCGACATCAGCGACGTTGACGGCATTTTCACATTCAGCACTGGAGGGCCCGGTGCATGTACATTTTATACTGACCCTGAAGATCCCTTTGTCACGGAGCAATCCTTTCAGCTAAACGAGCAGTGCGTTCACATCGACCAGATCACAGCCGAACTCGACCCACAAGACCAACTCACCATCACCGTGCCCCTCAAGGCTGGTTTGTCAGGTACCCACCACCACCAACAAAGTATTGACATTCACCACCAAGAACCATCTTCCCTACTAGAATCTGATGATGACCGGGCCTTTCAAGTCGTTCTCGATGTTTCAAACATTCAAGACCTGCATGTATCCTATGCCAGCTGGGAAATTCAGGTTTCAGGTGTCCGTCGTACCGGTACATGTACTAGTATGCAATCAGAGGAGGACCCTGCATTCAAGTGCTCCATTCCGATCGATACACGTACGCATGACATTGAACACCTCAACAGCTTTCTACACCAAGGACACTTGACCATTATTGCACCAGTCAACGAGTCTGGAGGCTCTCGGATCATTGGAATTGGAATACAACAGATAATAGAGAGAGACAAATGCAGCAGCAGGACATGCTCAGTGTAAAACCTGGTACTAGTATATACACGCTATCTACATGTATAGACGATGTTTTTGGCTGACTAGTGGTAGATTGAATGATGAATCATTCCTTTGGCCTTTGGCAGCGATGCAGCGATACTACGATAGCGGTAGCAGTTGACTTCAGCTTATTAATTTACGGTAGCAAGTGGCATTGTTACACATCGAAGACAACATCTTCTTGACTTTCTGCAGCAGCCTCAGACTGGCTACAGTAGCCAGTCTCGTCAGAGCCAAAAGGAGGAACACGGCCACCGACACGAGCAGATGGGGCCATGAAGCATACCGGTCCAACTGAGGATTGACTGGTGCTGCTGTGGTGCTGAGTATTCGACAGTGCAATCACTCCAGGGTGCAACACTACTCCAGATAATCGAGTCTCGCCGAGGATAAAGCCTTCTTTGACCCCAGCATGACCACACACAACCGAAACGCTGTCCACCACAGTTCGTTCCGAGAAGGTCAAGTAGTGGCAGTCATACATGGCATCACCAAAGTACAAAACGTCTTGGCCCACGTTGGCGCCGAGGAACCGAATCAAGGGATTGTACAGTTTGCTTCCCCACAGGACATGCACAAACGACCAAGCCTCCACGGAAGATTGAAAGGACAAAGTAGCTGCGTAGGCGCCCATCTCCCTGGCATTCTTTGCCAATGACAGGGAATGCTGACTTGTCCGGGGCGAGAAGAGAAAGTAACCTAGACTCAAACACACCCACAAGGAAGCGGTTTGGACAATGATTGCACAGAATATCTTGACGACAAAGCTGCCGACTCCCGAGGACAAGAACTCAAGTGTTTCAAGACCTTTCCAAACCTCAATTGTTGGCAGGGTACTCAGCAGGATAGTGATAGCATAGAACACGGCAAAGACATCGCACCATGCTTTTCTCCAGAACAAAGCACCTGGCTGAGGAGCGCATTCTAGTGATCTTTCTTCGGACGGCTTTTTTGGAGAACGGTGCGTGGATGGCACAAAAGACAGCGGATGAATTCGTTCCGATTCAATCACAGCACCACCTTCAATAAAGGTAGAGTGACCGATGCTGCTGTTTTCAATACGAATTGCCTGATACTCTTTGCCAGATCCGGGGCAGGTCCGAAAGCTTTCGAAGGAGAGGAAGGAATTCCGGACTGTGACCAAGTCCAGTTGAGAGGGTGGGAAAAGGAAAAGCCAAACCTTTGAGTTTAGATCAATGTCTTGCCCCATCGTCATCAGCATCAAGTTCCCAAATATTGAATTGGCTGCAACGAGTTCAAAGACAAGAATGCTCAGTCGGTAATTGTAATCAGCAAACCAGTCACTGACGTTCCGAATCCACGAAAGAGGAACTGGCCCGGGGCGACGTTTGCCAATGAGGATCCATTTCAAAGCAATTGTTGTTGCCAGAGAGAGCACTGTGTAAACAGGGAGGACCAAGAAGAGGTGGACAAGCCATCCATATCTGAATCCATCAAGAATCCCAAAAGGAATGGAGAGGTTTGCCACCATGAACAGTCCAGCTGAGAGATAGAGCTGCACAAAGAGCAAGGCGACTTTACTGCAGCCAATTGCTAACCAATGCGGATTGGCGTTCTCAGTGGCAGCATCTTGCCCCTGACGAGCAGGGCTGCCAATTGCCATGGCAGCTGGCGGAACTTGGGAGCCTTCGGCAACCGCGCTCAGGTTCTCAACATGGCATCTGTCCCCAATCGAAACCCCTGGTTCCAGATGTCCAGCCACGGTGCAGTTCATTCCCACTGACACAGGTCGGAACCGCAGTGACAGGCCCTGTTCCTCCCACGGACTGAACTTGCGACAGCGTGGCTGCTGCTCGCAAGACGACTCGGCCCCAACTGTCACCAAGTCAAACTCTCGAATGAAACAATCAATTGAAGCTGAGGGATGGATGGATGCTCCCAACAGATTGTAGACGACTGTGATGAGTGGCGTCCCTCGGAGGAAGTTTCCCACCCAGATTTCCCAACAACGCACGAAATTGTCAATAAACCACCACTGTACGAATGCAATAGATGGCACTGAGATCTCTTTTGCTGTGTATCGTCCAATGACAATCCACTTGATGGCTATAAGTTCAAAGGTCAGGCTCAGGTACCAGACGGGCACCATCAACGGAAGTAGGAAGGGAAGATCCTTTGTGATGTTTGCGGTGACAAAGAAGTAGGCTGGGATCAAGCTCGTGGCTACCAAAAGAAGTACTGCAACAGCCCCGAATGCTTGCAGGATTGTTGCGTATGACCAAGCAATTTCTCGATCTCTGGAAGCTGGTTGTGGAAGTTGTGGAAGCTTCAAAGGAAATGCGTTTGTCTGGTCTTGCAGGACGTGGTGTTTTAGCAAGATAGGGGCTGCGTAGAGGTCAGGGAAGTTGGATGGAACCACAATTCCAATGGCTGCAAGCCTATTCGAAAGTTCCACCATCATCACGGAGGTGAGGCCATTTTCATCCCACGTTTTGCTTGCATCAACTTTTTCACCCAAGACATCGACCAAAGCAGCATCAAAGAGTGCAGCAGCTGTAGCTGATTCTCCAAGTTCCACATGCGGTTTGTCGGGGTCACCCTCTCGGGGCTGCAGATTGTTTGGCGTTGGAGGCACTGGTTGAGAGTTGACACTGTGGACAACGACGTGACCCCCGCTGTTCAGTCTTGCTCTGTTGGCCCTTCGCTGGATCTTGCCACTTGTCGTCTTACTGATGGTGCCCTGAGCCACGGCAACAATGACAGATGGAACTAAGCCGATCTTAGAGAGGACTGCCTGCTTGACATCTTCGCACACGGCTGCAGCATCATTTTCCCTGTTCTTACGTATCTCAAAGACAATTTGGAGGTCACCATCGCCCCCTGTTTCATTTGTCGAAAAGGCAGCAACACAGCCAGGTCTTACAGCAGGAGATGCTTCTTGCACTGCATCTTCTGTGTCCTGAGGGTAATAGTTGACGCCCTGGACGATGATTAGGTCCTTTTGGCGGCCACAAATGTACAGATGATCCTCTTGGAAAAAGCCAAGATCACCTGTTCTCAGAAAGGCGGGAGAGTCCAGTATTTCCATGCCATTGGGATCCCTGATACGAGCTCCAAAGGATTGTTGGGTAAGATCTGGCCGACCATAGTATCCACCCGCGACAGAAGACCCTGCAATCCAAATCTCTCCCGTGGTATTGTCTGGCGCCTCTTGCAGCGTTTGCGGATCGACAATCTTGATGGTGATGCTCTCATGAAACATGCCCTTCTTTCCAATGGCCACATACGGCGCTGCATCTTCTCCCTCTCGGAGGTTGCTGAGTTGCAACTCTAGAGTGTAGGATACTGCGACTACCATTTCAGCAATCCCGTAGACCCCAACGAGACAATGTTTGGCCGGTGGCAAGCCATAAGGAGTAAATGTGTCTTCAAATAGTCGCACTGTTTCAATGCGAATTGGTTCTGCGGCGTTTTGCAGCTTCCAAATCTTGGACAAGTCGAGGTTGGGAATTGGCTCCTCGATCCCTGCCTTTTTGGCGTCTAGAAACTTGCGTGCGCAAAGACGGTATGAGAAATCGGGCGCAATCCCCCAATTGGCGTTGTTGTCGGACATGATTTTCAACCATAAAAGTGGGTTCTTGATGAACGTGATGGGGCTCATGCAATGTTGACGCCATCCACCGCAAAAGGGATAGATTGTAGCAGAGAGTAGTCCCATGTCACTGCATGCATAGTCGATTGAGTGAGGAGGTGAGCACAAGCGAAATCATGTGGGGGTCAGGAACGCTAGCGAAACTCACTGACTCACTGATACTGAGGCAACCAGGTGCAACCAATCCATCCATCTCCTTTGACAGTCCCATGGCGTTCAAATGCGCCGAGGTAAAGTCTGGCATTGGAGATCAAGTTTTTGTGCGTGACGACGACTCCTTTTGGATCCGACGTGGAGCCTGAAGTGAACTGCAGAAACGCTGTATCATCGGGACCTATGGTAGGTTCATCAAACGTGTAGCTTTCAGGGCTGTCTTTGGGTTTCTTCCGCTGCATGGCCTGCTTCCAAGTGGAGTTGTTTTTCTGGCTACATGCACCAGCAGCATTGTGAAACGGGAGTGTGTCAGTGCACTTGAATGAGAGCCCCGCCGGCCAGAGTAAGCGGCTCTTGGAAAGAGGGTTGAGTTCGTCTATCTTTTTGAGTGCGCCCACTCTGGAGTCTGCGAGGATCAGTACGGGTGAGCAAATACGGACGGCACTAGCTAGCTTGGGCAACGACTTGGTCAAGGGTGGGGCGGGTGGGTATACTAGCACGGGAATGACTCCTGCACGTAGACAACCAATAAATACAGCAAAGAAGTGAAGACCAAAGTCGTAGCATAAGACAACCTTGTCTCCCTTCTTCAGTCCCCATTTCACCCGTAGAAAGTAAGCAATGACACCCGCTTCCGCCCACAAGCGACCAAAGCTGTAGTCTTGCGTGGCCTGGCCTTGCTCATTGTACCAAGTAGCAAAGATTGCATCTCGCTTGCGATCCACCAACGTTCTTGCATGCTCCAGAAACGTTGCTGCTTTTGGGTCTATCGACGACATGTGGGATCAGCACAAGTAAGCTGTACGGTACTGGCTAGTGCTAGATAGATAGCTTGCGGGTTATTTGCTTCACTTTTGTTGGCTTTCAGTTTTATGACATTGCGAATGGGTCAAAGAGGGAAAGAGGGTCGTTTGGCATGGGTGACTGGTTCAATCGTTCGATCTTGCTTGTTGCTTGTGTTTTTGGTATGGAAAAAGTGCGGTTACAGGCTAACTATAGTACAATATTTCCACACAAGATTGAGGCACCGTGTTTTTGCAGGAGTACTCAGACCAGGGCGTGGTACTCACACTGTTTTAGCATGTGAGTATGGGTACTGAGTAGTACTCACAATTCCAAAGTCAAGTGAGTATGGGTACTGGGTAATACTCACAATTCCCAGGGTCAAGTGAGTACGGGTATCATGTGAGTACAGGTACTTTGTGGGTACTATAGAGTACTCACTGAGTACTCATAAATCAATTACTTAGGGAAATTATCTAGGTTTTTCTAGTTCTGGGCTGGGGGCTCATCAATCTTGTTGAGGAGATCCTTGGTCCTATTCTTAGCCCATTCCTTTCTTGCATCATTGATACATTGCTTGTAGTTCTGGATGAATGCACTGTTCTTGTAGCAAAGAAGGCGCATTTGGAATGTCATGTCAACCTTCTGTCCATTGCTGAGTTTTCCATCAAACCATGTACAAGAACTGAAAACTCTTTCTTGGAAGCCGTTGCTATCTGGCATTGCAAAGATGCGCACAGCAACTTCAAAGATGATTGGGTGGTTGGTTTTGCCAGTTGTCTCCCACCATTCTTGTAAGTCAAAGTAGGTTTTCACCACTTCAATGTTGTCCAACCATGAAAATGGTTCATTGCCAAGTGTAAACAGAACATCTTTACCGAAAATACTCACCGAGTACTCACCGAGTACTCACTGGTACTCACTTCGAAGTACTCACCGAAGTACTCACCGAAGACTCAAAAAGTACTCAAAATCCGGAGTCATGTGAGTACGGGTACTGAGTAATACTCACATTTTCTGAGGTCATGTGAGTATGGGTACTGAGTATACTCAGTACTCAGTACCCGTACTCACAACGAGTACACGCAGCGTGTATTTCATGTGAGTCCCACACCCTGACTCAGACCTGGGACTGGCCTTGACCTTTGAGTCATTTGTTTTGAGACGTATTGAGAATGACACTGCAGCTGGAGCATCATTCGTTTATTACTACTCCAGTAGTATACCAATACTCCGAGAATTCAGTTATTGCTCAGACCAGTTTTCACTAATAAGGGGATCTTGACTACGAAGTATTAATTAAGTGCTAGAAGTACTGGAGTAATAGTGGGTGCACTGACTGTGCATACTACCAGTACTATTAATAGTACACAGAGCTCAGTGCTCATCAGGCCATCAGGCCTCACTAAGGAGTAGGAGCACTGTGCTCACATAAGCTGGCAACACGGCAACACTGAATTCTTTTGGAAGAGCATTATTTATTTATTTGCGTACCGTACCATTGCTCCCCCAACCCCCATCCGAGCACAACTCCCAACTCATGCACTCAAACTGTTGCAATGCCAGCACAGGTACTCATTGACAGAGCGGTACCTGGTAGCTTCTACTCGAGTATGGAGGATGGTACATGTGGCTGGAAACCAACCAAGGTACGCACACCAGCAGTACGGTGGTATACCGTAGTCGAAGGAGGCTCGAACTAGCTTGCTTCATGAAGCAAACTCAGCTTGTGCTCTTGCCTTCCTACTAGGTCAGGCCCTTGTGTCTGCTTGGCCTTCCTGGAACGTGGCAGTGTGAGATCGGAAATCTAGCCCGCATGTGATTCGATTGACCATTCGCGTCATCTGCAGTTGGGAAGTCAGCGAGACCAGTCGCGGAAGTTATCGGTTGGAACGAGAAACAGTATAGTCTAGCTTTGCTCCCAGCATCTTTCTATGAGACGCACGCTCGTGGGCTTCGTTTTAGAAAAGGTCAGTGGCCATGAACGTCCTTCTATTGAGTTCTCCCGTTGCTTTGCATTGGTAGGAGGCATGGATCCTCTTGCTGTGAGGGAAGAAGGCAGAACCTTTTGGGCATGGGAACCTCCTTATGCTTGGTTTGGCATTAGCTCGCTATGTTCTATACTAAAAGCATGAGTGGGCTTCTTTCCTAAAATTGATGCAAGGAGGGCAGGAGAATGAAGTCAGACCAGGAAGGACAACATCGCCCTCGTTTGATTTCAATTTCTTGGTCCTTCTACATGAATTGAGTGCTATAATACCGGTCTCCATTCTTGGCAGCTTGCCTGGCTAATTGCTCATTGTCGCACAGCTTCCTGAGAAACACAAAGAAACGGCCAAAACGGTCACAAAGAATGGCGCAAACTTGGGCGCCTCTCGTGCTTTGCCGTCACGATCAACTTGTTTAGCATGTGCATGCCATGCAGTCATCCAACCTCTCTATCTACTTGCAGTCGGCTTCCTTACAACTAGTCTAATTGTCAGCTCAGGTTAGCATTCTCATGAGGTCCGGTTCGCTTGTTGTTGCTTGCTAGTTGCTAGTTGCTAGTTGCTAGTTGCTAGTTGCTGGTTGCTAGCTTGCTGATGGAGTGAGGTTGTCATAAAATCCGAATGCAACAGTTTCGAAGTCGAAGCAAGAGCCCTTAGCAAATTGATACTTGCTTCATTAATCTACCACCATGCCATTCTACCGTTCTTACGGTTATCGTACACCATCTTCTTCGATTTGGCAGCAACCCAGTACGACTTTGTCGCTGAAGAGCGCTTGTGCGAAATACAACGTCACCGAGGCACAGTGCCAAAAGGCCAACATTCGTTGTCAATGGCGCAGTATGTACGGCAACTCGTACGCCGTCGTCGTTGAAGACGATGTGCGCGATCTCAAGGCCATGCTCGTGGCCAAGGCGACAAACGAGAAACAGGAAAAGCTCAAAGGCAAACTTGGTGAAAAGGGATACGAAATACGAACAGTACTTGAAGAAGCAAGCCGACCAAAAGATCCGTTCCTAGCAAAAGACTGAGGTCGAGGAACTCATGACGAACATGGTGAAAATCAACGCCAAAAACTCCAGCGTTCCAGTTCAGGGAGTCAAGGTCGCCCAAAGCAATGCCACAAAGATCTGGGGTATCTCGGGCGAACATCTCAAGTATAAAATGACCAAGAATGAAACGAAAGGCCGATGTGTTCTCTACGACCTCGAGGATGTCATTCAAGCGGCACTGCAGAGAAAACAAACAAACTGTAGGTACAACCGAGACCTCTCCGGGCTCCCAAAGGTCCTCGAACGCCTCGACAAGTGCGACGATGACAATGCCAGGAACCAATTGGCGGCCTTTTACCGTCGAAAGTTGGACCTCTTTCTACCCGAGGTTGTGGAACTCGTTGCAAAGGAAATGATCCAAACGGTCCGGGCTGAAATCAAACAGGCTGAACGGAAGATTGCCAACAAAAAGTCCAATCTCGGGGCGTTTCAGGTGCTGTCGAGAGGAAAGAAGGATATTTCAGACGATGAGGAAAACGATAGCAAAGTCGAATACAGCGACGACGACGAAGAGGGCAAAAAGCGAAAGGCTACGCCATCGCCCAAGACTACGGTCAAACGCAAGAAGAGGAAGACGGTCCTACACAACGGTACCATATGGGGAGACAACGACGAGGATTTTACGCCAGCTTTGGAACACCACAAGACCATCAAGGTGACACCAATCACCACTAGGAAGACTCGTTCTGCCACTCGTCGTGCAATTGCTGACGAAAAGTAAGTTGTATAGCGGTGCGGACCTTCATGTTTATTGCCGAAGAAACGAAAAACCAGACTATTAATAGTCGAATGCCGAGGCCGATGAACGAATGATTGAATTCAATCGGCTTTCTGTATTCATGGAATGTTTGGTAGTCTATCGTAGCCATTCAAAGCTGCTATAATCACATACTAGCTAGTGCTTGCGTCAGACCGTACTGGCAACAGATATCGCTGGCCTGGTCAATCCACACCGCGTACAGTGCTACCTACTCGGCTTAACAGATGCACAGTAGAGATTCCGCTTGGTGTCGCAGTAACTTCCAGAGCACTGAATACCAGCAAGCATATAGTTGTCACCGGCATAGTGACGAGCACCGTCCCCTTCCTCCGAGTACCGGCCTCCCCACCAACAGCCAGTATGCCCAAGTGAATAGGACCATTTTTCGCACTTGAAGGAAAGATCGTCACAGAAGTCTCCACTGCAAAACACCTCAGTCACAAAGTGACCATTTGGGCAACCCAAGGTCCCAGGGCCCTCTTCAGACATCCAATTGGTGTAATAAACAGCTTGCTGCCAGCCCATAAGATGAGTATAGTTGCATCCAGCAGTGGCGGTGCACTTTGGCCTTCCAGTAAACCTCATTGTGCAGCCAAGCTGCACATCATCACACCAGCTACCACGACACGCCATACCATTGGCAAAGTACCATTGGTCTGCTTCCCGGGCTGTTGAGTTGGGGCAATCAGCCCCACCCCATCCGTCAGAAACCCATCCACTCCAATGACTAAGTTGCAGCTTCCTTTCACCGTACTATCGTTAACGAGGATGGAAGGGATGTGTGAATTTTCAGGGCTGCTGGACTGTAACATGGATAAGCAAGGCGAACATTGATAGCACATACCGGTACCTTGCGGGCGTTGGCAGCTGACTTCCTCAATCCGCCGTCACCAGCAAATTGGGTGCTATTAAGAGTTTCTTCGCGATATTCCTCGGTATCAGGCAAATCCTCAATGCTGGGAATATCTTCATAGTCCGGAAAGTCTCCAACTATGGTCTCCAGAACATCGTCAGCGACATCCTCACCAATGAGATACACACCGTTACCTTTGTACTGTTCGTCCAAGTCAGCTGTATCCAATGGCGGACCATTTGCAAGACCGAGGCCTGGGACAACAATAACATCTGGGCTGTTTCCATCATTGCCGTTGCCGTTGCCATTGGCTTGGGCGGCCGCACCACCAGAGAGGAGAAAGAGAATGAAGGCAATCATTATCATAGTAATGATGATTATAAATAGTGAGGAATATAAATAGTGAGTGTGTGTGATTGTGAGCTTTGATAGCTAATTGTGAGCCCATACTGAATGTTGAACTTTCGTTTAGGTCTTGACTGCACTTATTGCGAGATTGGAGGAGAGGCAGTAGCTTGAAATGCTAGCTAGCTAGCATAGGAGCTAGCTAGTAGCATAGGAGCTAGCTAGTAGCTGCTGGCTAGCAGACCAACACAACCAGAGACGACACTATCAAAATTTGATGGAGCAATAATAATTGGCAAAAAGTGAGACTGAACACCAATTTTACAGATCCCCAGGAACCTGTTCCCGTGTTTTGACTCTTATTTGCCTTCACCTAAGACTGGCTTCCGTCGATGAACTCCCTCCACTTCAGAAACCCCCCCTTTCATCAATTGAGCTGTTCTCTTGTTCTCTTGAAACTTCCCTTGATCAGCTGTAAGCTGCTTCTTCGCACTTCGTCGGTCTGCTTGTCAAATACTCTGGGATATGGGGCAAAGCTATGGATTTTTGAGCTCTTTTAAAATAGTGTTTCGAGAAGCGTATTCGTGCGCACTTGCTTGTAACTGCGCGTAACCATAGTAAAGCGCAAATGCACATCATGTAGCTGCACGAAACGTAACTGCACATAACTGCTGTGTGTTGTTTTGTGTGCCTTTGCCATGTTGTGTTGCCCCATACCCCTGTCATGGCTTTTTCCCAGCGTGGGCACCGGTACGGAAGGTAGAGTTGCCATTTCCTTTGGTGGGTCCAACGCCTTCCAAACCCAGTTTCGAAATAAATGTGGATGATCGAGGCACGCAGTCACTCAGCCGGAAGTATGATAGGGCGTTGATGGGGTAGCATGGATGGGGGGAACGGTTTCAGGGAAGTGGAGGAGGCAGTGGGTATGGCAGCAGCGTTCATTACCGTGGAGCCAAAGCTTGGTTGGCCACCCCCTGCCAGTGGCCGCCAGTAGATGGTCTACCTGGCGGTATCTCCTCTGCCATCCATTGCTGTTTGTAAAGAACTCATTCGAAGCGGGACTTGGAGAGTACTTCAAGTTCCTGCGCCGAAACCTTTGACATTATAAAAAGCTGCAAAATGTAAGGCTGGAGGCCAACAATGCGCGCCCCATGCCAAACCTACTGAAACCCACGCACCGGTCCCGGATCCATGGCTCCTTCAGATGATGGAGGGATCAAGCAAGGAGCAGCCCTTCGCAGCCGGAGACAGGTCACTACCGGTATGCTAATTTGCTTGTGGGGCGGTCACGCTCGTGCCGTATCGTTCTCACTTCTCACATCATCATTGGATTGTAGAGGAGGCGAAACGAAAACGATAGAAACAGTAATAGCCCAGCCTACATTACAGGAACGGTCGGACGCACTCAAGCAAAGGCTCTGACAGCTAGAGGATCTGGCTGGCTCTGACACCGATAATGGCATGAGGAAAATGAACGCGTGACTAAATCAGCCGAGGGAGCAAAGCTATGCAATGCGCCCTCGCTGTGGGTACATCGATGTATGTCCGTCAGAGGGTTTCGCCAGCCATGATCCTAATCCGCATGCACTGTTGGGCGATCGCTTCATCCGAGTCAAGTCAAGTCAAGTCAAGCAAGTCAAGTCAACTTGGAGATATTGGCAAGCAAAAAACGAACTAGCACGCTAGTAACGTAAGCAATAGATCTCGGCGCTTGATAGCTGGCTACCGGTACACACCGCCAGTACATGCATCTACGGGAATGAAACTATCGTAGCCACTTGGGCTTGGGCGACAAGACTCCTCGAGGTACGGGCGGCAACTTTACATTACGGTAGGTGTGACTGGTTGCTTGGTGGAGGCAGGTTTACTTTCTCGCCAGTCCAGACGGAGTGACTGAAGTTTGGCCCTTTGCTACTGTGGCTGAACTAGTGTATCAATGCACGATAGTAACTTGCTATAATTCCTTGAGAGCCTGCTACCAGCTACAGTACGTCAAATCTGGCATTGCTGGTTGGAAGATAGAGCTGGATCCTTGCTTTGTCTACCGTACGGTATAGATACAAGGTTTGCATCATTTCTCTGGCTTGGCTTGACTTGAGTCGTTTCGTCTCTTGGCAGCCACGAAACAGTTCTTTCTGTTTTGTTTGATGTCCGAGACAGGTTTGGGCTAGCTATACGTAATACCAGGTAGTAGGATGTTGAGTTCGTCATGCCATGGATGTAGTCGTATAGAAAGAAGGTGGCACTTTCGTGTCAAGTGTTGCAGTGTCGAAGCCATCTGTTTCCTGGCTACCGGACTGTAGTGGTGGGAGTGGACCTACCGTATCGACGAGCCATGAAAGTTTCCAAAGTCAGGAGTTTGTTGGAATTTGTGGCTTTACTTTTGGTGCACCCGCCACCACTTTTGGCCACGTCACTGGATGAAAATTAAGATTGATTGGTCGCGTGAGGTGCATGTTTCGGTTGATTGGGCGGTTAAAGGGTGACCGTGCTGGATGCATGTTCTTTAGCGATCGGACGTGACAGCGCGTCTTTGTGGACCATGCATCACTGTTTGGATGCCCTGCTGAAGAACGTGAGAGATGGTCGAAGAAGGAAAAGGCGCGAAAGGTATCGAGTCCCACGAGGCGAGTAGCACGAGAGATACCAGTAACGGTTGGTACGATACGATGCGGTACGAGTGAGTGGGTGTGGTGATTGCTTCGTGTCATCAGTATCCTGAAGTGAGAAGGGTGTCGTCTTCGTAGAGCTTGGTACTAAATCTTACGTAGAGGTGCATCGGAGAACCGCGACGAAAAAAGAAGATCGTGTGTTTGGCTTTGTTTTTTGTTTTGGTCGCCGCAGCTCTGCTTCCTCATTTTCTTTTCTGCTCACCCAGACCCAAATCAGTTTCTTCTTCTTCTTTCAGAACAAACATAACATCAAGCTCTATCAAAGCATACACCACAATCCAATCAGACCAATCAGACCAAATCAGATCAAGATGGCAGCCCTCTCTCACCGCAGTAGCCTTGGCAGCCTTAGCAGCAGCAACACCAGGAGATCCTCTTCAGGGATCCGAATTCCCGCCTGGGCGTTGACTCGTCGTTTTCAAGCGGGAAGTCCCGATAGTGCGGCGAAACGTACCGTGCAAACTTTGCCCAGTGTGGAAGATGACAATGATTCCTTGGCGTTGCCTAAAATGGAAGCCAATACAAATGCTGGCAATGCTAGCAATAGCCATAGCAATAGTAGTAACTTGGTGACTTTGCTGCAGATGGATGTGACTGGCTTCTGCTTGGAAGATCTTCACTTGGACCTGGACTTGCAGACCCAGCGCATTTGCTTGGCAGGAAAAGGGCCTCAGATGCAACTATTCAAGAGAGCGTTCCCCATTGCAAATGCTAATTCACTAGTCCTGCAAGACACTCAAGCTAACATTGTTCTGGGGGTCAACCAGAGAAAGTTCCTCAGGCTACAAGCCCCTACAAGAACCACTACCACACCTCCTAACCAAGACTACCACCAAACAACCAGGAAAATCAACATCCCCATTCAAGATCAGAACAGGCCTCCCACTGTCATTCAGATCCCCAATTAGATTGATTGATTCATTCATTGATTGACCCAATGCAGCCATAGAGGAATGCTGAGGACGCCATCTACTTACACTTATTTCATAGAATGTATCAGAGCCCGCTCGGTCGAGCTTTCATTTATTTTGACCTACCGTATCGGTATCGGCACGATGCCTTGCTTTACTGTTTCCATTACTATTATTTAAAATCTATTCTATTCTATTCTATTACTAAGACTTTATATTATCTATCATATCATAGAGCTACCCATCAGCCATCATTATCTAAAACAAACATCGTGCATGGCTGGTACCGGTAGTACTACTCAACGCAGCAGCTAGCTCGTCTTTTGTTCCAATTTCTATCTTCAGTCCACTGAAAACAACGCATCCAGCCCACTGTTACTTGATCCATCTGAAGAACAAGATACCTTGTGGTACTAACTCAGAACAGAGGTGTGCCGGTACGCTGTTCCTTGCTCCAATCGCTCAGAATTGGAAGTCAGGTAAGACACTCCTCCTTGTATTGGTACCGCAACGAGCGAGATGCAAAGAAACAAAGATCTTCCAACTTCCAATCAGTTAGAAGACACCTGAAGGCAAAAGATTCAACCGGTGATCAACTTCCTCACTCAGTTAGAAGGCACTTCTTGAAGCCAAAAAGAATCCAGCGGTGATCAGCAGTTACTCTCGTACTGTCGTACAGTAATAGAGGACCGGCTTTTTAAGCCCAGGATGTGCCACAGTGGAGGAACTGGCTTTTAAAGCCCACACATTCATGCCGGCAAGGCGCGGCAACCGGCAACCATCGAAAAAGATCTCAGAAACAAGATACTGTTGTAGCGGTACCAGTGTTCTGCAATCGAGGACAACTGTGACCGAAGTTCAGAGCACAGAGCAGCCAAGCTCGTGATGGAAGCATGATAGTAACCGTTTGCTTCAGTTGAATGAATGATTCGAGAAGCCTCCTGGAAACCATTGGAGAGCAGGGAGGACGGAGCTCTAGCTAGAGCTCGACATCGTGACAATGGCCCACCCCAACGGGTGCTACGGTAGTATCAGAGTCGAGTCTGCTCTACCAGCTATCGTACAGTAGTAGACCTCGAGGTGACAGCCCAGTGTCGCATGCTCGAGCGACCGGTTCATCTTATTGAGGAAAGCCCTCCTGAAAACAAAGCTATTTTAGTGGTACCGGTAGTACAAGCAGTGGGCTTTAGTACCGTACTAGAATATTATTAATTGCTTCAGTTGTAGCTAGCTAGGAATCGAACCACCGGTGATGCATCATTTCTTGCATGCTGACTTGGTTCCTTCTACCAGCGAGAGGATGCCTGGCCAGCCAGAGCTGCAGAGCTCCCGGGGCGCCCAAGGCGAGAAAGAACCGACGAAGAATCAAATTCGTACTTGGCTGCTCCTTCCACTCTCGGTCGTGATGGTTGGCATCATCGTTCGTCCGCAACTCGACTGCCTAGAACCACTCCCGCGACCAGCCAGCCAAAGCTGTTTCTTCCCGGTGGTTCCGGTAGATTTGATTTGGGCTCGTCCGAGGCAATGGTAGCAGCTGATGTACCTTTCATCGAGCATTGCGGCGGTTGCATGCGACATTGAGGGAACCAATGTACACCTACCAGCTAGCCAGCTACTATTAATAGCTAGCTAGAGTAGTTCTGTGACTTGTTTTACCGATCTTGACGTACTGTCGTGTTTGGAGAATGTTTACATTCGCGGAAGGCGAACAAAGCCAAGAAACCCTTTTTGCTGATTTGACTACAAGAGCGATCCCAACAACACAAAACAAAGAGCTCCATAAAAACCCTGCTTCTCTTGCAGAGCGCACGTGTAATCCACAAAAACCTAGTACTGTTACTGTAAGCTACTAGCCAATGTATGGCTTGACAAATAGACGACGTGCATCTCTGGTGGTGCAGGGCGCGTGGTGTGTATGTTGTTGTGTGTGATTTGGATGCACAGTGCTAGCTTTTCCATGCAACAATGATGATTGTTGGTTGTGGTTTGGTTTAATCTACCTTCTTGGCAACCTTTTCTCCTTCTGGATTGCTCGTGTCAATGACATCTTTCTTGACTTCCCAAGGCCGAGGCGGAGCTCGTGGAAGAGGAATTCCAGCAGCCTTATCACGATCCCTGCGAGCCCTTGCCATGGCCCATGCAGCAGTTGCCCGCTTGGGGTTCTTGGCGAGTCCCAAAGCACAAAAGAGATCAATGGCTCCCTTGCCCAGATTGAACTGTGCAAGTCCACCAAATTCACTTGTTGCGTAATCATAGGGGTACTTGTGATGGTAATTGTGCCATCCCTCTCCTCCAGTGATCCATGCCACAAATGGGTTTTCAGCAGGGTAGGATGCCGTGTCATAAGGATGATCACCGTAAAGATGGGCTGCAGAATTGACAAGCCAAGTAATGTGGAGGACACACATGTATCGGAAGCATCCTACAATAAAGAAAGCCGTCCAAAAGTCTTCCCCCCAGCAGTAGTGTGCCACTTGTGCTGGAAAGAAAAAGCACATGTAGACATTGAACCAAGGGTCCGTCTTCTTTTGGAACATGACGACTGGATCGGACAACATATCAGTCATATCCAACTCCCTTCCTGCCTTGACGACATCTGGATGTTTCTTGACAAGCAACCAACCGACATGAGCAAAGAAATATCCCCTAGTGGCATTGTGTGGATCGGCAGTGGTTTCACTGAATTTGTGGTGGACTCTGTGGTCCCTGACCCAATGAAAAAGAGATCCCTCATTGGCCATGGCATTGCAGCACATGAGGAAAACACGAAGGGGAAAGCTGGCTTCAAAGGACCGATGAGCAAAGAGACGATGGGCCCCCACTATGATCCCGAGTCCTACATAGAAAAAAGAATGGTGTGAATGAATGAAAAAGGTTAGCTACTGGTTGTAGTGTGGCACAGGTGTTTGAGTCACGTGAATTCGTGACTGACTCAACGAAAACCACGCCACCACTCACCAGTCATGTAGTAGATAAAGTAAGTCCAAAACCAAGTGTGCGCCATGGTGTCGGCAGCATAGTTGACGAATCCGTAGACTCCCAGTACATGAACAATGGGAATGTAGAAACACATGAAAGTGTTGTAGTTGCCTTCTTTCCAGTGGTAAGAAAGGACTGAAGGAATGTCCTTCCACATTTGTAGTGACAGATCCATCTTGGCTTGGCTTAGCTAGAGTAGAGCTAGTTAGAGATACTTAGGGTAGTGGAGAGAAGGAGAGATCACAACAACAGCAACAGCAACAGCAGCAGCAGTAGTAGTAGACTAGCTAGTGTTGGTTGTGTGGGTGTTAGCGTTGTTGGCGTTTGTTGACTTGTTGCTTTCGTGGCGCCCAAAGAATGAAGAACAAAAAAATGCTGAATGCGTTGCAGACCGTTCACGGCGGTACCGATCCTACGGCGACTTCCTCCTGATTCGCATCATCAGCACGCCGAAGCGAACAGAGCCAGCCATGGCAGGCAGACAAAAATTATCGACATCACTGGCAAGATACTACACTTTTTGACATACTAAACAATAGATACTTAATCGGCACGGAAATCCAACCCGTTAAATAGCCAGAATACTTAGCCGACACCTTCTCTAACATCCATACCTCATTTAAGCCATTCCTTGTTCAAACTCACATACAAAACGTACGAGACAGCCACGGATGACAGCTTGGCGTTGGCGGGAGATGTCACATACAAAGAAGCACAGCTGATCGACAAAAATGTTGGGAGCTGTTGTGGTCCGGTCTTGGTTTGGTCCGGTGGACTGCAGGATGTCATTGTGATGAAAGAATAGAATAGAACCAAGCAAGACAGTTTGCTCGGTGTTTGATTCTATAGTACAGTCAAAGTGGAAAGATCTTCGTGGCTATGGTTTGGATGGTTTCTCACTCAAAGAGTCAGCACAATCGTACATCTCGACGGTGGTCTGTGTCTGGTCTGGCCAAAATTGCAGATTAAGAGATGGCGAACGAAATTGTGAAATCAACCAGGACTTCCAAGCAAGTGTGGATGCGCAGCTAGGTGTACGGTAGGAACAAGCCAACCGGAAGCATTATTATTTTGGTGAAGACTCAGGTGTAAACGAGACGAGACGACTGTGGTACCCGTACCGGTACGAGGTGCGAGCCCAGCCAGCCAGGCACAAACTGTGCAATAACTTAATCTAGCTAGTTCCAAATGCCGTTTCCTTGGTAGCTTTGGTGGGATTTGGCAACAGCGCCAAGCCGTGAGCAATGCAATGCAGGGCATCAGTTGGCAGTCTACTGGTGGAGGTACTACTACAGTACTGTAGATTCGTTTGATAACTGGATGAAGCCTGTGGTACCGTAGTATTACGTGCAGCAGCTATAGTTCCTTCAAAAAGAACTTTGGATACCATCCTACATTTACCAATGGTACCGTCTTTCCGTCTTCATTTGCTGCTGCATCCGATGCCGGTTGGTGTGTACATACCAGTCTACAGAGTGAGTACGCCTGATCCGGTCCCACTCCCGTGGCTAGAACGTCCACTGTATCTCCCACTTTGACCCCACGGAGCATTTTGGTGCCATCCAAACTTGGATGCGTCTCCATGACGGTGCATTCAAAGAGAGCAGGAATGGCGGGATCGTTCCATTCAGCGCTGATGGATCCTGCTTGTCGGTTGGCATCTTGCTGCATTTGGATGACTATGGCTTGGAATTGAGTCTTGGTTTCATAGTCCTTATAGGTATGCCAAGACTGTTCCACAACCACCAGACCCATCAAGACGGCTCCGGCTAGCAACCAACCGTTGCCATTGTCATTCTTCTTCTTTTTGTTGGTGTTCTTTTGGAACCACGAAAAATGATGGTGGCTGTCATTCTTAGTCTTGTGGGCTGATACTACATGTAGTAATAGCTGTCTAGTACAGAGGCATCTCTTGTTAGTGCTAGTGGACGAACCTAACTTGATGGCATACCGAATACATGTAGGTTGTTGCAACGCCATGGTTGATGGTATATTCTGCTATCCCACGCACCGCATGCTGCTCTCGTTGATCGCTGAGTCAAAAAAAGAGGTGGTGTGAAGTTCTCAGGATATAGCAAAAACGTAAAAAGACTTATTAATAGTGTTCCGATTTTGTATTCATGCTTGGAACCCTGACTTCTTAAAAAATCCGGCCTAAAATCCAATTCCTCGATCTGTTGAATTCACGTAACATCTCCAACCAAGATGCATCCCGCGATCTGAGATCCATTGCATGCATGGAGTCAACATCTCCAGTGACAGTCTGTCGACGATCGACTTCATAGCATATTTCTTCGCTCCTTTACAAAGCTGTTCCTGCCATACTGTACTAGTATATATGTGGTATCATGAACCACACGCCAGCACCGGTACATGCAGAAGAGCCAACAGAAGCTGAAGAAGAAATCCATGTGATCACGGAAGCCGTGAGAATTGGAGGTCTGGTCATGATGTCCATATGCATAAGCCTTGCTGTTGGGTTTGCAGCCTGGGTGGTCTACCATCGAGGTGCACCCACTGTGAAAATGATGCAGCCCCAATTCTTGCTCATGCTGTGTTTTGGAACGGTTCTGTCATCTTTCACCATCTATTGCATGGGAGCCAACGACCAAAATTCTGTGAATATCAATGCAACCTGTCTGGCATGGCCTTGGCTGGGATACACGGGAAGTACCATCACTCTATCAGCCCTGTTTTCCAAATTAATGAGGGTCAATGAAATATTTCACGCACATGGCTTTCAAAGAAAAGTTGTCACTGCAAGAGATGTATTGCTACCCTTTGTCACTCTCTTTGTCATCAACTTGACATTGCTAATATGCATGTCAGTGCTGGACCCATTGAAATGGAATAGAGTGCCTCTCAATGAAGACGAACCTTACAGTACCATTGGCTTTTGTGCTTTTGAAACATGGGTCGGGGAACTTCTGAATGCACTCTTGAGACTGGTTGTATTTGTGGCATTAATTATTCTCTGCGTTCAAGCGTACAGGGCTCGAGATATCAAGAGTACATTCAGTGAGGCAAGAGGTGTGGCATTGGCCATCTTTTGCTGGCTCCAATCTGACTTGATTGTCACTCCTACAGATTGGGTGGTGGATCCAACGGATGTTGATACACGCTACACGCTTCGGGTTATGCAAGAATTTGTAAACAACATGGCCATGCTACTATTTGTCTTTGGGCCCTTGATTGCTCATCACAGACACAACGTCAAGCATGGCGACAGCACTTCCATGAGAAATACTCGGATATCAGGTCTGGACATGGAGACATGTACTGGTACCACAGCAGTATTTGGGACAAGGACCTCTGCAGCTACATCCCGTCCGTCGGGACATCGTAGAGAGTCCGGGTTTGACGGTGAACATCATGAGGCAACCTTCATTGGCAGCCAAATGCCGACTGATCCTCATCAATATTCACAACAACATCCCAATCTTCCAGAAATGGTGTTGGAAGTACAAACTCTCCGGGCCCGTGTGGCAGAGCTGCAATCCATAATTGCCACTGCATCTGCGGAAGGAGGAGGAACTGGAAAGAATGAAGCTCAACAAACAATAAAGGAGAGGGAATCAGATCAAGTATCATAACAGACGATGAAAGTTCCACGATATCTCTGTTTGTATTGGAAGGACTTCGTACGGAAGATCTCGAACCCGTTCGACTTACCTCGAGGCGATGATAGTGTGGGGACTGGATTCGATCCGATTCGATTCATTGCAATCACTGGCACTGAGGGTCCCTGGGTGGACCGATGGAAAGATCAAAGGCCAACGCTGCCTTCGAACTCCGCTACGCCGGCTACCAAGATTCATTCATACCTTCATGGATTGGGTACAGGTGAACAAAAACCTAGTTTTCCCTTGGCCACGCAACAACCCATTCGAAAAAGAATCCAATCTACATGCATGCATGGGTTTACGTTTCCGACCAAATCAAAGAATCCATTGCATGGCTGCAGTATCACCAAATCGAGGCGACGAGTCCACATACACAACTCTTTTACAAAGCATGCACCAATCCTCTGGAGTCAGCGGGCAATGCGCAAATCCAAACTATAGCTAGTCTAGAGCATAAAACATAAAGCATGTCAGACCATGCAGCCTGTTTTTCAGTGACAGCTCGATCGATCCGAGGGCAGGTTTTGAGAAGAACCTGTTCAGGGCAGGACGCACTTTACGCAACATAGAGGTCTAAACGATACTTGCTATCAAATCGAGCACACCGTTCACTGTCCATAGTCATGCATGCAGCCAGTATTATTTTAAATATACTTAAGATTGATTCTTGGGGATGCGGACACTGTCCATGTCAGTGGCAACCAGTATTTTTCCTGTGTAACCTCCAGCATCTGCAATGATCTTGCGATAGTCGTTCTTGTTGAGAGGATTCTGGAATCGGTTGGACCCAACAGTAGGGATTTGGTGAGTGAGAATCAAACCAGCTGCTCCGAGACGTTGTGCCATGGCTCCCACATCTTCTGCAGTGCTTTGGCGATTGTAGATGGCCGCAGGCAGTCCGGGTTCACCAGGAGCCGATTGTAGTGCTGTGGGATGGATGACTGCATGAACAAGAACGTCAGTACCGTTGGCAAGTAGCTCAACCTGATCAGAGGTAGAGTAAGGACGGGCAATGGGATCTCCATTGTCATTGCTGGCATCACCTGAAATCACCACACTTCCAGCAGGGGTGTCAACACGATAGGCTGCGCTCCCTCCGACATGATTGGTGCGAATAGCTTTCACTTGAACATCACCCGACTCCCAGACAAGTTCTGGTTCTTCTGCTGGAGGAAACAAAATGGTGTTGGCCAAACCAGATGGTCCCTCTGGATTGCGGGCTGGATTTTCTGCTTTTCGTTGGGCAATCTCCCCTGATGCTGTAAAAGGGTCATCAATGTGCTCGATGAGCTGTTGGCAGCTCATGGTTCGACTACTGCCATCGCTGGCGGTGACTAGGGCATCCTGAGCACAAACAATATCAACTGGGTTTCCGTTGAAATGCCATAGATTTTGCAAGAAGATGCTCAAGTCATTGACATGATCGCTGTGGATGTGTGTGATAAAGATGGCATCGATATCCTTGGTTCCAAAGTTCCACTTCTTTGAAAGATTGGTGACTGCGCCACGACCAATGTCAAACAGGAGCTTGACACCACTAGTGCAGTTATCGTTGACAGTTCCGTATGTGATGAGAGTGGAGGACTGAGCCAAGCCCATGTCGGTGACAGGTCCTCCTAGCACACCTAGGGCGGTGATCTCCAAGCAAGAGGAGTCCTGGTTTAGTCGACGGGAGCGACGGATGTGTGTGGTCCCATCGGCAGCTACTGAGGCTGCTGACAAAAGAGATACAATAGCGGTTGCAAGCTTCATGGCTTTGTTGTTGATCTACTAGTAGGCACTACCTGTAGCTAGCTATAGTATATCACTGCGATTGTATGATTGAATCCTTCACTATGATTTTATGAAGAACTGAGCTCCTGCCTGACGCCTGGCACTCATTTTTGTGTTCAACACGCACACGACAAGTACTAGCTAGCTAGTACGGTACCTTATCATAAGTGGATGATCATTGAGGTTGTCAGCGAAGCTTATCAATCCAAAGGCCTTTTGTACCTTGTTGAATATCGCAAGCTTTTTCTGCCTGTTCTTCACTGTCCACAGGATCATACACAAGTACACAAGATTCGTATTAAAAAGCCACTCCCCCGCATGGCAGTGGATGAAAAAGCCAAGCCTAAACGATACTAGCTACCTCAGTTGCAAGGTGCCTGTGAAGCAAATAAATGTTGTCAGGGTTTGAAGTTCTTGATGCATCGAAGAGCGGCATTTCTATTGCCCTTGAAGAAGTGAAAGGAGCTCCATGGAGGCCATTTCTTTTCACAATGGCTGTGGAGCCAGGGAAATAATATACATGTACGTACAGGCCTACAGGAGTAGTAGTCTACGTGTAGACTACGTTCGAGACTTGACATTGTTATTTCTATAGGAAGAGCTAGAGTCTATAGGAAGTGGTACCAGGTACCACATGTACAGCTTCCTTGGACCTTGTACGATCGGCGCAACCATACTATAAGTAGAGCCATCATCAAGCATGATCGAAACAAAGCGTTTACAATACGGCACGGTGGACTTTTGTCAATCTAGCTTTTTTCTCCTGGAATGATACCGGTACCAAGGTTTCTTTCCTCGGCAGCACCTACATCTATGTGGTGAAGGCAAGTGCTCTATGGTACTGGTGTAATGCCTCTTTGTGCGGAATCATACAATGCATATCTTGAGCTATGGACTGCTAGCTAGTAGTCTACTACCGTATTACCTAGCTAGTGGGGACTATGGTGAGCATGGGTTTCATGGAGAGGAGGAGGGCAGGATGCAAGAGCCCGAGCCGAACAAAAAGAGATTCGAAGTCCCTTATGACGATGAGGGAAAAGTAAGCATCTGACGTCTGCACTTTGTACGTTGCCAACTTAAAGATTTAATGCATCTATGTCTGCTTCTCACAATTGCCCGAATTTCAAGAGCATCACAAGCGTTCCAACCATGGAAAGTCTTTTAAACCATGTATCCTACAGTCCGGCGCGCATTGGGGCAACACGAAAAATCGAACAGCATTCGATCACAAAATCGAATGGCAAAGGAGGACCATCGCTCATCAACAGCAACAACAACAGCGACACCAACACGGCATGTTCCGGAGGAGCTTTTTAAATACTACTACTACTCCCTTTAATAATAACCCAAGCTTTGCAGTCTCGTTGACCAAGAAAGTCTTCAAGAACGTCAACACAGGCGATGGGATTTTTGACGATGCCGAAGAAGACAGCATCTTTGCCGATGCCGAGACAGAGTCACACCATGACGTTGAGGTTAGGGATAAGGTTAGAGTGAGACAAGAAGACAATGACAATAACAATATTATTGCCGCCAGGTTTGTCACTCAGGACAATGATGTACAAGCACGACCACAAGAACAAGTGGACAGCAACAGCAACACAGCAGTAGAAGTGGAATTCCCTGTGGGTTGCCACTGTTTGGTCCAGGTCAAAAGTGCTTTTCTAAAAGGCAAGGTACGCGAAAAAAAGGAACACCGATTTCTGGTGGAAATCCCCAAACTCCCTGCGACACTAAGAGGAGAACACGGGCAAACACAAACCATCATCAGCTGCAGAAAGCTTCACTATGCTCCTCGTCAAAAAGTTTGGTTGTCCACACACCAAGGTCTCCTTGCGGGGATAATTGTCAGCGCCGAGCAGGATCTCAATGACACAGCTTTCAAATATACAGTAAGAGTCACCCGAGGAAACAGTCATTCCATTTATACCCAGGTGCTCCAACAAGATTTAAAACTGAGAGTTCAGTCATCTTATAAAGCTTGCAAAGAAACGATGGAGGAGGACCACCAAGAAGAGCCAGAATCCAAAGATTCGCAGCAATTCACTGAAACGGAGGAATATTTGTTACCGGATGCATGCCAATCGGGAACGCATATAGAGTCAACATGGCATCATCAAGTGCACATGGAGCCACAAACACCACAGGACACACCAGAAGAGGTATACAGCGCTTTTGAAAGCACACACGAATGTGCCCAAGCTGTCCAAATGGAACCGGACGCTTGTCATTCAGGAGAACCAGATTTCACAGAAACTGATCATCCGCAAGTGCACATGGAGCAAGAATTGGGACAGGGGGGACAGGAACAACCAGAATCGCCTTACGATGACCAAATGGAGGAAGAAACACCAGCACCAGCGGAGGTATACAGCTCTTTTGTAAGAACACACGATCAATTTGTCGAAATGGAGCCGGATGCTTGTTATTCAGGAAAAACAGGAGAGTCAACAGAAACAGATCATCCGCAAGTGGGGCAAGAATTGGAATTGGAACAACCGCCTGAGGAGATGGTGCCCACCTCTCCTGCACATCCCTTTGAAGTGGAACATTTAATACCACCAATACACCATGCAGCCATGGATACCGTAACGGAGCAAGCACACGATACAGATGCATGCACTTCTACTAATGCGGATGTGGTAACAACAACTCCGATGCCTGCGGTTACAATTAGTCAAGTGGAACTACCGCAACAGAAAAATCATCCAGAGCGGACACAAGGTTTCAATACCCATCGCGGAACAGGAGCACCTCATGACTGCAATTCGCCTGGGCATCAAGGGACAAGTGAAATTCATCGCAAACGGTCATCAAGCCACTTTCAAACAGCAGCTCAGGACAACTGTAATACAGCTGAACAACAGCAACAGCCCAAGAGGCAAAGACATTCACATTCCAACATGCCCGTGGAACATTCAGACTTTCACCGTTTCAGCTCACATCCCCAACAGCAAGGACCAAAACACCACACGCACCACGCACACGGACGAGATAACTGGCAACCGCAGAGGCCATGGAAATCCTACGGAGCCACACAAACACAACGAAGACGCCCAGAATTCCCTCAGCAACCACCAATGTATGAAGCAGCAATGCACGACCGTAGAAGACACAGCAATCATCGACAACAGGAACATGGATATCGTCCTTTCCGTCAAGAAGAAGAAATGCGGATGCAGCAACCCTTACATTTCACTGAAAGGAATGGCAGTCAGTGGCGCGTGGAAGCATCTGAAAAACATGAGCGCCATGGTCGTCAAAGAAGATTTCCGGCATCGACGGATTCATCTCCACGGCCCACGGGAGACCAGCACAAGCAAAATGCAAAGCATTTCAATCATCGCCATAGAACAGCCGAAACGGCATCCCGGAAGGCCTGCAATGGTGCAAGGCAAATCAAGAATGGACAACCCAACACACAGGCAACGATGATGAAGTTGTCAAAGCAATCTGATAATAAAACGCTAAAAGCCACAAAGAAGCATTCTGCTGCAAAGCAACGGCAGCCAACATGGAGGAAACCAGCTGGAAAGGAACCAAAGCCAATCCCAAAGAAACCTCCCACGGTGCTAGTCCCTGGTGCAGCACGAAATCAACCCGTCAAAAGGAAGGCTCCAACATTACTGATACCAGGTGCGGCTCGAAACAAACCCTCTATTCAGGAAACAAAACAATCTACAGGAAAGGAAGAGAAAGTCCTTGACCAGCCCGTGAAGGTCACAAAGCAACAAAAGATCAAGGCCGCACATGCAAACACCAAGAGCACAAGGACAAACAGCAACCTAGGTCTTGGCCATTCGAAGGTCAAAAAGGTGCTAAAGAGCAAGGCTTCCACTACTAGCGTGCAAAAAAAGACACGTGCCCCTTCCAAGGACCAGAGCAAGATAATCTGTAGGAGCAGTACCGGTACCAAAAACTCAGCCCGCGGGGCTTCGATGGGCCAGGATACCCCAAAGAGAAACATCAATGTCGAAAATATACAAGAATTGAAAACGGTCGTGGCGAAACTGGCTGGGTCGGAACAAGCCTTGAGAGTTTTGGGATTGAAGCTGGAACATGATATCCCAAAACCTTGCTGGACTCCCCACCAAAGGCGGCTTGTTGCAAAGGTGGAGCATCCTCCTCCAATTCAATCAGCTTTTCGGAAGAGGTTGTCAATCGTTGTCAAGAAACTTGCCAAATGTCCAAATGCTCTGTCAGTTCTGGGGCTAAACCAGGATGATATTCCAGAGAGCTGCAGACCTTAGCTATAGAAACAAGTTGCAAACAAGTGGGTGCGACGAGAAACATAAGGCTATAAGCTCTCATTCGGATCTGAAGTCTATTTGTCTAAGGCTTTGCGAGATCAAAGAGTACGAAGTGTGGGACTTCACTCGGCGCAACTCTCGTATACTAGCAGATCTCTTTGTTCCTCTGGTTTCCATCACCATGTCTCCTCATTCTACGTGGTACAGTACCGACACCAAATAACACGTTTTGTGTGGAGTCCGAGGGATTCCGGCTGCCCTCGTACTTCATCAATCTGTTCCGTTCGATTCAATTCGGACACGAACGACTTTTCGGCCTAAATGATCCCCCTACTAGAGGAAGGCGTTGGGGATGTGACAAGCAGTACATGTAGTGGTTCAAGGTAGTGTGGAGTTCAAGTGCGCCGGAAAGACTTTGCAGCTCCTCGGCACCGGTAGTGTGATTTGCTTGAGGGACGTGTCCAAGGACATGTTTACGATGATCGCTTCACAAGATGCTAAACGCGTTCGACCATTACGGAATTCAAGTCGAATGGAACATTTGTGGCAAGCCATTGGCCAACATCATACTAGATTCTGACGCTCTCGTTCATCTAGTCTTTAGACACGTCTCAATACAGCCTTTACGAATAGATCACCATGAACCTATCGCTTCGAAACAGTATACCGCCATGACCAATTGAGGCAGCCAACGTGTCCCCTCCTCTGGCAACCTACAGAAGATCGACCGCAAGAACCTCCAAGATCACCAGCGTCCAGCGTCACGCCTTGTACTGCCTCGCCATGGCAACGTTGCTGTACGAGACGGAACTTTTTCTTGCTCTTGAAGCGGGTACGTGTATGTCTCTAGATGTCGTGCGGGCCCTTTAGGAAATGCTGCTGGGCCTCGGAACAATCGATACAAGCCCCCGCATTTCCAAAAGGCTGGCCTTTCTGTCGAGGTTCAGATGCCCATTGGCAGCATCAACCCGGCACGTCTCTTGATTCCGAGAAAGGGCAAGAGGCTATGTAGGTGAACATACCGAGGCTGAATGGAGGGTAATAAGGCTTCACACAACTGGGAAGCTTGCTATGGGGGTAGGCTGAAGTATGGGTGGGTTTTGGACGCCATAGGTCGGAGCGCAGCAGTGCCGGGGCTGGGTAGCCAAGAGTGAGCAGACCAACCGAAGGAGAAAGGATAGCAAGGAAGGATTCAAATGATGAGTTTGGGGTGAGACTGGACTGACTGGACTATAGGAGGAGTGAATGCGAGAGGTGGAGTGCACCATGCAAGGACAGGCGCTAGCTCAACCAGGATCGTGTGCCGGCTGTCCTTTGAAGCAACGGTTTGGGATCTTTTAGAAATCAGATGGCAAGGCTTTAAAGACACAACATCGCGATCACTAAGCCCCCATCACTACAGTATTACGGCACCAGAACCAGAGTTGACCGCAAGGGTACCGCTATCCCTCCCCGTGCACTTAAACCGGTGGTCGAAGCTGGACCAGAAGAGTAACGCCGTAGCATCGCTAGTTGACCATTGTTTGTTCCTTCTAACAGCACTAATGTTGATACAAGCTAGGAACCATCCTTCCAGTTTCATATTTTGAAAATACACAGATACGGCACAATGCACCATACCAGATATATATAAGCATCCCCATCAGACCCTCACATTTGCGTTTTCTTCAGTCGTTTTCCTGTCGTGTCCTGTTGTACTCCAGCTCGGCCTTTCCTACTCACCAGGCAGCTAATTATTTGTAGCTAGCAAAAGCCAGCCAGCTAAAAGTCTTTGAACAGAGCCTGCTCGGAGGCCGTCAACGAGGGATCCTTCTTGGAATCCTTCTCGAGATGCTCGTAGGAATCAAAGTGACTGGAATCGAGAGCATTGCGGATCCGAGGCACCCACGGGGCGGGCCATTTTCGGCGGAGCAACTTGTCGACATCGATAATTTCAAACCATGGATGATCTCGAATATCCATATCTCCACGAGCCAAGCATCCCATGCGACTGGCTTGTCGTCGGATGATCAATCGTTTGATGAGATCTTGGGCATGATGATGCACCAATCCACCCCCAGGAAACGAATATTGTACCTTGCAAATGCGTTGAAATAGATCTGCCTGGCTGTTGGATCCAAAATCAAAGAAGGGGGAATGCCCCACAACCATTTCGTAAATGAGTACTCCGTATGCCCAGTAATCGGCTCCCTTGTCGTGTCCTTTGGAGAGAATGATTTCCGGTGCCAGATATTCGGGTGTTCCACAGAGTGTGTACGTTTTGTCGTCTACAACTTTGGCAAATCCCAAATCCACCAAGACACAGTATCCCTTGTTGTCAACCTGTAATGCAATACGAAAATCAAAAAAAGAGTGGATGCTGGGTGAGCTGTATCTGAAAGCCACGTTTGTTGGTTGCTGGTTTTTTGTTGTCTCTGTAGTAAAACACGCACTCACCAAGACGTTCTCTGGATTGAGGTAAACAAAAAAGAGTGGATACTGGGTGAGCTATATCTCAAAGCCACGTTTGTTGGTTGTCTCTGTTGTCAGACACGAACTCACCAGGTTTGAGATCACGGTAGGCAATGTTCCTCATGTGCAAATGGGAGAGTGATTCAAGAATACAAGCGGCATAGAATCTTGCATTTCCATTGGGCACCCCGTCCATGGATTCGGTGTGAATGACACTAAAGAGTTCTCCTCCCTGTACCAATTCGAGTACCATGTAAAGACTCCTGGAATCCATAAAGGATCCTACCAAACTAATGACGAAAGGATGATCGAGCATGGACATGACATTTTTTTCTTGTGCGACGGATCCCACTTGTTGATGTTGAATAATTTCGTATTTGGATAGCATTTTGAGTGCGTAGGGTGTGCCCGTCTTTTTTTGTGTGACGAGCCAAACTTTTCCAAAGGTTCCCACACCCAGAATACGAATTTTGGATAGCTCCTTGAGCGTAATGGCTTTTTCGTGTGCGGATTGTGCCTTGGGGCGTCGTGGCCGTCCGAGTCGATCGGCATTGCCGACGACGGATAGGAAATCTTTTTTGGAGAGTACACCACATCGTGTTTCTTCCATGACGGTGATGGTTTGCGTGGCGACGGCTCCATCAGGTTCTTTGAGGAAGGATTGTCCAAAGTAGTCACTGTCACTGAGGAATCCCGGTCGCGATGAATTTTGATGTAGAATGCGTACTTTTCCTTGTCTTACGACATAGAAATTTTGTACGAGTGGTTTTCCCTGTTGCGCCAACACTGTTCCTGGACGGAATGTCATTTCCACAACGAGATCGGCCAATCGGTTCATTTCAAAGGCTTCAAATTGAGACATGATGAAAATGGGTACCGCGAGGAGTGTTCGTTTGGACATGGCTCTGTCAATGGCCGCCTGGAGTGGTCCGAGCACAACTTTGAATTCTTCTCGACCCAATTTGAGCAATACACATCGTTCGGAAGTGGCGGTAATAGACGCATTTCTGGGTTCTCCCGTGAGCAGCGCACGTTCTCCAAAGAAGGCTCCAGCTCCCATACTCTGTTCAATGAACTGTCCTTCTCGTTGCCCAATGTCGTGCACCTTGGCAGTTCCTTCTTGAATAATGTAAAAGTTGTCTCCAATTTCTCCCTTGGTAATGATTCGATCTCCCGCCTTGCACACTTGCGTGGAAAAGGCATCGGCAATACGAGTCAAGTCACGATCTTCGAGGTCGGAGAAAAATGACACTTTCTTGAGAATCCCGTGTGTTTCCTTGTTTTGTGTATTCTGCGTGTTTGCGAGCATGTGTCGAAAGGTCTTTTGATCTACGATCCATAGCGTACAAGTGGTTTCAGCGACACAAGATGCCGATCGTGGACAATTGTAGAGCAATGCCAATTCTCCAAACGAGCCTCCACGACCACATTGACCGACTTTGCGCGAATCGACTTCGAATCGAACCGTTCCTTCGTCAACTACATAGAAATAATCTCCCGTTTCTCCCTGAGTGACAATCGGTTCTCCACCTGGAACTTCCTGCGTTTGCATGGCGTCAATCAAAAGTCGACGTTCCTTGCTACTAAGATTCTGAAACACGAAATTGTCGCCCAAGCAACCGTCGATAAACTCGTAAGCCGCTTCACTCTTCGGGTAAAACGGAGGTTTGTACGATTCCGTCATGTCCAACTTTTGGGCAAAGATATTCTCACGCTGCGCTCGAACGCCATCTTGCTTCGTCTTTTTCTTCTTCTTCTTACTCGGGCTGTTCTTGGGTTTGCTCTTGAACAAGTTCATCTTGGATCTCTGAGTTTGAGTTTAGCTTGCTTCTTGGCTTGGCTTGACTTAAGCTTGACTTTTAAAAGAGATAAGATAAGGGAGACAAGATGAGGAGGAGTGGTACTGTACAGTACTGTGTTGGCAGCGTGGAGCAATCGGAAGTGCTACTAATACTCGTGTAGGTAGATTATGAATGAATGAGAAAGCTACCGAAGAATAATGAGGGTAGCATTTGCTGTTTGCTTTTGTTTCGTGATGTTTCTTAAATTTTGGATGACTGTGACTCGACTCATGGCTCAGTGCTGATTCCATCATTAAGGTTAGGATAGAGAAGTGTTCATTAAGGTACAGGGTAAATCCGGATCAAAGCAACCCCCACGTCGTTGAGAGTACGTAATGGTACTCTAGCTAGTAGTACGACAGGTACCAGCGCCCACGCCTATTGGAATTGCTGGTATTCCCTGTGGTACATGTGGCTCGCATTCTTACATGTGGCTAGCTAGCTAGTAGCCAGAGCTCTTCCTGGCCACCTGCTACGGTAGCTAGCTGACTAGCCGCAGCCATAGAGCTAACCAGATACCAAACGCCGAGCACAAAAAAAGAACTCAGAAAAACGACTACAGTATTAATCTAATAATAAGAAATCTCTTGCCAGTAGCTGACGAGCTGCTGGCTGACGATACGAAGAAAACGTCCCTCATTGGACAGCTATCAACTAGACTACTGGCTGAATTCGAAGCAGCCAGTAGTCTACCTGAAGCCTAAAAGAAAGCAAGATCTCTCTCTGGTATTAATAGCAACTTCCCAAACCGATGCAATGATACACAGCTAGCTCGAGTAGCTGCGGCAGTACAGTGTACATAGTCGTCTATCGATAGAGTATGGTGCTATGGTTGAGCTTGAACTCTCGGCCAGTGGAATGGTATGAATCGCCTTTGCAGGTTACAGTGGTGCAGTTTTGGCTACAGTGGTTGGGCTGTTGGGCCTTGGCGCTTGGCGGCAACGGTTGCAAAGACCTATCGTCTAATTCAAGGTGGCTTCCACGCTTTCACCTTGCTGGCACTCAGACACAACCACGCAGACACACACGCAGACAATAATGTTGAGCTAGGTCTAATGCGCTAATCTTGCCATTGCAATACCGCAGAAGATATTCTTTGGACCGACGGTACCACTGAGATCCTATCAATAAGCTATCAATGTAAAAAAGAGCTGCAAAAAGTTTGTTCTGCGACCAAAGCATTGGCAGTAATTGTGGTTTGATAAAGCCTGTTACGATCAGGGAGACTTTGCTGAGAAAGGAGAGAAGGAGAGTACTGTACTCATGTGTGACTATTGACAAATATGAGGTGTATCTTGTCTAATTCACTTTTAACGTTCAATAGAAAAGTGAAGTGCTGTACCGAGTACCGAGTAGAACGCCGAGAACAGCCAGTCCCATCTTGCCTTCTTCTTTTGTGGGAGCAATGAAACCGGCAACAAACTTACAAACTTCTTGGTTTTGGCTCACAATTTCAACTTGGACGCATCCAAAAAAACCAACCTGAAAGATGAGCACCCGACCCAGCATTCGACGACCACGCAATAGCGTTGTACGCCCTATTGGATCAGATGACGCCAGTGGTGAGCTGATGATGAGTGATACTAGCAGCAGCAGCAACAGCAACGGATCCTTTCAAGAAGCCGCTGCGGGCAGAAGGAGCAGGTCCCGCAGCACAGTCGGCCGGAAATACTTGCAAGGTTTTGATATGGCCAAACTAGAACGAGCATTTGGCAATGGTGCTGCTGCAGTACATGTAGAAGAAGACGAATACGATCAAGGACAACGGAGGAGACAGCCCAGCAGAAGAACCGACACTCACCAGAGATTCTCCTTGAAACGCAGATCTCGGGTCTACGGAGCAGATGCAGATGCAGATGAAATTTCAGACTCAGCGGAAGATGATGATCAGCAGGAGCCACAGAGTGCACCAGCAAATACACATGCCACTGGACTTGCAGGCAGAAGAAGCAGAAGAAAACACTACAGGACAAAAGAGCAAGCCGTCATGGCTGAAAATTGGTACATCCTCAGAGAGGCCCTTGGAAACATGGCATAATTTGTTTGCCAAGTTCCACCCTACTAGCTAGGCATCCAGATCAAAAAATACTAGCTAGCTATCAGTTTTCACATTCCATACTTCCTCTGTTCTGCTTTGTTGCTTCTGGTCTTAGTTGCTTGTGCGTAGTTGGCTGGCATCTTCTTGATCATGCTAAGCAATGCATTTGCCTACTAGCCACTGCCCAGCTAACATGAAACATCAAACTACAAGACTATTGGGCGCAAGGACAACATGCCCCAAAGGGGTGGTCTACATGTACAGTCGTATCCTTTCCTCACCTCGACCATGTCTTCTGAATGAGCCTTGGCTTAGCTTTAACTCTACAGTAACCACCGATTGATGACAGACGTGTGTGGGAACCGTGACGTGGGAATACATGTAGCAGCCAAGCCAAGCCTGCTTGGCGGCTAGCTAGTCCAGTTTCGAGCAAAGCGGTGCCGATGGAAGGGTTTGTCAAAAACTAAACTATGAAAACTCATTTGGTTTTCTGCAGCTAATCAAGGCCAACGTGAGTTGTATGATGCCGGGAATGTATCGTCATGGAGGACGCAAACGGACAAGGGTGAGGACGGACAAAGTTAGGATAGTCAGTCAGGTCGGGAGATGGACTCTAGATAAGATCAAGCAAAATGAACTAGCTCAATCATTTATTTTTGAGTTTTGGCTTCTCACGCACTGGCCGGCTGTGCCCGTATGCCCTTTACTTGACAAGGTGAGGAGCCAGCTAGCAAGTGGGGCCGCAGCCTGTCGGGTCGTTTCGGGGAATTGGAGCAAACATCCTTCAACCAGGCTTGCACTCTAAACTTTCGAACGACTGTACCGGTACCACGTAGCTAGTGGTGCAGCAATCGAGGAAGCCGAGCTACCAGGTAGCTAGCTAAAGAAGAGGAGGTCCATACCTTGGCACATCCACCTGGCTCACTGTGCTGAGTGCACAAACCATCTATCCTTCAGTTCAACCTTACAACAGAGGTCCGCAGAGTCGACTCGGAGTCCGCCCCAGCACTGGATTTCCGGCTAGCAAACATCGCCCCAGAACTTGGGCAAGCATTGGCTGGCTGGCTGCAACCCCTGCAAGTGTCTGCCCCAGCATGGGAATTCCTTCACTGACTTGCCCCAGTACCGCAAGCAATCCTTACAATAACGATCCCCAGCACTGGAGTTCTTGTTGGCAGTTGGCACAGCACTGGAGTTCCCCGGAAGCAAGCAGCCACTTCTGGGTATGCATCATTGGAGCAATCAGCCTTCTGTCTTCAGCAGCCAGGCTTGCATAATAGCTCCTCGTCAGCCAGATGATGAAACCTGGCACCTCGCACTACATGCCAGTTCATGTAGGCCTACTAGCTAGAGTGTCCAGCTATGCAGCCAGAGCTCCGTTTGTCGGCGAAGAAGGCAAACAGAGGTGCGGATTCTTCCTATTGGTACATTGGTACCTCTTGCTGGCCAGGTTGTAGCTTGTAGCTTGGTTGGTATTTACTGTTTATTCCTTACTGCCATGAGGTCAGTAAAAGGAGCAGTAATGGCAGTAATGCAGTAATTCCTCAGTAGCAGTAATTATGCATAGTAATTTAAAGCCAATTGAAGGCAGTAAACTACAGTAATTGCAGTAATAAAGGCTAATTACTGTGCTTTTACTGTCATTTACTGGATATTACTGTTGCAAAGGCAGATTACTTACTGCATGGGATTACTTACTGCAGTAATTAGGTGGCCAACAATGGCAGTAATTGGACAGTAAGGAGCCAGTAACCCGGATTTACTGCAGTAAATACCAACCAAGGCTTGTAGAGAAGAGCATCTGAAATGAAAGGAGGCAAGCAACAAATTCGCAACCGAGTTGCACCGTGATCGATATGAGTGAGAGTAACACATCGGCTTTTGCGGCAATGTAAGTGTTTCTGTTAAGGCCGAAAGATTCGGCTATTGTAGTTTTACCTAAGTACGTGAGAGGGTGCCCTTTTCTACTTCCTCCACTTGTAGATCTGAGAAACCTTGCATAAGTAAATTTGACGCGTCTTTAGATGGTCGCGTTCACTAAAAGTCCACACAAAGATCCACCGAAATGATCCTCCGAAAGATCCAACCATTCAAGCCTTTTTCCAATTTCCAATCTCTGTGCCGCTTGCTTTGGTACTAGTAGTACTTTCGTACTTTCTCACAATTCACTTGAAAGCTCTTTGCAAAGCTCACAATACAACAACTACAAACTCTGAAACAAAAAAAGAAACAAACAAAAATGAGTACTAATAGCCGACCAGGCATTCGATTAGTGGATGAGATGGAACTATTGAGCGACAGCCACCACAGCAACGGATCCTCTTATGCATATGGGCGACGCAGGTCTAGTCGCCGCAGCTCTGCCTCTGATTTTCAGGACATGGGCAAGCTAGAGCGTGCCCTTCACGCTACTACCAGTACATGCAGTACAAGTGGAACGACGGATGAGAGTGACGCCGATGTCTCTACGCGAAGGAGACGAAAGTCAGGCAGGACTGCTTCTAGTAGTAGTAGAAATCATCAGAGGTCTTCCAACACACGCCGATCTCGTGTTTCACCTGACCTAGATGCCTCTGCATCAGAATCTATGGAACAAGATCAGGAGACTCAAGATGGTTCAGCAAAAGAATCCACCGGTAGAACATCCAAAAAGGGAGTTTACAGATCACGATCTCGAGCTGCCACGGATCAGAACTGGGCCATCTTTAGAGAAGCCCTTGGAAACATGGCATAGCTTACAAGAGCTACCGGTACGAGTAGGCATAACCAAAGAATACTATTAATAGCTTTCAAACTTACATTTCTACTTCTTTATTCTTATTGAGACCTCCAAACCCGTACTTCATGTCCACAAACTTTTGATAGACCTCCACAATCGTTTCGTCGGACTTGGCCGTGGTTTGAAAGGATTCTCTCTGTGTGCACAGCTCGTACCATTCCAACAAACGTCCAAATCGCTGGGGTGGAATTTGATAGTCCTTGAAATGCTGGAGTGACACGACCAGTCTCAAAAAGAAGGGCAAGACGTGAGCTTCGGCCAGTGTAAAATGGGAGCCCATCAGATAGGGTCCTCCCCGTTGTATCAAGGAATCTTGTAGCACTTGGAGTGCATCTTCTAGCGTGTCCATCAGCCCGGCGTCCTTTTCCTTGTCGTCATTCATGAGAAAGGTATACTGAGCCGGTCCCAACTGTGTATCGATGTGATCATTGAGCAACCGCATGGCAGCCTTGTCGGCAGCATCAGTGGGCATGAGTTTCCATAACTTTGACTTTGAGTCTTGATCAGTATTATTATTCGTATCCATTTGCCGGGCATAATCACACAAGTATTCATCACAAATGGCAGATTCGTAAATGACAGATCCATCCTGCAGGTTCTGAATGGCGGGTACCTTTCCCCTGGGATTGATTTCTAAAAACCAAGGCTCCTTTTTCATGACACTGACATGGACGAGCTCAAAGGGGAGACCCAATTCCAACATGGTGATCCAAGTACGTGCGGCATACGGGCACATGCCCCCTTCTAGAATGTACAATTGAAAGACTGTCTGTTTGGCGTCGTCTGTACATGTAGTCGCATCCGAGCTGCTACCGTTAGCACTGCTGCTAGTCGACGCGGGAGTGGCGGTCAGCCGCGTGTGGCTCGTTTGCTTTGGAGCAGATAAAGACGATCCACTACTACCGGTACCGGTACCTGTAGTGGTACCACCAAAGGAAAACCCATGGCTGCTTGCTATGCATAAGAGCAAGGCCATACAGATCATTGACGGTACTAAAGACCTCCGCATGATCATCATCATTGCTGTGTTGTATGTGTTCTGTGTTGTGTGTTGTGCCTGTACCGGTACCAATGTGTTCATGAAACATGGCAGACCAAAACGGTGAGGAATGAGGACACGTCATTGGCCAGTGATTCATTCACGGTTTTTACTGAGTCACTAAACCCTAAACAACTTTAGATGTTCTATCCCTACGACGGTTCACTTTCAAACCAGAAGCATCATGACAATGACGGGACGACTTCCGCAACAGCAACTTTGTGAAAGGGTAAGCACGCTAGCTAGACTACTCGCCAGAACAGAAAACGATAACAGTCTAATGTGGTTTTATAATGAATTTTAACATGCAGTGTCTGCCTTCTAATGTTCGTTCCTACGGTAGCCTTTGGGTCCAGCAAGCAAAATTGGAAAAGCAACGAGTAGCTTGCTTTTCTGTTTCGTTCTGTACGTGTACTCTAGCCAGAGCTAGCAAGCCATCATGTTGTCATCCACAATGGGGACTTCTCGAAGAATTTGATCAGGATCGTTGCTGCTCCAAGAAGCATAGTTGGATACACTCAGAGATATTGCCTGTAGAGCTTCCACTGCCATGGCTACCAAAGTGTTGCTGCTGCTATTGGCAAACTCTTGCGGTTCTTGCTGCTTCTTGGGAGCAATGACACGGAGAACATTGTTCCTGCTATCAAGGACAGCTTTGACTTTGAACAAGTTCACTGACTTGGCATTGAGTGGGAAAGTCTTGCTATGGTTGTTGGTGGTGTGGGCGTTGGTGTTGTTGCCCATGACCCTCAGAGTGTAGATCTCAGGGTGAAGTTCCTTGTCATGCTGAATCTGAACCTTAAGGTCACTGGCAGAGATACCAGCAGGAACATCAAAGGACAATCGGAGCTCTTCTTCGCTGTTCAGGACCCGACGAATGTCAAACATACGAGTGATACGAATGGGACTTTGCTGCAGGTTAACGTTGCCTGGCATCATGGAGGAAGAACTTGAAAAGTCAAAAATGTCTTGCATGGATTTATTATCATCCGCCACATGTTGGTGGGGAGACATGGTAGGTTGAATCATAACGTTGGAATCGAGAGAAGCCATGGTTTCTTCTATTGTTGGTATCCTGTTGTCTTTTTGGAGATAAAGAAGTTGTTGTGTCTTTTTGGGTTTTGTGTGATCGAAATTGTGAGAGGATTGCATATTGATGAGAGACAAGCCATGAGAGGTCGCCTTTTCCTCTTTATACGAAACAAACCGAATTCTGGAGCAGGCTGGAAGAACAAAGGGAACCGGTACGGAAGGGTCGTCGCCGAAGCAGAAAGTCTTCATAATTCTCATTTTGGTCGACTTCTTTCTTTCTGTTCTGCCGATCCAACATGATCTGAAAGGAGTAGGCAGTCTTTATAGTAATTCTCATATCATTCGTGTTATCGATTGATGGGGAAGCCATAGAAAAGCTTCGAAGAAAAGGACTTCATAGCGCATGCAACAAACATTCATCATCAAAACTCATCAAAACAGCACACCAAGATAGCATGGCCCATCAGCTGCCCATCTACCTAGCTAGTAGACCAAAAGGCTACTCAAGTAACCTGCGGTGCCGACACTGTGTGCCGTGGAATACGTTCACGTGCTACATGTATGATAGCAAATAATAGATGAAAGGAACTTGAACTTTTTGGCTCTCCATGCAGCCAATGCAGAAAGGCGGACAACCAGCCCTGCCTAGCTAGTACCGGTAGGCTACCTATAGCTGCAAGGATTTCGTTCAAGTTGGGTGCTGGTGGCTGCAAAGCAGGGTCGTCTACCGGTAGTAGGGCAAGAAACAGGTTGGATATTGAAGCGTCCGCCCAGACCCAATCTGGATAGCAAGGTCCGAAGACAAGCAAGTTTGGGCATCATGCGTCAGGTTCAGCACAAGCAACTTCTGCCTGCCCAGATCCAGATGTTGTGATGTTGTTCCAGCCACTCTCTTGCTCGCTCAGAGCTCTCTCGAGCTAGAGCTGCACGACGAAAAAGTGCGTGTGGCGCGCTGGGGCTACCGGAAGACCTGGCTCTACAATTCAAATCAGTGTTTTTGCTGCTACTGCCATGTGCACAAGAGTTGGGCTGCAGCCACATACATGTACCGGTAACTATTGCGTATGCGATGGAACCCCCTCCCTCACGCAAAAGACTTGTCACCAGGTACACGGCCAGCATCATACAGCAGAGAGGTCGGAGTTGGTTACGAATGGCCTACTAGTACACACACATCATGTTTGTTGACCAATTCGGTGTCCCGCTTTCATTTTTGTTGGTCGTGGACGGAGCGAGGCTCTATTGTTGCCAGCCAACAGGCCCAACCAGTTCAATCCATCACTCTGACCGTTGATGCCCTTACATGTACCACTCCTCATCCAGCCAAGAATGTTCATACCAACTTGAGGGTAATCGGCGGGCGATTGTGTCACAGCCAGTGCCGAGTGGCTTGCTGCTGCCTAAGTTTCGCGATGGGCGACATTATCGTCACGAATGAGACTCCACTTCCGAAAATGGCTCGCCACAAAACTCCCGCGACTGGTACCTCTGCCTCACAATTTCGATCTTTGTCGGACCCATTCAAACAAGTGGTATCGTTACACACACTAGCTAGCTCACTGCCAGGCATCCGTACTAGCTAATAGCTTGTCCATCTTGTCATAATATCCATCTGCAAAAGATCCAAAAGCCTTCCGACCGACTACGCACTAGTTAGCAATAAACCCAGCCACCATGACAGCCTTGATTGAGACTCTCTTCGCCCCCGTTGTGTCCACTACTACTACGTCCCAGGCCGCATCCACCTCATCGTCTGCCCAGCATCAGCCTCCCATTTTCACGAAGTCCTTCACACTGCAGACCATGATAATGATCACCAGAACCCTGGATGTCCGACGTGTCTACAACAGTGATCACGAATTGCGAGTGTCCATTGATGTTCCAGGGGCTGAGCGTGGAGCCTTGAGTCTGCACTTGGACAATCGCACAGAAAGCAGACCTTCCATCCAAATCCGAGGGGTCCTCAATGGAGAAGCCGTCTCCAAGACGCTTGGCTTGCCCACTACAAGTGCATTGAATCTGAACCAGCTCCATGCCCGACTTGCCAACGGAATTCTCGATGTCGTGGCACCCAAGCTAGTGTCAACCGCAGCCAGCGACGTCTCCACCAGTACCAGTTCGGCTGCAGCCAACGAAACTAGAACTATTCCCATTGTGGCTGTTTGAGTGAGATGAACGAACGACCTCTTGGCACTGCTGGCGGACTGATATCGAGTACAGCACATCATATGATCTCCCACATCTGCTAGAATATATTGACATGGGAATGTGCTTTCGTGGCATTTTTGCAATCTACTATTAATTCAAGTTCTCTTCGATGAGGGGACTGCACTAGATACATATATACCAACTAAACTTTTATTAAGAAGAGTTGTAGCATCACATCTCGCACGTCATATTGTGCAACCAATTCGTGAGTTTCCTTCTTCAACCTGTCACTTTCATCCACCAAAATTTAGCCAGATGGTCTGATTTAGTTGTTTCCACAAGGTCGTTAATGAAGGCTACGGACAGCTACAATCAAGTGATACCACACAGGATGAGACTACTTGCTAGCTAGCTTGACTCTGCGGGCCATCAATGATTGAATCGAATCATCACGGAGAGTGACTACATCACACGGTAGCATGATGTACCAGTAGTATTGATGTTTTGCATCCCATGCCACTATGAGAGGGGAATTCGTATGAAGCTTCAGCTTTGTCTACGTACTTTTGATTCAACCTACAATAAATGGAACTCCATCTTGATCACGGACCCAGGGCATCAATTGTCGCGTAAACTGCGAAAAAACGACTGGATCACTTCGTCATCTTCATGTTCATCACGAGACCCATCTTCATCACGAGACCCAGGGCAGCCGTTGTTGCGCAACCACTGGATCACTTCGCTTTGGTTATACATGCAGGCAACTCGATATGTGCGTTCATTCCATGGACAACCATTTTCACGAGCCCACTTTAACATTTCCAAATGGCCCTTTCTAGCAGCACTGGCACATATTTCTGCATCCCATGGACATCCATTTTCAAGAGCCCACTTCAACATTTCCAAATGGCCATTTTCAGCAGCACCGGCCATTATTGTATTTGCATCCAATGGACAACCGTTTTCATGAGCCCACTTCAACATTTCAAAATGTCCACCTTTAGCAGCACCGGCCATTATTGTATCTGCATCCAATGGACAACCATTTTCATGAGCCCACTTCAACATTTCAAAATGTCCACCTTTAGCAGCACCGGCCATTATTGTATCTGCGTCCCATGGACAACCATTTTCATGAGCCCACTTTAGAATTTCCAAATGTCCACATCGAGCTGCTCCAGCACATGTCGTCCCATTCCATGGACAACCGTTTTCATGCAACCATTGGAGAGTTTCCAGCTGTCCACATAGAGCAGCATATGCACATGTGTTTTCACTCCATGGACAACCGTTCTCATGCAACCATTGGAGGGCTTCCATATGTCCATTTTCAGCAGCACGTTGACATGCCAATTCATTCCATGGACAACCATTTTCATGAGCCCACTTTAGAATTTCCACATGGTTATTTTTGGCAGCACATAAGTATGTGTACTCATCCCAGTGACAACCAAGTGTACGAGCCCACTTTAGAACTTCCAAATGTCCATTTTCTGCAGCATACCGGCATATATCTCTTTCCAATGGGCAACCTTTGTCATGCAACCATTGGAGCAATTCCAAATGGCCATTTTGAGCAGCAAGAAGGCATGTACTTTCATCCCATCGACAACCATTTTCACGAGCCCACTTTATAATTTCCAAATGTCCACCACAAGCAGCTGCAGCACATGTCTCTTCATTCCATGGGCAGCCATTCTCTCTCAAAAATTGGAGCATTTCCAAATGTCCATTCTTAGCAGCTGCAGCACACGTCTGTTCATTCCATGTGAATCCTTGTTGTCGTGCCCACTGCATGACCATAACATTTCCAGTTTTGGCAATGACATTGCAAACATGATCACGATGGGGTGTTTTGTTGCTGGAATTGTCCCTGAGCCAGAATTCTGCAGGGGGCAGGTTACCAAATGTTTCACTGTAAAGAGTATCCGTGATTTCTGCAGAGCGACTTTGATCATATGGGTTATCTTTCACCTTTCTTGGACTTTTCTCTAGTTCAATTTTGCAGTACTCTTTGTAGAGTCGATTCATCCTTTTGTTGACGGCTCCTGCAAACGCATACTGCCCAACACCAACAAACGATAGAATCTGTCCACCCCAAATCAAATCGTCAGCAAACAAGAGAGGAGACTCGGAAATAGTCTTGGTATAAGTACTAGTACTAGTACTACTGGTAGCGCCAGTACCAATACTATCAATGGCAGGCTCAGATGACATGATGAAGGATGAAAAAAGATACTTTATAGCTACTAGAGTAGGATTGGTTGTGGCCAGAGTCACCGTGTGCATAGATATGGCATGCATTCAGAATTGGATCTGTAATCTGTATCCACTTAGGTTAAGGTTTATAGAAACAGCTCCGCTGTCTTGAATTTGCCATCGTTGCTATTCGAATCGAATCGAATCAAAGTCGTCGTCGTCACTTACTTGGCCCGCCTTGGCATCGCACTTGGCAACCACCTCGCTGCGTGAATGGTTATGTTTGTTTTGTCTGGCAATTTCGGGCTTGTTAAATCATTGAATAGGCCCCTACAATCCTGTTAAGACTTCCCTATCACTCCGTATTAAGATCATGAATGGGAGTGTAATTTGCCGATTTCCGTGTGCGATCAAAGTAATCTCTTCTAGAGCTCAGCCACTCTAGCTAGTTTCTATCCTATGATCCAAAATAAGATGCCATCAAACCATCAAACTAACAAACCTACTGGTAATGCTCCCCTTCTTTCTGTTGTACCAGTATCAGGGACAAGGCATTACACGCCGGCAACCAAAGGCAGACTTCGATCGACTGCACTGACAATCTGGCTTGGTATGATTGACTCGTGGCTGCTGTAGCATACTGGTTAGTTACAGAGGACTCTGGAGTTTGCTGAGATCTGATTGACCGCTACATGCCACAAGCTACAAGCTTTGATGAGTGGAGCCAAATAGATGCTACAATATGCTCCCAGCATTAGTTAGACAAAAATACAAAGTGATCTAATAATCGAGGGTAACATTTACCATGTATGGGCTTCCGGCTTCCGGAACGAAAGTAATCTTCCCTCTTTGGATGGCATCTTTTACTAGTAGTCTAGCTAGATAGCGTGGGATCGATTGTGTTCTGGCCTCGTGGCCTTGTGCCACGTAAGAGAAAGCGACATAATGTGCATGTAGCGGGGCTCGAGTGAAAAGAAGCTCACTGGAACACAGAAGCTTCAGGAAGACTGCTTTAAAATGGTAGCTGAGGTAACAACAAGTTAAAGATAAAGGTACATTTGACTCCGAACATGTGAAAAAGTTTTCTCATTTTACTGCATCTACCTGAAGCCACGCACTTCCGGTGGCCAGCAAAAGCCGTACCGGTACCACAATTACGTTTTGGTCTGTGATCAATAATAATGGTCCAGAACAAATCGGTGCAGCAACCACTTTTTGTTTTTGTTTTGCAAGAGCAGCATAGAATAGAATTGGACTTGAAGACGATGAAGATGGCAGCAGCGGACTCTGAATTGACTAAGGCAACTAGTAGCTGTAGTGGTACCGATAGAACCGATAGCACCAGTATGATCACCTGCCTTGCGTTTGACGGTGATACAAATACCGGTAGCATGGATTCCAATGCTACCGGTACAACTAGTATTCATCCCATTAGCATTGTGCAAGTGAATGTTGGTGTTGGTGTTGACTTGGAAGCCCAGCAGCAAACAGAGGAAGATCAGGGAGATCAGGAAAAGTCTGCAAGCAGAAACACTAAGAGAACTGCACATGTCTGCTTCAGCTTCATACATGTAGCTCTAGCTGCCTTAAGCTTGACCTTGATCTTGACCTTGATCATCCTGCTTCTTGTCAGTTTTGCTTGTGCAGTTGAAGACTCGGCTGGTACTACTACTAGTGCTAGTACAACTAGTACCGGTAGTGCTAGTACAATTGAAAGAGATGATTGGACGTTTAGCTCTTTTCATGAAAGCAAGATTCTTGCCACTGGTCAATTCATGCCTGATGGAATCACTCAACTCATGCTTTACCCATTACCAGTATCAGTATCTACCAGTACCAGTACCAGTACCAGTACCAGTACCAGTACAAATGCAGTCAAGATACTAGTACCTGACTTTTCCCTGCCAGCATTGCAGCAGCAAAACTCACCACAATCCAGAGCTATGAACTGGCTCAATCAGCATCCAAACATACCCCATCTTAATGAAGGGCGAAGGCAACAACTATTTGCCATGGCCACTATCGTATTCTCTCTTTACGCACCCGTATACACAGGCAACCATCATGATTACCTCCACTATGACATGCACGAATGTTCCTGGAATACCACACAATGTCAGCACCAACAAATACAAACACTCATCTTGCCTCCAATTCTTGCATCTGGTTCTGGAACTGGAACCATGCCACCCGAAGTCGCTCTACTCACAAGTCTACAAGCCATACAATTCCAATCATCGCAAGGAGACACTACCAGTACTACTGGTGCTGGTACCAGTACCACCATATTGTGCAATCTGATTCCCCACTCACTCGCCATGAGGAATCTGCCAAATTTACAAACTCTTCGACTGTCACTCCAAGAAGACAGTAGTAATCCACAATCATCCAGAATATCGGGGACACTCCCCATTCACCAAATGCTTCCGGCGTGGCACACGCTGCAATCCATCCAACTGCCAAACAATGACCTGCAAGGCGATATTCCAACCACGGTCGGCCTCTTGAACCATCTCGTCTCGCTGAATCTAAAGGACAACCACATGGCAGGCACCATTCCCAGTGAACTCGGATTGCTCCGTCACTTGGAATCGCTCGATCTCCGGTCCAATCACTTGGTTGGAACCGTCCCAACTTCCCTGGGGCTATTGACCCGTCTCACCAAACTCCATCTCGGCGGGAATACTGGACTCGTAGCAATGACGACAAAGACGATGACAGACACTTTCCCTAGAGAGATTTGTGATTTGCCACTCTTGGAGGAAATGGACTGTCTCGCGGGAGTTTGTCCCTGTCCAGGGACCAAGATACGCTGTACATGCTAGCTACTCGAGTACTGGTACTAGTCTAATTATTAATTAAACATCAGTTGTAACGCACAGATTTGTAACTCCTGGCAACGACGAACCATCGAGACAGAACGTCAATAGAGGCCACCGACCGCAATGTAGAAGAGAAGAAAACGTGCACGCCACTGCCCAAGACGCAAAGGTTCGCTGGCATGCTACCGTACCTGGCTACCTAGCTAGACATTGGGCCGTGTTTGTGCTAATTGGCAAATGCGTCCATAACAGAAGCAGAACTGCACGACAGCTTGGTTTCCATTTCGCAGCGTATTGACGAGAGGCGTACCAGCAAGTCAAATACCACGAGGCCCACAAGGAGCGGCTGCAAGCAGCACTGGGAAATAGCACCACGAGAAGTAACGAGTAATAATTGTGAACTGAGCGACCTTGTTAACTGTGAACGGCCAACGGGACCATGCTCAACGGCCAACAGGTGTTGAGCAGACCTACGAGCAAGAGACAAGGGTTTGAGGCGCCACAGTTTGTTTGTGAAACAGAAACGAGCGCTGACGTGCCGCTCGAGGAGAATCGAATCCATCATTGCCATCATCGTGCAAACAGAAACGAGCACTGAAAGACAGAAGAGCTAACCGTTACCTTGGACAAGTACGCTCCATCTGAACTGGAACCACCGCAAGACGACACCTTTCCCAGCGGACCAACGTTCAGCGAAGCCCATGAGGACAGCCCCGGAGGACTGACCCCAGTAGCTTCTCAAGGTTCAAACGAACTCTGAACTACTACGGTAATGACAGCGCTGAAAAAGGCGTCATCGTCATGCATTGTTGTTGAAGAAGTTGTGTTGTGCTGAAAGAGAAAAAGAGCTTGTTTTTGAGGCAACGGCGTTTCTGTTTCATGCATTCAGCATGCAACGGTGTACGTTTCGTTGCAAACGATAACTTTTTGGCAAGACCAACATCAAAATCGAAAAGGTGTCAACATCAAAAATCAAACGGAGCTCGTCTTTGCATGTTGCCGTTTTCAGTTGGTGCTTCCTTGATCCTTGGAAGGGCGCTGCCAGTATTGGATGCTGAACCGTGGATAGTGACAGCGTATCCACGGTTCCTTTCCACGGTTTTTGGCTGTGGCGCGAAAATGGCGCCTGACATCATTGAACGACAGGAGTGACGTTGCAAGCTTTAAAAGGAGTACGTGTAGTTGTAGAAAGTGTGACATGATCGAACAGTGACAGTCATCGATGACTCCTGCTTTTCCGGTTTTCGCGGATGCAATTTACGGATCGCGAGAAGGTTGCGGCAGCAATTTGCAGGAGGGTCTCATTTTTGTTTGACCAAACTTCTTTTGTAGTGTCAAGGCTCGATCTAGCTAGCTAGTAGCTGAACAGATCTTTTCGACCAACCATGGCGTCCATGTCTGCAGTATCGGCGAATACTGGTTCGGTGGTGGACAGTAGTGCCATTACGAACTTTGACTTTGCGATTTGCATGGTATGTGCTTGGCTGGTGCCCCGCTTGGTGAGCCACCATCGACTGTACCATCGGAGTCTGCAACGTAATCCCGCGTGGGTACGAAAGCACGTAAGTGGAGATCCTGGTCCTTCAGCGGAAGCAGCTGCTCGAGATGGTTATGCCAGTGGAAATCCCCAACTGGCGTTTGCCAATTCCGTGGTGAACTGGGCCATGCTCCAAGCCCTGGGCTTTGCAGCATTGTTCTACACGGTCACCGCTATAGTGCTAAGTCTCATGACAAGAGACCTGGACTACCGTACTTCGTTCATTCTCAAGGGCATATCATTCTTCATTGGAGCTTTCTACATCTTTCTACTCTCCTTCAATGCCCCACAATGGCTCGCTGTCTACGCCGCCGTAAACGAGTCCCGCCGTACACAGCTGGGAGATGGACTGGCGTCATTGGCCACTCGAGTCCGGTTGTCCACGGGAAAGACCTTTGTCAATGTATTCCCACTCATGGCACCCTTCTTTTGTGGGGCAAAACCAGCCACCATTCCTGCCTCCATTGTTATTGGATTCTTCATGGGATTCTTTCTGTGTCTTATCATTGACTTTGGAAACAGAACCATCAAAAATGCGACTCAGCTCAAATACTTTGCACTTACCATGGCATTGGCCATGGTGTCCGTTTCGGCTTTAATCTTTTCCTATGGATGTGCCTATGTGGACAGAGTGTGGGGAGATCGAAAGGGACAGGATATCACTGCAGTCGACATTCTCACCTTTACGGTATGGTTCTTGGGGGGAATGCTCCTGCATGCCCTGCAGTTCAAGATTACCAATGATCACAATCAAAAGGTGCTGCAGAAACAGAGACAACAACAGGCTCTCAAAAGAATGGATCACAAGCCTAATACTAATACTACTGCGCGTGGGGGTGCACACACTTCAGATACACTGCTGGGAAGCGTCACACAGCGCCCACAAACTTTCTTTGGAAAGTCCGTGTACGGATTCAGTGAAGCGCAACTCAGAAATATCGATCCCATGAGTATGCGAAATATCGATCCCAGTACCCGAAATATTAACACCTCGAATCAGAGGCATGATGATGTAGATACACTCCTTGGAAGGGTCACACAACGCCCGCAAACATTCTTTGGAAAGTCCGTGTACGGATTCAGCGAAGCACAACTCAAAAACATTGATCCCAGTAGTATGCGAAATATCAACACCAGCACCATGAATCACAGCAGCCATCATGATAACAACACACCCATGGAAAGTGTCAGGAGCGTTGTACCACCCATTCCAGAAAACATGGAAACCTTGGACGAAATCGAGGAAAATTCGAATTCCGAGAGTGCACATGTCGTCGACAACAATACCGACAGCAATGGAGACATGATGAATGAAAATCATGAGGATCAGGTCTTCTCGGCTGCCATGGAATCACCGCCACCACAATTTCCACCACCACAAGAGCAGGCAAAACGTGACAGTCCGGCAAAAATGGTGCCACAAAACAGCAAGGTTCATTTTGATGATTCCGAATCTCCAAAGAATGTCGAAGGAGGACAATTTGAAACTGTGCCAGACGATGAAGGCTTGGACCAAAACGACAGTCCAAACGATGATAACGACGAGCCAAGTGAATCCTGCTGCCATCTCGTCAATGTCGTGTGCTGTGATTTGACCTGTGGAGCCGGTGGGAAATCCAATAAGTCATCCACCGAAAAGCTACACAATTGCTGCAGTTGGTTCGTTTGGTCCCTACTCTTTGCCGCATCCATGTTCTTTATTCTCATATTGGTCGGGTCGCAGTTCCAGGAAAAAACGGTACGGGCCAATTTGCCACGAGTCCACGAGATTCTTTACGGAGATATGAACACCGGCCCCATGTGTGCCTTTGACAATCGAGGGACGTACGAGACGCGCCGTGAAAAGGTCGAAGCTACCCAAAGGACCTTTTGGACTCCAGAGGATGCCCGTTTGGCCAACTACACCATTCTGCATTGCGGGGCCTGTGGAAAGTGTTCCAATTATCACGATCTTCGGTTGGAATATGCCACACGCAACATTTTGGGACAGGTCGCCTTGGAGTGTGCCAAAAAGGCGCTCTTTGGCGGTGGATATCAGACGCTCTTGGAGTGTACAATGGAAAAGACCACGTTTTTGGAACCCTGTGCTCGTTGTTGGGCCACCGACATGGAATGTACGAAGAAGCATTGCATGTGGATTGGAATTCGGGCCTTTATGATCAATAGCGTGACCAATCTGCAGGTCGGAGCGGACGATATTACCCCGGCTACATGTGAAGAGGTGAGAACCTTGCTATGATGACTATAGTTCGTTTGGGATCGAATTGGAGGCTACTTGAAGATTGATTTGATCGTTTGGAGACGCCACTAACTTCTACGTGTTCTGTTTGAATGGGACTACGTACTCCAAAGGCCATGTGCGAGGCGTCCGAGATTACAGAGCAGTACGGAATGGGTGAAGGCTTTGTTCCCTGCTCGGGAGCCAGCAGGAGGAGGATGAATGTCACCTCCACGATCAGCCGACCTCTTGACCAGCAGTGTAGACAGGTCATGGTAAAATGGGAGGAGTTCTTTGGTCCGAGCAAGGGCGAATTGGACTACGATCCGGCGTACGACAACATCATCGGAAGACGACAATGATGTTGATGATTCCTTGTATACTAATTTGAAGTTCTCGATCGTTCCCTCAAAGTCACTCCGTGCAAATATAATTGTCACAATCGGATTGAACCCGCGGGCTCTCATCGTCGTTGATTCGATTATCATTTTAAGTCGCAAGGCCAGCCACGAGAACTGCACGCACACCTATTAATAATACAAAGGAAGCTTTGTTCGTAGGCAAAGATAGATATTGTCCAAGTTGTAGCGTCGCTTGATTTCACGGAGCACAGTCTATGATTAGTTCGAATTTCTCGATCGTTCCCTCAAAGTCGAACCGTACACAACGATCTGAAGAGGCAACGTGCTTGTTCAACCAGATGTATGAATGAATCGAATCGACAAAAATTTGTTGCTAATAGAATTTTAAAAAGCTAACTCAAAACTGTATTCACAAAACCGGGTTGAACCCGGGCTCCCACGCATCATTGATTCGCAAGGCCAGCCACGAGAACTGCATGCACACATATATATACCTACAAAGGAACGCTTTGTTCGTAGGCAAAGATGTTGTCGGGGTCGTATCGTCGCTTAATTTCGACGAGCCGTTCCAAATGATGTCCCCAATAGAGATTCGGGTACTCTTCAGGTCGTAGACTGTTCATCGGATAGTTGAGGTATGAGCCGGTCAAGTACTCGGCCACTCGAGGCCACCAGGCATTGACACTATCGACTTGCTCTTGGAATCGTTTCGGGGCCGTCTCGTCATAGTCGAGAATGACGAGCAACACACCGACATTGTAGACTGCATCACGATAGGGAAAGGCCGTTTCGTTGGCACGAACATCGGAAATGGCTCCGCCCCATAATTCAATGTGATGTTCCAAATTGGGTGCCAGTTCCATCCCTTTTGCCATGATATTGGTAATGGTTTGCCATACGTCTTGTGTATTGTTGACGGGCATGAGGAATCCTTGCCATGCCTGGGCCGCCCAAACACCCGTGGAGTATCCGGGTTTATCAAACATTTCGTGTGTCGATTCGGTCCATAAAAAGCTCTGGTATGTGTCTTGGAAAATGGCGGACGGTGGTAGAATGGGTTTTATCTGCGTCTCAAAATGTTGATTTCCCACGGTTGGAAACTCCATTATGGAGCTGCTGTCCGTACTGAACCACGACATGTAGGCTGCCGTCATGTTTCCTTCGCGACCTCCCACCACGACAAAGAATTCTGGGTCCGTGTTCAACGCTCCCAATTGGTATAAAAAGTCGCCAAGGTTGTCATCATTGGGTATCATGATTTTCTGAAATAGCTGTTCATCGGGAACGCCACTGTGCAATTTGTATTTCATGGATGTCACGACACCAAAATTGCCACTTCCGGCTCCTCGTAACGCCCAAAATAAATCGGCGTGACGGTTCGTTTTCATTTGGTTGGCAACCACCAGTGTTCCATTGGCCAGGACAATTTGAAATTCTTGAACATTGTCAATGCCCATTCCCAGGAGACGTGCCATGAAACCGACTCCTCCACCTAGGACCCATCCACCTTCGGCCACTTTTCCACATTGACCAACTGCTCCGGCATAACCCGTGTACTGATAGTCTGAGTGGTTTTTCTTTCCTTGCAGAAACGTATCCAAGATATCTTCGACAATGGCTCCTGGTTGGATGGTTGCCATAACGTCAATGCCTTGAGCAGTAGTAGTCTCATCATCATCATCCTCATCCTCATCCTGAATAATAATGGAACGTTGCTTCATGTGTTTGAGAGACAAGACAACGCCCTTGTCCACCGTACTGAATCCTGCCTTGTTGTGCCCCCCGGATCGAATGCGAAAGGGCAGTCCATGTTGCTTCTGTAGATGCCCCAAGACGGGAACAGAGAGCTGCACATCCTCCACGGTAGCAACTTCCACGACCGCTTGAGGCATTCCTCGATCTTGGCGCCAAACACGAGCTGCTTCTTGAAACAGAGTGAGATCGTCCAGGTCTTGCATCCACACACGGCCTTGCATCGAATGGTTCAACTCCAGTAGGGCTTGACGAATGATGTCATTGCTGCTGTCATTGCTAATGTCATTGCTCACCTCATGATTTCCCTGGTCTTTATTTCGAGGAAACCCAAACACGGAGAGAACAAGTGCCAGCACGAATAAGGCCAACAGCAACAAACGGAAGGCATATCGAAGCTTTCGTTTCTCTTTCGTTGGTCGGACATTACTGCCACTGCCGTTGTTCAAGGCGGTCTGAAAGTGATCCCGCGGCAGATCAATCTGATCCGACTGATAACTACTTGAAGGACTCTTCAGATGAACCGTCAAAGCATCTTTCAGACTCTCATCGCGAGGGCTCATTGTTATTATTTACTAGATAGCTAGTACAGTACGGTACCTGGATACCCTTGATCAACTTGGCTCTTCTCTTGGATACCAAAGAAAGATTGTGAGAACATAGCTCAGATCGAAATGGGTCGCCCAAAGAATTCGGTCAGGGTAGAAGATCCTTGAGCTTGTCTTGCAGTGACGTCACTATCATTCGTGGATACTTTGAGAGAATTCCTGAACGTGAAACATATCCCAGCCAAGCTGTAAGCGATACGGCGAGATTCTTCTGGTGTCTGTCATGAAGGTGTATCCCAGATGAGTTCTTGTGGGGATTCTTCATTCCTGGGCGAGATAGCTTCGGTACAGTATGATACCTGTAGCTATAGCTAGCAGCTCAGTGTTGAGTTCACAGGTGATACACAAGGTCTTAGCTGATAGGTGAATTAATTCATGGACACTAGCTAGCTAGCGGATACTTGTAGGTAATGAGAGAAAGAGTTGACGGAGAAGAGAGCCACTCTCTGCTGCACGTACACCGTCTTCATGCATTTTGTGAAGAACTGTGGTTTGTGCGATATCACAGTTATTATCAAATAGATAATCATTCATCATTCATTTACTCAGTACCTACATTACAACACACTCAATTCAATTGCTTCAATTCAATTCAATTCAATTCCTCAGCTCACAGGTATCAGGTTTGGTACAGGTAGCTTCACACAAGATTGCTTCGCTCTGCTTCAGTCCCATTATCAGCCTTTTTCTCGTCCACCACAATACCAATAAAAGTCAAGAGTACCCAAGCAATGGACACCCAAACCCAGTTGCCCATTCCTCCAACGCACTCGTCGTAGAGGGCTTTGTCCATTTTGCTAAAGGTGCATTCGGCTATCCAAATCCAAAGGAGCACCACTACTGTGACAAAGCCCACATTCCAGGAATGCAAGCCTCCCTTGTCTGCGTAAACCAAAAAGGCCAACCCGTACAGAAAGCATCCACGCGCCATCATGAAAAAGAAAATGTCGTCGTTACTGTTGGTGTATTTCATAAAGCAAGTCAAGCGTCCCATCATGGTGGGATCGAACAGACCGTAGAGGCATTTCAGAATTCCAAGCCAAATGAACAAATAGAACAGAACCAAGGACATCTTGCCCCAACCGGAATTCGTTTTGGCCCACGCATGTTGCAGGTAGAACGCTGGATTCAAACTCCACATGGTTGATGATACTGATATTACTGATACTACTTAGTTCTCTCTTTCCTTTCAAACTCTCTCTCTCTCTCTTTTCTTTTATGTGAGTGTAGCAGCTCTAGCTAGCAAGCCAGCAAGAAGTTGAAAGCAACGATGACACTTGAGATCCCCAAAAACCATCAGAATCATGCATTCACTTCAGCAAACCAACCAAACCAATGACACATGAGAACCGAACCTCGAAAGAAGCATGCGAGGCGATGTAAGATACATGTACTCCTAACTCTTCTGCCTTCTGACTTGCTTCTAGATCTTGTACATGTACATGAACCCAACGCCCCAGCAACTCTGCTAGCTACCAGACGAAAAGCAAAACAACAAAAACCAAACCAGTGCAAGAGAAGGTCGGAGGGGGTGAAGGTGTGCTTTTTCGATCGATGCCGCCAGGACTACGAGTACAGTCGTACTGTACCGTGTTAGACCCTCCGATACAGGTGCATCTCATCCTTGCTTCCGCCCAAGAAAGTCCATTAAATTTTTTTGGACAAAGCAAACTATCATACCATCATACCGAATACTGGTGCAATGCAGACTGCTCCGTTGTTCCACCATGGGTTGACGCCTACTAGCTAGCCTACTAGCCTACTATTAGAGCACTCAGCAGCTAGAATAGACAAAATTAATAGTGGTTCCACTGCGCTCGAACACGTAATGCCGTTGCTCCAGTACTGGTAGCTCCGGTCGTATAAAATACCCTCGAAGAGCCAGCTTTCAGAAGCTCCTGGCTGGATCTGGTACAATGACCATAAGCTGAAAGCTGCTGAACATGCTAGCTATACTACATGTAGATCTAGCTAACCGGAATAGCTATTAGTACCGTTACTAGTACCATGAGCGGGCTTGCATCTGGCGTCTGCGATTGGTGGCAATGGTGGTTCTCCGATCCTGAGAAATAAATACGTTTACTGTACTGATAGTCCAGCCAGGTAGCTACCGGTACCTGGCTAGCTAGTAGAACAGTTTTATTACAATCTTATCACAGGAGTCTGCACAGGACACTCTCAGCGGTGTTGACTGGTGACTGCAGGACAGAACCCAGAAGGTCCACTGAGTGTCCATCTATTGGTAAATTAAAGATAGATGGTCGGAGAAATGAACAACAGCACACGTCTGTCGTGCTAAATTTTAATTCTTTGAAACAGCTGAGCTAAATTACCAAATACCAAAGTAAGTAAGTGTCCGATCTACACAGGCCGGGTAGCATTAGTCTACTCAAAGTATGACTACTGATTCTTACAGCGGCTATTCTTACTATTTTATTAAAATAGCTACCGGTAGGAGTACTCCTACTCAAACTGTATGCTGAAAACTCCACACCAGAACAGCTCCAGTACTATCATACTTTTTTAAAAGAGACTGGCAGAGTAGCATAGCATCTCCGTGCTATTACGAGTACTCGAGTCTGTCCTCAGCACGAGTACTCGAGTACTGTAGCTAGCTAGCAAGGCAAGCTCAAGGCATTAAAAGAGCGTTCGTATTGTGGCAACTCAGTCGCAAACCAGTGGAGACGAGGTGTATCAGGAATTAAAGCTATTCTCCAGCTATTTCTTTTGCTTTGAAAATGGAGCACTCAATGAACATTGCATGAACAGTAAAAGCACCGCAGAAGGTTCTCTGAAAGATCCCAGCGTTTCCGGCTTGCCGCTTGCCATCAATTTTTTTGTCACGGTTCCTTCGTGTCGCTCAGCTCACAAAACCAATAACGACCCGATTATTAATAGACTACTACTAGCTAGTACGCACACAACAGTAGATTGCAAAGAGACCACAAAATTGCTTGAACCCATCTCATCTCAGGCATCCATCACTATCACCATCGCCTTCACTACAACAATTGGCCACAAGCGATAGATCAGATCAGGTCAAACCAAGACAAGACAAGGCAAGACAAGGCAAGATGAGCACAATGGATCTGCTGCTGGGAATTGCCCACCTTGGCATTCCCGCGAGTGTGGCAGCGTCTTTGGGGAGCCTCTACAGAAAGCAAGCGATTGCTGCCAATGATGAATCTACTAGTAGTTGTGCGACCAGTACATGTAGTGTAAAGAGCATTCCTGGTCCAGTGCTGGGATTGTGTTTGCTGTGCAACTTGCAATGGCTATTCAGCGGGATCCTGCATCTCGTGAGATTTGGGGCAGAGGAAGAGGGGGCAGGGTTTACCGTGGTTTCTGTGATTTTGTTCGTTGTGTGTCTCGTGACGGCTCTTTGGATTCCCGTGCTCCTCCTGCGCTGCGACCAAAAGCTCTTTTCCAACAGTTCCTTGAAAGACGACGGCTGCCAACAAGCCGCTGAAGATCTGGTCAAGTTGAACGAAGAAATGGCCATCAGCAAGCGCAAGCTCTTTACATTCATGAGCTTTTTGTGCCACGAAATCAGAAACCCCCTCTTTGCCATTACCAGCAACATTGAGTTTGCCCAAGACACTATCACGCCTCGAAGCGACCCGGACCTACAAGAATCCATATCGGCCATTAACCAGTCCGCAAAACTCATGCTAAGATTGGTCAATGATGTCCTCGACCTAAGTAAAATCGAGTCGGGCAAAATGGAGCTCGAGTTACACGAGTTCCCGTTGCGGGAGTTCTTTCAAAACATGGCGTCCAGTATGAGTCGTCAGGTCATGGGCTCCAAAAAGAAGAAGGATGCTGCAGTACAATTCATCTTTCGCATGGATGACACTGTCCCAAGGCTCGCCAAGACTGATTCTGTAAGGCTCCTTCAGATTGCTTCCAACTTGCTCTCCAATAGCAAAAAGTTCACGGAACGGGGCTCCATTACGCTCACCGTGCAAGTGGTGCCCCGAGAAAACTCTCAAAAACAGCAGCAAGTTACGACGAACGATGCTACTACTAGTAACGCAAAGGAGGCAGACTGCAGCAATGAGAAGGAAGATGCCACCGCGGTGACATCGACCACTGTCACTCCCAATGCTTCGATTGGAGATCCCGTCGTCATTCAAGGCCTCCATTCCACCGAGAACTTTTCGCTTTCCATGTTGCGAAACCACATCAAGGACCACAGCAAACAACAGCAACCTACGACGAAAGACAAGAAGAAAAAGAAAAAGAGGGGACTCTTCTTTGATTCAACGTCCTTTGCGTCATTCTCTTCCAAACACTTGAGTGCCATTGACGAAAGTCACCAGGACGGCAATCAAAAACAAGAGGAGGAACACGAGCAGGAACACGAAGAAGATCCTGACTTCGACCAAATGACCCTCATACTCACAGTAGAAGATACTGGAATTGGAATTGAAGAAGGCCATCTGGGGCGTATCTTTCAACCATACACACAATCCAAGCTCTCTGACTTTAGACGTCATGGAGGGACAGGTAAGTGCAGACATGCAATGCATTCACTGCGACACAATGATGGTGGCGGCATGCCACTCACAGATTGCCTTTACGTGTCTCCCAGGTCTTGGCTTGTCGATTATTCATAACTTGCTCGAAATGCTTGGAGGAACCGTCAAGGTCTCTTCTGTCGTGGGAATGGGATCCAAGTTTAACGTACACTTGCCCATTGCCATCCCTAAGCGGGTAAGACAGGAGCAGCAACAGCAGCAACAACAACAGCAGCAGCAGCAAGTGGCAATGCAAAGTGACATTGAAAACCAACAGCCACCCGGACAAATCGTCCTAGAACCAACATCCAGAAGAGGATCCTATGCTTCCTTTGCAAAGCTGCCAGAGGACATCGATCTTGAGTACATGGATGAAAGCACGGACCAAGTCACCCCCCTTACTTCTCATTCAGCTTTGGCGAACACAATTCGACGAGTGTCACTCAATAACAGTAGTCAAAACAACACCGGCGATCTTGATTCGAGTGTCGGAAGTGGCGCCGTCAGGTTTAGCCAAGGAATGTTGCCTCCCGAGAGAGATGATGCCGCCACGCCTCAAGTACGAAACACCAACAACAGCAACGGCTATCCACATAGTCCTTCCAGTAGCCCTCGAGGACAGGCCGTACGCTTGGGCATGCTGCCACCGGAACGGGATGATGCCGCCACGCCTCAAGTGCAAAACACAGCGAGCGGTCATCACCCTGGTCAATCAGTCCGAATGGGTGTGCTGCTACCTCATGAAAGAGATGATGCCGCCACTCCGATTACCAGGAATGCGGCATACAACAACCACTATGACCAACACCAATCCTACCGGTACTACCAACACGGGCACTACCATGGGCACCATCATGGGCACCAAATTCACTTCAATGCACAATTTCACCAACAGGAGCCTCACAACAACTTTGGCCCGCAATTTCATCCTCACCATTCCAATGAAGGACTTCATTACGAGCATCCATTGTTCCACCATCCCATACATTCTGTGCAACAGCCCATGCACCACCATGTACCAGGTGGTGGCCATCACCAGCATATCCATCCAGATTCCTACGACGACGACGACGACACGGGTCGGCACTCGCCGGATCCAACCTCTTCTCACCATCACATGACTCCTGTGCAGTTTGCACTCTTACATCATCATAGTCCGGGGACAATGCCGGTTCGTTGGGAATCCAACCATTTCACAACAGAAGATGATATCACAGACAGTCAAGCGGAAGATGACTTGGCGGCTCCCATGCCTCCACTCACACACCTCTCAGCTCAACATCCAGCAGCCAGTCTCATCTTACCTGATGAAGCTCCCCCAGAAGTCGACCTTGCTTCCGGCAATTCAACACAGCCAGGAGCTTTGTTGCCATCACCGCTATTTAGGCTTCCAAAAATGACACCACAACATGCACTCTCAGCGGAGCATACTACTGGAGAGGGCGACACCAACATTGATGAACGATCGACTCCTTTGTTCCCAGCTGGTTCCGCTTCTACTTCGACCTCCATTGAAACGAGCAACCATCCAACGTTGAATGAAACAAAGCAACTGCCTCTCTTCGGAATGATCCAAGGTCATGCAAAGCCAGAATCTCCCAACACGCCCCTGCCGCCATTGTCACCATCTGTCCAAGCACCACGGGCTCGAAAACTGGCTGCTCCCTGCCCTACGATAGTTAGACCAGATCATGTTGATGGTAGCAGTGTTCCCCGCCCTACGATAGTTAGACCAGATCATGTTGATGGTAGCAATGTTGGAGACGAGAAGGGCGGTGATGATCCCCAGCAGTCAGTGCGACCGACAGAGCCACCCCTGAATGGCCTCGTCATCTCACGGAAACCGATAGATACAATTTCCTCTCCGCCAACGGTACAAGCTCACGCTAGGCAGCTCAAGCCTATGTTCCACGTTCCTCCAGCTGCACCAGCCAAGACAGCAGCACCTATTAATGTGGGAACCTCTACACCGAACGGCAAGCTGTCCAAGTTCTCCTTCCCCAGTAAATCGAAAATGGTGCTCGTGGTTGATGACAACGGAGTAAGTCATCGGCTCGGATCATGATTCAAACGTTTACCAATTGCCATTCTCTAACTTTTCCTTCTTTGGTCTCTCCCCCCAGATCAACCGAAAGCTCATTGGGAAGATGCTGAGTTTCTTCCATTTAGAGTATCAGGATGCCGAGCATGGCAAGCAGGCCGTCGAGATCATGTCTCGTTCTCAAAATGTCACGGGTGATCCTTCTGCTCCACGATTTGGTATGGTCATCATGGACCTATGCATGCCTGTGATGAATGGGTTTGAAGCCATTGGAAGCATTCGTTCAGAGCTGAAGCTGCTGGATATTCCAATTATTGCTCTTACAGCCAGTGCCATGGAAGACGAGGAACGACGAGCAATGGATGCTGGCGCCACTGAGTTTGCTACCAAGCCATTGATGCGCCCAACCCTGCATTCTAAATGTGAACGCTATCTTGGACAATCTGCAGACGAGAAACCAAAGCCACCCGACAACAATGCATCTGCACTACCGGTAGCTCCAGTTCAATAGAATGTTTCCATTGATGCAATACGGTTTCATTACAGATTCGTTGAAGGGAACATTTTAGGGACAGCTATAGCTAAAAAGCAAGTGCATGGATTCATAACCGAAACGTGGCTATAGTCTCTGAATGTGCATACGGGTATACCGCTCCGCTCGTCATTCATCGAGCTCCCAATGGTACCAAGTGTCGAACTTCCCCCCTTAGGTGGCTTTGCCCTCCTGCAATGGATCAGGTCGGAAGCGGACAGCTTCGTGCCGTTTGCGGTGCACCCTTCGGCCCATGCCATGCCGTATTACACCGAAGCTGCATTTCTGTGAGGCGAAGTCACCGATTGCACCTTGGCCATCCTTTTCAGCCCATGGCCATTGAGCGATCGCGAGAGGGTGCGGGAGTCACAACCACGTCTGGCAGGAAGGACTGACACTCCAATGGCTTGTGGGTCGACTGGCATCTTTCCCAATTGGAGACCATTGATCTGGAGCTCACACAAACAAATCATTGAGGAAACATGGTCTAATAGAAAGAATCAAGAGAGCAAATTGACTAAAAGACTCAATCGAGCGATTGACGACCCCCTCGCTTTTTTAAAACATGGCAGCATCTTCGATCCAGAACCTTTGGTCCTCAGTTGTGGCAAGCTTGGATGACGAAGCACAACACCAGCAACAGGCACAAAAAAACCACCAGCCATATCAGGGCGACGTGGAGCACGACGCGGCATTAGCACATCAGCTCCAACAAGAAGAACGAGACGCTCAATACGCACGACACATTGAGCAGCATGAACAGGACGCGTCCCTTCCAGAGGCCATTCCTGTCGTTCCTGTCAGCCCAATTACGGTTCCAATAGCACCGCCCCCAACCGGCATCATCATCATCCCCGTACATGCACCAGCAACCATGAGTGGCGACGACCACCATACTAAAGATAGTCGCTGCAACCAGTGTCTCCGTATCACCACTCACTTGACTTTGTGGGTGGCGATTGTGCCTGCGGCGGCACTTGGCGCATACGTTGCGGTTGCGATAGTTTTGTTGTTGACGGGAGTTTGGGGGATCTGATCTAACTAACTTGCCAGAGATTGCTCCCACCGGTAAATATAGCTAGGTGTCCTAATTATTATTAAAATGAAGAGCTACCTTTTTCACTTGTGTGTATTTGTTGCATTTGTAGATTATACTAGCTAGTGTTTGGTAGCTTCTTATGGAGGAGGCACAGCCGTCTTTTTGAGAAAGACATCATAGACAAGTGTCTGTCCTGGTTTGATGAGGCATTCTCCACCTTCTAGACACAATCCCTTGTCACCAAAAGCTAGTTGTGGAGGAACAATGACCTGAACCTTTTGTCCCACTCCCATATAGCCAATGATTTCATTCAATCCGTCCACCACTACGCTGGTTCCTAGTTGGAATGTGAGTGCATTGCCCTTTCCCTCGGCATGCGTGGCATCAAAGATTTGTCCACTGGTCAAGTAGCCGGTGTACTCGATAGCTACAATGTCGCCTTTGGCGGGAACAATGGCTTTTTTCAAGTCCTTTGGTTGCTTGGTAATCGCGTACTTGAGGCCGCCGGGAGTGTTGAAGATTTCAGGGGCTGCAAGAGCTGCTGGTGTGTTGCTTACGCTAGCCACGGTACCAATAGCAGCTCCTGTCAAGACAGACACTGATTTCTGTAGAAAGATCCTTCGGGAATCACCACTAGAAAAACACAGCGAAGATGGCAAAAGGCTCATCAGGCCAACAAGGAAACACAATAGCGCGCCCTTCATTCTGGTAGTATGGCTTCAGTCTTGAGCAATAGTGCAGCTAGCTACCGTAGCTAGTAGAGATTCCTTCCTTCAGGTAGTGTCAAAACTGGAAACTGTTTTTTTGTGTCCTGAACATGTACTCGGATCTTCTTCTTTCAAACTCTTGAGATTGGGATGCTGATGGTATCCTTCGGATGACTGGATCTTGTTCACTTTGTTGGCATCACTGACGTGTTCGATCTAGACTACGGTGGCTTCTTGGATGATTCCTCCAGTCAGGTCCTGACGATGACGTGATCATGTCTCTTGGAAGCTCTTTAGCTTTGAATGCCGACGTGCGGGAGTCCAGGAGACAACAAGGCCAACGACAAAGCAACTTGGCTAGCTAGCTAGCTAGAGCCAGCTTTGGGGAAACTCTGGTGGTGCCGAAGTGTTTGCTGGACTGGAACGACGGCTGAGTTTTGAACGTCCTTGGGATGACGATGCATGGTTGCTGTAGTACCGGTACCGGTTCAAGCACAGGGGGGGCTTCCAAAGAGTAGTACTAGTATAGGTACGAGTAGATTATAGCTAGGGAAGCCAAGGAAGGCCAGGCTTTTTAAAGAAGAGTTGAAATTCAGGATTTGGTTCTGTGGGATCACGGGCGATACGAGCACATTGCGCTACCGGTAGCCACTCTAGGGATCTTAGTCTTTTTTCAAAGTCACAGCTTCAGCCAGTTCTTTTACGTCTTTGACCTCAAGAAGGTGGCAAGCGGTGCGGTGCTAGTATACCGGTACCGGTACCGGTACCAAGTTCTGACTGCGACGGCCTAGTTTCAGCCAAGCCCATCTGCGTGCATCCTGATTGCATGCAAAAAAAAACTCTTCGGGACATCTCTTTGCTCTCAAACCAACGCTGGTCGGCCATGCCTACATACTGCTGAAACCGGTAGCCCCAATGATTACGTACTCGTTCCTTCAATCAAGTAAGCATGCTTGGCACTATTGGAAGTAATGAGCACACAAGCACGATAGCAGCATGGATGTTGCAAAGGCTGGTAAAGGACCAATCCAAGAATGGGCATTGGACGAGGGATCAGGAGCACTTGTGGTCTGGTTTTCATCCATCATGCTGGCATCTGATATTGGTGCGGTATCATTGGCCCCTGTTTGGTTGCCTTGCAGCATCTCGTCGCTGTCGTCCGTCATGAGACCATCACCTTCTCCGTGATCAAAAATGTTGGAGGAAACATTCGAGTGAGGTGCGTTTGTTGCATTGAAATTGTAACCTGGAGATTGGGGCGCATTGGTTGGTGATTCTGTTGGAGCAGGAGTGAACGATATCTGTGTAATGGTGGCGGCTTCGTCACCAGAGATGTTGTAGAAGATAGACTCGGGTTCAGACGAGAGGTCTCCGTGATTGACGGCGGTCAAGGCAACCACAACCGCATCTGTGGTTGGGATCACCTTGAAAATATTCTTGACTGGTGTCGTAAGGATGTTGTAGTCCAATTCTTCCTTCCATTCAATGACAGTCGAGTTGAATCCTCCAGGGAGAATGGTCAGCTTTCGACCTTGGACGAATGCATCTATGTAGATTAGTGGGAGCACATAGCCGAGCCCAGACCGAGGTTGCTCCGTGAAAATTCCTGCAGAGTTTGAAACAAACAAGCCAAGATTATTGTTGACTCGACCATCTGCTTCATCCACTGAAAACTTGAGAAAACTATAGCGTGCTCCTTGTTCGGCCCAATAGGCAAAATTAAAGAAAAGATAGTCCAGGTACTGCAGGTTGGCAAGCTCTTCTCTGTTTTCCTCCGGGAAAAACAATACTGGGACTGTTCGGGAACCGTCTCCTCCATCCCGGACGTACAATGCCTCGAACGTACTGGATCCTGTAATATTTAGGAAGTAGAAGAACTGGTCCCAGCTTGCTGAGAAGGTGTCTCGGTCGTATTCCCCAACAACATCGCCTCCAAGAAGGACCAAGTACTCATCATCGGTTGGCTCATAGCCCTTATCGACAAGTTGCTGTTTGAGGGGTGTTGTGAGGTCAATGCCATACTCCACTGATACTTCTGAGGTATCCAACGAAATGGTAGCCGTGAAATCCAAGGAGCCTGTGCTGGCATTCTGCGAAGCGTTTTGTGTGATAAAGAGAGACGTCGCTACCTCGAATCCACCAGTTGGCGGGTTTTCAGCATTGGACTCTGTGTCTGCTTTCTTATCACAGACCGAAAGACGCGACATTCCGACTGGAACACCTGCTTCCAGGAACCACCCAAGGAATTCGTTAAAGTTTGGAACAATCTGGGTCACGTAGTTTTTATTTTGAAATAGTACCTGCGGTGTGGGCAAATTGGGTCACAGTAGAATGCGTGAGTTTCGGCAAATGCATGTCACCACAAACTGTTGTAGTACTGTACTCACCTGGTTCCACAGAATTGTGTTGGCCTTGTATTCAGTCGGAACGGGCCAATCTAGATGCATACCCGTTCCCCTTGCTGTCCCTATCCCTACTCCTTCAAGTACTATCATATCGAAATATGCAGTTTTCGCCACTTGAAGAGCCGCACCAAAATCCCCCGTCAATGAAGGACTGCAAAGCAGTTCCAACTTTTCCATCCAACTTCCAATGTCCAACGCTGAAGGTTTGGTCGTCCCCACTGCATCTACAATTCCTTCAAAGGCGACAGAGGATGCTCGCGATCGATACACGTAGGCATGAAGTGACGAATCCCCGCCTTGTAATAAGCGGAGCAGCTCTTTGGAAAAGTCTTCAAATGCGTTGACAAAGGTACTAAACTTGTCCGTATCGATAATGGATAGAATTTTTGGCATCTGATGGAAAATTCCTCCCTGCGTTTCCTGCAAATAGGTTTCGAGAATTTGTTGTGCAAGATCCAGTGCTGAAGGAGCTGTTTCCAAGTAGTTGTATGCCCAACCTTACAAACAAAACGTGAGCAGACATTTTGTAAGGATGAAATTCAGTCGATGCTGTACGGTAACAAGCCCCAAAGAAACAACGTACCATGCCCTGGTTCCACCGCTTCACTTGCCAGAATGTACTTTGCAACATCCTGAAACATAGAGGGATGCAACGTACGTTTTGTGAGAAAAACACTGCACATGATGCGTCTCTGACACGTCGTGAGGATCGGAAGCCACTATCAACCATTGCAATGCACTCACTTTGTAGTCATCGGCAGCACCTAGGGCTTGCATGAGGCAGGCGTCAAACCCCAACACATCCAGCTTGGAGATGGCACCACCCTGTACATTCTCCAATGCATTACGAATGGCCGTGGCAATGTCTTGATTGGTCTGCAAAAGCTTCCTCCTCGCATTTTCATCTCCTCCAAATCCGGCAAATCCTCCCCCGTGGGAGGAAAAGACAGCCATGAGACTATCATACCCATTGGCTAGACAATCTTCCAGTCCATGCTCTAGAAAAGCTTGTACAGTGGAGATGGTATCCGAGTTTTGTTCCAGTAGTTTTTCACTTTCAATTCTCATTCTTCCCAGAGTTTGATCATATGTCACATAGCGACTTCCAGTGAATGCTTCCGTGACGACATTGCCTTCGGCATCTACCGTATCCGGCAATGGCAATGGGGCTTGGTTGAGGGCGTCGTAGTAAATCCAAGTCTTGAGATCTGGGGTTTGAACGACAGGTGAATTGGCCAGTTCTTGATAATCTTTTCGAATGTAAAAGTGCAAATTGTTGTCTGCCATTTGATAGAGCATCAGACAAGTCTTTGCCTGCGCCCATAATGGCAGCGATAGTACATGTAGCAGCAACAGCAGACGCACCATCCTTTGGAACCGGCGAAGATAGCTCGTGCAAACGCTGAACAAACGGTTGTTCTTTGTCTATGCCCGGCCTAGTCAATGGTACGAGTAGATACTGCTGTGCAGCACCCGTTCTCAGGATATAACTACCTCCAGCCAGTGGGATACCCCAGGACAAGGGTAAGGCAGCCAGTTACTACCTGGTACCGTAGTTCTGCGTGGTCGTGGCTTTGGTGTGGTGTGGTATGGGTTGGGTATCTGCCGCGCCTTCGCTATAGCTAGCTTGCATTCCACTTTCAAGGTTTCGATTACCGGCACACCTCCTAACGCTGCTTCGTATCGCACTCGTGCTGGCAACGACGAGCAGAAATCCATGCACAAATATGCCAAGAGCCAAATTTGTGGCACTGACAACGAACGGCCAGAATTGTTGCTCCTCGACCAAGAAAGGAACAGTGTCGGTTCAGCTGTGTTCTGATGTCCAGCCAGCTATGGATGCTGTTATAGCTAGCTAGTAAGATGTGCTTAGGACATCGATGCAGCCACTGTAGTTATGCACTTTTACTCCTCACAGAAGAATCGCTTCCTTTGGTCAATTGTGGCTGAGTGAATAGGGAGGCTGGAACTGTTGCGATACCTCGAACACGCCGGTTTGGATCCAGCTTCAGCAATGACCGGCCACCCGAGCGGTACGGTACTTTCAGGGTTAAAATAGGGTTAGAAAGGACGTGAGGCATGGCTGCGTGGAGTTCTTTCAGGACTGGTCCAGTCACTGTTAGTTCCAGTATGCTGCTGGACCGTTGCGGAAATTTCACTCGGTCCTCTGCCACTACTAGTAGGTAAAATCTGCTTGGTTCTCCTAGCTAGAGACCAACAGAAATGGCAAGAAGAGTAAGAACCAAAAAGATAGGATTAGACAACACTCACACAGGCACATGTGCTAGCTAGCCAGCCAGCCAAATCAATGCACAAGCTTACAACTAGACTATATATCCCTATTAGCAAAATCATTTTCTGTGCGTCCATTCACAATTTGAGCTTGAGCGATGTTTCTAGTCCATCACACATTTGTTCCAATTCCTCCCAACTTTGCACTTGGCATTGATTCCATGTCTTTTGATACGTTTGGATCCGTTGCTGGGGAAGCAAGTTGACTGCATGTTTCACCAAGGTTCGATACACCACCATTTCGGGCCATAGGGCACAACACACGTATGGCATGTTGGCAGGAGAAATAGTATCGTTGTGTTTGGTCCAGTATTTTTCACTGCCATGGGTTTTCTTCCTTCCCATGACAGTGTGAAAGTCTCCGTGTCCTCCTAACGCCAGATCGAATTGGACCACATCATCCCAAAAGTATTCGGTTCGAATGGTGACAATGAAATGATTTCGTATGGATGATGGGCCACCTGCCAACTGATAGTAGTATCGGTATCCAGCCGTCAAGTGTCCATAATGACTCTTTCCCACGCTTTGGAATGCCCTCTGTAGTAGTTGGTTGCAGTCGGTGTAGTCAGTAGTAGCATTGGCAGCAGCAGTATGGTTGCTAAGCAAATCAGAAGTATTTTGTGCCTTGACAGCTGGGTTGTGACTGGGGTTCAATGCTTGGGTGAAGGATTCCAGTGAGGGAAAACACTTCAAATAGAATTGCTGGATGTGCTTTGCAAGGGCCCGTTTTTTCCCACTGCACTTGCCATGCTCGACACACTTGATGGGAAACGTAGCCCCCCACCAGCTAACGAACCGATCAATGGGAGCTCGGACAACATAGAGCAGTATGTCCTCGGAAGAGAGCGGTTTGCCAAAGGTTCTTTCATAGTGAGTGATGCCCTTGGTATACTTGGAAATCATAGATTCTTCCACTCCATTGAAAATTTCGAGGCAGTGCTGTTTTTTCTTGGGAGGCAAGGAACAATTGTTCCACTTGATGACGTAGTCACGGAGTGTTGTACCACCCGCTTTTCCTACATGCATCAAATGAATGGAAGGCCGAGGATCCGTTGGCAGAGAGTAGTTGTAGAACATTCTACTAGCATTCAGTACCGGTACATGTACATGTAGTTGCTTGGCCAACACATCATCAACTAGTAGCACCTGCAAACGTTTCGTGGGATTTCCTAACTGCCAAATGGATAGGAGGATGCTGAAGAGTGTCAGCAGCAAGTACCGGTACCATGAAGAGAATGGCATCTTCACTGAGGTACCAGTACCAGTAGTGCGATCGCTTGGACGACCATCATTCAATGTTCCTGATAATTTGGCCATCAAGCTGTATCAGAATACCGGTTAAGTGGTGATTGTTTTTCTCATCCCCTGCATGATCCTATTCGTCCTCTCTGTGCTGCTGTTTATCGGGTTTACTATGGATTAGAGAGAGCTAAGATGAGGATGGAGACAGAGCTCAAGGGCTGCTGTTTATTGTTTATTATGCCTAATTAGAGTCTATTCTCACGTGCGAAAAAATGATCCAGATTCAGCCATGACCTACGGCCACCCGGGCGTTATTTTCACAGGTTAAGATAGGGTTAGACTACCCAGGGCTTGGAAAGGGACGGATGACGCTTGCAGACGAGGAGAATGAGATTGCACTGTCACAGAAAGAGGAAGCAATGTTGGCGTACCAGGTGGTACCACTCCGGGAGATGAACTGCCCACGTACAGTTTAGTGCGTATTCGTAGTTGTGGTAGCTGTTGTGGTTATAGAATAAATAGCTTCCCGCCCAATGTGTGTATTACTAATCTAGTATCTATTTTGCTTGTATACCGTGAGTCTATTTTTATCCCTGCCGTGGTGTGCAAGGAGATGTAGCTTGCTCTTCGTCGTCAGCATCGACCTGTTGTGTCAGTTGCTCTTGTTCTTGTCGTTGCCGTTCTTCTTCGGCCCGCACCAGTTCGTTGAACCATTCCGCGAGATCGGAGGTCTCTAGCATGACATCCATCATTTCCTTGCGACGGTTAGATGGTGAGGGGCTAGACGTAGGCGAAGCATTGGTGATTCCACCCCCTTGTCGTGCTTGTGCAAACTGCACTTCAGCGGTCCGACTCTTGAGTTTCCGCTGTCGTGAGGGACTCTGCAGTAGCTTGGAAAAGAACGAAGGCTTGCTCTTTGTTTTGCTTTTTGGTGTTGTTGGTGGCGATGTATTCATAATAACTCTTGTGTTGCAGGTTTTAGTTTGCTTGTATCGTTTTATGATACAGTTTCGGCCACGAGTTTTGCCTCTGTTGCGCCTTTGAAGTGGCAACCATGGAGATCTTACCTCTTCGGAAAACCACGGGGATCGTGTTGTCCAGTCCCAGGAGTCGCCTGGATCGACTCCCACGTGCTCTGAAACGCACCTTATTGACACCCCACATCATGCACGCCGTTCCGTCTGCTGGGTATGCCAAGCAAGGCTGCTGTTTGGTCTTGAAGGTGACTTCGTTTCACGAAAGGACGAAGCTATCGGTATGGTTGCTCCAATGGAACACTCGGTGGATTCAGATTGGATTCAGATTGGATTGCACTGCCTACACTGACTAGCTAGCTGGTGACTTCTTGATGTTGCTTCCACAAAGAAATTCTACCTCTGGCCATCTACCGCAAAGCAGCTCCCAGCACGGTTAAGAATGCATCGGCACTGAAGGCAAAGATGGTGCCTCCCTACTGACCTGACCGTCCTAGTTCAAATTGTGGCGGATTGGAGCACGTGACGGATAACCAACAGGAGAAGAGGTTGAAAAGAGAAGCATTGGAATGGTTGGATCATACAATCCTGTCTGCTCTTTTTGGACTGGTCGCTACCTATTGGTCTATTGTTGTCTACTAGCTACATTGACCTGTTTGCATGTACCGTATGTATGTCTCTATTTCATGTTATCTGCAATATGTACTGATTTTACAACAGCCCATACAGTCGTACTGCTTATTGCAGGTTTTGGAATGCTTTGCTTCTTCTTTCATGTAGCTTTGCCTTTTGAATCGGCAAGCCAAACAAGCGTCCTGCAAACTGCGTGCGGTGTGGCCCTTCTTCCTTTTTCATTGCTGAACAGTCTATCGTCGTGTAGTTTTGGTGGGGGATCGAGTTCTTGCTCTGCTACCATTGCTGCTGTTGGATACGTCTCTGTGGAAATCCGATTCATTGGGTAGCATATGCATGGCTTGATACCATTCATTGATGTCATCTGTCTCCATCATCAATGCTGGACGAGCTGGACTTTGTTCTGGGGAAGGAGCTGCCTCGCCTCGTCTTCTTTGGGGAGAGTTGTTGCGGCTAGCATCTTTGTTGCTGTGGCCGTGATGGAAAAAGGTTTCGAGTTTGGAAAAGAGTTTCATGGTGGTCATTCAAGTTGTTGTTCAATTGGATTGTTGATTTCGTTTTATGAGCTTCGTGTTGGAGGAATCAATCGAATCAAGACTCCCTCTTCTTGAAGGGGATCGGATTGCTGACACTTGACAAGACAGACCAAGCAAGGGCTGATGATCCGTCTTCCATACAATGTTCCCGCTCCCTGAGTTGAACATCCCGAAGATCAAACTGGTACTGTCGCTAGCTAGCTGGCAAGATAGCTCTTGGTTGCGAACAAACAAGCACATCGCCCAGTGAAAAGCCCAAAGCAAAAACCTGAAATGGATGTTCCGCTAAATAAGTCCGATGAGCTCCTCGCATTTCTTGGAACACTCATCCAAGACTGTGCTGGAACTTCACTAGGTTTCTCGAGTACCATGGCCACGTGCCCCGTGAAATAACCCTTCGGTTGCTGTTTGCAATGCAAAACAGTTATGTAGTTCAATTTAATAGAATAATATTAGTTGGGGTAAGGTTGTGGTAAAGGCCACATTTGGATGAGAAGATTTAATAAAAATCCGCATAATGATTTACCTCATCTACCGACATGTACAGGGTACATGTATCTGTCTTCCAGCTTACAAGAAAAATAATAGTGGCTTTGGTCGCCTCCTTTCACCTTTTCGCTGCTGTCATAGCATCTTAGCCATGCCTACAGTCGTGCTCAGTTGAGCTTAGCTGTGGCAAGCTAGAGCTCTGCTAGCTGCGAGCAGGCATTAAAGCCCCACGATGAGGCAATGCGCAATGGAACGTAAGAGCATCCACGACGCCACGCTGCGATGGCCAGCCAGCCACACATCACCCACGACAGGGCCAAAAGATAGCAACCGAGAATTGGTTGGCACCAAAATTACAAGCCAGGCAGCAGCCAGAGGGACAGAAAGCCACACATGGTGGAGCAGAAACGACTGAGTGACTCAGTCGAATTGCTTGAGTATCTAGCCAGCTACTAGGAACAATTTAGTGGAGTTGAGTCTGTGATAAAGAACGATCGATAGATCGGAGATCTTCGCGTTTCCAAGGACGGGCGGCCGGTCGGTTGCCGGTCTCGTCCATTCCGCCTCGTCCTTCTGCGAACTGGTGCCCCACCCTCCCACCAAGACTGGTGTGTGCACTCACTTGTGGCGCTGAGCATCGATGCAGCTCAACTCAGCAGCAGTACTCTAGTAGGACGATCCAGCAACCCTGTAGACCGTGGCTTTCGTCGTTGGCCAAGACTGAGGTGAGATTGGTTTGTCTTTCTCTGTGGCCTTGGCGAAAACTTACTGGTGCATTCACGTCACAATCTTGGCTGGCTTTGAGCCTAGCTAATAATACCCGCAATCAAGCAGGACCGTGACAATGGACAGGGGAAGCACCACGAAATTGCCCTGGCTGGGTGCGATGCTTTGTACCCGCAGTCAGTTACTCCATTGCACATTGACACAAAACCAGTGCTAGAAAGGAATCGCACAGCATGATGTGCTCAAGTTGCTTGATGATGTCTTGCCAGTTCGTGGAGGGTTGCCGGAAATCATCCACACTAGCTAGATTGTCTTTTTTCCCTGTATCTCAAGTGTCCCTTTGGCTCACTGCATGGAGCCGGAAAGCCCGCACCTCGCCAACTAGTCGTTTGACAGTTGTCACTGGTTCCTGTTGACAAACAAACCTAAGATGGCTGATTTTCTCCCTGGAGATGGAAGTGTGACCGAGCCGTAAGCCAAACCCAGTGGTGATGCGCCAGCCAAACCTTTCCCTCGAATGCCCGGAAGACAGGTGTAATCCGGTAGCTGCGGTAAATATAGGGTTAAGGTTACGTCATACCATGCATTTTTGTATAAAAACTATAGGTCTAATTTACCGCAACGACCTGAACTCTAAAGTTGCCTTCCTGGACAGGCGACGCAAACTCCTCCAAAATGAAGAAGGCTAAAGCTGCGGGTTGGTTGACGAAGATATCGCATTGATGTTATCCATTCCAGACAGAGACTTCCACAGGCATCACACAAACGTACTACTTACAAAATGTGAGCATTCCTCGCGTCGTTTGCACGGCATTGTTTGGGAGGTTCACCGTGGTTCAGTTTGGCAAAAAATTCTCGAGCGGGAAGCCGTCGAACCGAATTGATCCATCGAATGCTTGTCGTTCTAGTAGTAGTCGCTTGTTGTTGCATTAGCGGTAGAGGCGTCGTCGTCGTTCCGTGGAAGAGGAAGCGTCATGGTCCCTTTGATTGATTGTTTCGCCGCTCATCGTGCACTGACGCAAAAATGCAAAAAGTCTCTCGAGCCGGAATCGAACCTGGTAAGTTATTTTGAGGATGACTGTGTTAGTTTTGGGATCACAATGTGATTAGGTGGATTTTCCCGATTGAAGCACTCACCAGCGACCGATTGATATATGCTTTGCTCCTCTACAGTCAATCGCTCTACCAACTGAGCTATCGAGAGATCTTCTCTTCCCTACGGCTAATTTTTTAACACTACAGATCAAACGTTGACGCTCAATCTCTGATCGTTGTACGACTGCACCTTGTTGGTCCAGCAAGCTACCAGCTAGTACAATTTTCAATCCAGTCACTCTTTGCTGAAATCGCATGGTACTTCACTAGCTAGACTAGCACACAACTACCTAAAGATCAACCAGACCCAAAATTAGCCATAGAAAGCGGAAAGCATGCCCCTACCTGGAGATCTAAGCGCGAAAGCTTCCGAGTTCCACTACAGGTAGTGAGTTTGGGGAAGGAGGGGTGCTACTGAGGTTGGCTAGTAACTTTGCTTGTAGAGACTTGATAGGTGTGTCTGCCATATCGACGAGACTGGTGTTGTTGAACTTGAATCTCGTGCAGGCTTCGTTGATGATCAAAATGGCAGCATGCTGGGAGACAAGCTGTGTCTGGTAGTGACGGCGCGGGCTAGCGGAGGAGGAGATGGGAGGCAGATGGGACCTGGGCTGGAGCTGGGTTGTGGAGATGCTCCACGCAGCCAGCGATGGCCTGGACGACCTGAGATGCGTCTTCAGGTGTCTGGAGGGGACGTTTCTTGAGCTCTGGAATAAGCTCGACGAATGCTTTGAAATATAGTTGTACGCTAGTGGTGCTCATTGCACTTGTGGATCCACCGCCACCCAATTCTGAAGTGGCTGGTTGTAACTCGTGAGCGAGCGAGAGCCGTAGTGGCGAAATCCCTGTGGAAGAACCAAATTGGTGACAACTCTTTGAAAGCTGCGCAGTTGGCCTAGCTAGCTGGTGATGAGCCTGCGGCGTGATGAAATGGGTCTACTTTCGCCATGGAGAAACGTCGAAGGAGCAAACGAGGAGACGCTGAAAGCTGCAGGATTGCAAACCACACGTAGATTGCTGCATGTCTAAGGATCAGAAGCAAGCAAGCCCAGCAAGCAAGATGTTGCATTTGAACACGAAATATGTAGTTATAATAGTTTAGGCAAAAAGATGGAAATGGTTCTTATGATGCTGCACCAGAGAAGATGGCGCAATGGAATCATTGTTTCTGTTGTGGGGTAATTAACACCGTTCATGAAGACTGGCTGACGGTCCTGCCAAAATGAAGCAGCAATTAAGGATGCATGCAGCGAACACTTACTTGAAATGACAAAAGAAAGAAGGAACGCCATGATGCCTGTTGGAACCCAGTTTTCCACAAGAAACATGAAGACACTCCTTTTTACTATTATCCTTGGCTGCGTCATGTTGCTGCTTGCATGCCTGCTTCATGTCATGTCATCATTCCTTTATACTCGAACAGCGAGGGGGTCCCCACCAGTTTCTGTTTCTCCGCCACCCATCATTTCGAAGTTTGTAGCACACGCATCTCTTCCACTAAAGTCGGGTCCATCCAATGTCAAGATTGGCTTGCGCTTCTTCTTTCGGCTGATCCACCCGGCTGTGGCGCCAAATCCTACCAATCCGACCATACTCCACTGTCCAAAGGTAGGGCTGAAACCGGAACCGGTCGAGCCATCCTCTCTCCAGGTATCATAGTTTACCGTGGTAAAGGGAGCATGACAACGCATGTGGGTCCAATCGTTGCCAGTATCTTCTGCTTGAACGTCAATTGTCAGTGAAAAGGGAAATCCGGCCCAGGCGAAATCGGACATGGTGTTGTCTGGCCATGTAAATCGTCGTTCGAATCCGTAGAGACCAGGGTTGGGGTAACTGACGTTGCTATATTGGGAGTATAGATGCCACGATTCTTTGAAGGTGTAATCGCTAGAGTATTCGAGCACGTGAGTACACATCATCCCAAAGTACTTGCACACTTTGACTCGCTGCGTCATGTCGACTGGGAGGGGCGAATGAGCGTTGACTTTACAAATGCAATAGAAGTAGAAAGGAAAAGAGGTGAGATCAGATCAGGTCAGGTCAGGTCAGGTCAGATCAGGCGCAAACTACTACCGATTTCGACGTTTTGCTGTTCCACGATCAACTTACACCATCCTTCAACAACGACCGAGTCTCCTGGTCGGCAAATGTCTTCTCCGCTATCACATTGAAAGTGAAGTTCACCAAGTTCGACATCATAGGCACTAGATTTGCACCCCGAATGGTCCATTCCGTCGAACCTGAAGGCTAGACGAGTGCTTTGCGCGCTTCCGATCAACGATAGCAACGCTATCAGCGTTCTACGAAAAGATTTCATGGTGACTATCAAGCAACGGCACTGTAGTGGCAATTGGACTGCCTCCTTGAGTATAGTTTCGAGATTTGGAGTCGAAAGAAAACCAACGGATTAAAAAGTGTGGCTCAATTTGATCGTTGTTAGTTTGTTGCTGTGCGTGGTGGCAAGGAGAGGTTGGAACGACTTTGGCACTTCCGCTACTATCGAGAAAACAGTTGCTATTTAGCCCAGGTACTCTGTGGGCGATGGTGGAGCAATGAAGATATCCATGCTTCAAGATCTTAACAGTTGTGGTGCTTAGGATTTGGCGTCTCTATGTGCTTGGAGATTAGACGTTCGTTGAAATAGCAGCGAGATGATAGTTAGAGTCGAGTTTCGAAAACCAACTGAGGCGTTGCTATGTAATTATAAACCTTTCACCGCCAAATCCGTAAGCCGCATGTCGGGCTGTGCTCGACGACAAGGACAACCCATGGCCAGTCATGGTTCCCATTGAGTCATGGTTGGATGGCGCAATAAATTGACTCCCGAGTCGAAAGAGTGATGATTGAGCATGAGTGCGAGCAGCAACAGTACCGTACACAAGGCCAAAACACACAGTTGAGCTTTGTAGACGATGAAGGCTTTTAACAAATGATGGCTGACAGGCTTTTGTGGCGAAACTTCGTAGCTGTACTGTACCACTCCTGTTTCGTTGGCAGGAGTGAGTAGTGCGGGAAAGGATGCCACTAGTGCCGCAGGTGTGCATGGGTGCGGAGCGCAGCATACCGTATAGAACGGCCACCAACAGACCATGCTCCCAGATGCATTCATCCAGAGCAACAAAATGCGTATGGTACGTACATCGTAAAGTTAAATATGAGCGGCAAGCACCTTGCCCGATTGCCTCTAACCCTGTTTATCTCCGCACAATAGAGTCGAGTCCCGAGTCCTGTACCGCGAGCTCCGCTCCATGAATTCAAGCCAAATGGACCCGACCCCAAACCGTCCCACGATGCGATAAATGCAGAAGAATGGGCCCGACCCCAAACCGTCCCACGATGCCATAAATGCAGAAGCCACAATCTAGATCACAATCTAGTATCTAGGAGATCACCTCGGTCTCGGAAGCAACGTAAAGTAGGGTGGAGATGGAATCAGAGATAGGGAGCGGGACCACGAGAAGAATTGCAGAGTGTGTCGAGTCAGTTGGGTCCAATGCTGGGGACCAGTCATGACGGGATTCGTCGCAGACAGCACAGGGGATGAAGGCCATAGCTGATAGGTCAGCGAGTTTTGCGTTACCTATCTAGTTAGTTGGGCAAGGACCACAATCACACCCACACAAAGAAGTTCCATGGCAAGCTGTTGTGTTGGTTTTCACAGACAAATTTTTGCATTGCTGTGGGCCATAGCATTTCATTTTCTTCTGGTACATGTTGTCGCACAGGTTTTCAGGGATGCTGCCCAACAAGGATGTGTTTGTGACTACCAAGCTGGTCAACTTCTTCAATAGAAGTAGCTCAGTAGGAAGAGTGCCAGAAACATGGGTATTGTGTAATTCCAGTTTCCTGAGTTCAGACAGTTTGCCTATTTCTGTTGGGATTGAACCTGAGAAATGGTTACCGTTGATGCGAAGGACCTGCAACTTTGTGAGTTTGGAAAAGAGATCGGGAGGCAGTGTTCCTTCCAATTGGTTGGAGCTCAGATCTAAATGGACCAGATCTGACGGAAAGGCAAAGACAGGAACATTGGAAAGGGAAGGCATGAGTCAAGAAAAAGTGTGTGGTGAAGCAGAATATCCATCATACCTCGTACTCACCGGTCAACTTGGATAAGGTTGGTGGCAGAGTTCCAGACACAGCGTTCCCCTCCAAGAACAGCATTTCCTAGTTACTTGTGAGGAGACCCGAAAGGTTATAATCATGATTTCATAACATTCTTTGATTGCTTACCAATTTCTCCAATTTTCCAAGATGGTTTGGTATAGTGCTGTGAAGATTCCAGTCCACCAACCGTAGGAATACCAGTTCAGTCATAGTACCAATTTCAGCTGTGAGATGAGGGATGCACCAAAGTGTGAGAAGTGCTTATTCCAACCACTACAGCGGTTGTCTCAGTTCTTACATGGAATTGATATCGGAATTCCCAAAGTCCGGCTTGACAGTGCCAGAAACTTCATCTGCGGCATGTTCCAGCTGGTTTCTTGAAGGATGTATTCGTTGTTCAAGCCATGACATTGATCAATTATCAACTTTTCTAGTCCAGGCAATTGGAATAGTTCTCTAGGCACTGAACCTATAGGTTGGAGGGAGTGCAGGAAAGTTTTGTCAATTTCTTTGTGAATTGAATTGAGCGAGGCACTTCACAAACATGGCTGGTGACATACCGGTTAGATCTGACATTAACAGCACCAATGTAGAAAGACTGCCCAAATTGCCAATCTCTGAAGGTATGCGCCCAGAAAGGTGGCATTTAGCAATTTGGAGACTGCCAAGACTTTGCAGCAGACCCAGCTGGGTTGGAATTGTGCCAGCAATATTTGTTATACTCAACATCAACTCAGTCAATTTGGTAAGTAGCCCAACTTCGGTTGGGATGATCCCTTGGAGTTGAACTTGCCGGTTCAAGGTGAAAGACTGCAAGCTGTTCCCAAGCAAGGAAATCTCTGGAGGAATTGTTCCTTCCATGTTATTGGCTTTTTGGAATGCCAGTGCCTTGATTTTTCCCATCTCATTACAGGACAGGTTTGGAGAAAATGTGCGATTCAAAACTATTTGTTCCCAGCTGCATTCATTTGTCTCCTTATCCAGCCAGTCACGATGGTTCACCCAAGAGTCCCCTTTTGTGGAATAGTAGAATGTGGCCATAGCAAACATTTGTATCAGTCTCCATTTTGGTAGACCTGATGCTGGTTGAGTGATGGTCTGGTTAGTATTGATGTTCAAGCTGTTGACCAACCATTGATAGGCGTTGGACTGAGGAGATCTGGAGTTTTCCATTGCCTTTTGAGTGTAGTTTGGTAAATTGAGTGACTCCAAAAAGGTCTGTGCTGTTGGGGCTTCCACATTTGCAGGATTTGCAGGAATCTGAATGGATCCATATAGATCTTGATTTGGTAGATTTGGTACTGGTAGCTGATTTCTGTTTCCTTGCTTGCATGACAGCACCAAAATGAGGGCAAACGATACAACAAGGGAAGCCACAATGGTTTGAACAGAAAGCGAACAAAGCAGCTTTTTCCTCCAGTACTCCCTTGATCTCTGGTTGGTTGGTACATGTAGTAACACTGCATTGGGTAAGAGGCATGTCGCCGTCTGCTGATCACCATAAATAGGATGTGCAATGACTTCATCTTCAGTCCCTTCAACCCACTGGGAATGGTCTTGGTCACTTGTACCTGCAACAGTACCGGTACCAGTACCATCTGCAGTACCGGTACTGCTATTTGAATGATTAGAAGGCTCACTGACACTGAGATTAGCACTTGTAAGAAATGGACCTTCAACGGCATAAGCGCCAGGTATCATCCTCTGTTGTTGTTGTCTTGTAACACCGCTTTCCCGTGATGTTGTGTACCAGATACTGTTACCATTTTTGGCAGTCTCAATTGCAAGACGTGCAGCAGCAGCTCTTTCTCTGACAATCTTCATAATATCAAAGCCGCCTGGAGCATCAGCAGCACTGGCAGCATCAGCAGCACTGGCAGCATGTTCACAATGCTCTGAACTGCCTACCGGTAGCTGCAATCTACGCTTGTCGTCGTCGTTGTCGTCGTTGTCAACCTTAGACATCGTACCAGCGATGAACAATCGAATGGATCCTATGATAGCTACAAGTACAACTGGAGTAGTCTAGCAATCATAGCTAGTTATTGAGTACTAGTATCTCCTTTATAAGACATGCATTCACCTGCTCGGCTTTAGATGATGGTGATCGATCGCGAAGAACTGCATAGATTACTACGGAATTACACTACTAGCTAGCTAGTAGAAGGGGCAATGGACTAATAAGTGATGCCGGGGCATATTCATTGTTCACTGGTCATGAGATCCAGAACCCCTTTATTCGCCTGAAGCCTGAGAGGCGAATGAATGGAACGGCAACTGAAAAGGTCGATCGCAGTCGATCCTGATGGATCGAGGTAGTATAACATTGCAGAGCTGTATCCCACCAGGTCATTGCGGAGTTAATTTCGTGGGAGGCTGACAGTGACTCGGCGTGATTGCTAAGTACCAAAGCTTTTGTGACTCTCAGTCCAATCATATGAGATTTGCGGTTGAATTCCTAAGTGTTCGTTGGGCGCAAAAACAACGACAGTTACGCGGGTAGCTTTCGGGATTCGAAATGGCTCAAACCTGACGATCATGCATCGACCATCATTTTTCATAGAATTTGCCAAGGCATGAAAGAGGAAAGGCGACAATGATGAACATGATGATGCTCCAACAACGCCCCACGAGGCACAGCCTACTAACTGTACTCTTTCTGACTAGTCTGTTTCCCCAAGTCACCAATGCCGACAGTACGATGGGTTTTCTGTACGACAACGTGGCGGAATGCAGTAGCTCCGTGGTGACCATGGACAGTCTGGCCTTTGATTGCGACACTTCCACGGGATGTACCACGCATGACGAAATCACAATCACCGGACAGTGTAAGTAAGATAACGCTGTGATAAGTGTTATCTTATGCATATCTTGTCTCATCCCTGCTGTTTGCTCTGCTTCCATACGCGTGCCGTATACCCTTTCATTGCTTTTGGTTTTCTTGCGCAAAAAAGTCACGACGACTCTTCCCATTCCGGACGAAGTGAACCTGAAGATCCAGCTGTGTAAATTTTGGGGTTCCATGTGCACTCCCATCTTGTTGGATCAGGACATTGACATTTGTAACCTCTTTACGTCCAGCAATGAGAGTGGTGGGGACGACGAGTACTACTGTGCGTCTGCGGGAAGCTATCCCTTCCAAGAGACCTTTAGCCTCCCGGATTGGTCCTTGGACAATTACGCCGTGAATGGGTTTGGGTTTCGTATCTACGTGACGGCCAATGACGAATTCAATTGTCACGCCCAATTCACCACGGTTCGTTCCAACGATACCACTACCACCACCGTGTCCATCTTGGGTATCGTCTTTGTCCTGGTATCCTTCCTGTCGGTCTACCATACGAGGAGAAGAAACAAAAAGAATCGAACCTTGATGACGCGACAAGATTTGGAAGGCAATCATCATCATCATGACAATGGCGACGATGACGGAGGACGAGTCGTAGACTTTCGAGCCATGCAAATGAATGATGATCACTATGTGTCGCTATGATGGAATGAATGATCGAATGGGACGAATGATCGAATGAGATGAGATGAGAATGAACAAAATGGCAATACACAAAGGCAAGCTATTATCTTCGTGTCGTATACAGTGCAGTGCCTGTGTAAGGTTCGATCTTTGCATTGAATGGAAAGAGCAACTCTACACCGTCACTGGATCCAGAAAGTCAACGAACGAACGAGGCTAAAAAGTTTTCATAACAGCGCAAATTACATTTATCACTACTATAGATAGATAGTAGTCTCGTCGTGCAGGTACCGTAGCTAGCCATAGCCACACCGTTCTTTCTCCCATATACCTGGTATTGATCGATTGTTGTCGACCATTACTTCATAATGACGGCAGAAACGGGAAACGGATCTCGTTTGGACAGTACGAGTACTCGTTTGGCATGCGATAGATATCCTCGAATGTACCCTCGAAAGATGAGATTAGCGAGAATACATTCGACTTCATCTAGATCAATGGGCATTCCAAGCCACTTGAGTGACTTTGCGACAGTATTGAGTGGAATCTGATGTCGTTCGGTAATGACATGAATGCGTTTGAAAAGGTTTCGATAACAGACCGTCTTGCATTTTTCCAACAACAAGTACGTGCCGCGGCTATACGTTAAAAATGGAAATGAAAATAGAAACAGAAATAGAAACGACAAAGGGTAAGTGTAGTTAGTTGCTGGACAGCGATTGCATTTGTTTGTTTGTATACTGATACGTACTGAATGAAAATGTCTTGTGACTTGACGAGTCCACCTTGAAAGAGTCTCAAATCTCCCGTTCGAACTCCTTCGACAATGGGCAAGAATTCGAGTAGCCCGTACTTTTCCAAGAGTTGCAGACTGGGCAATCGTCCTCGAAATAGTTTGACGGGAACGAGATAGCGCAAGATGCGACGTTTATTCTCAAACGCATTCTTGTGGCAATGCTTTAGAGCATACTCGAGACTCTGTTCGGCCGCTTGATACTGATCTTCAAACAAGTTGAGTCGTCCCACGTAATAGCGGTAGGTGACCATGTCGGCCATTTTCCCCATTTGATGTAGTTTTCTGGATTCTACCGGACGTAGTAGATTTTTACAGAGTCGTAGGGTATTGAGTCGAAAGTAAATGGCAAATAGTTCATTGACAATCTTGAGGACTCCTGCTTTTTTGGATCCTTCCTGATCGTCCAACGGTGCATCGGCCTTGAATTCTCGGCGGTCGTTGGATGTCTTGCTGTACGATTCTTGGAGGAGAGTAACGGCCTTTTGCAAGTGAGCATTGGAGTCTTTGCTACTGGCGCTAGTCGATGTGTATCGATCCGCGGCAATGGCAGCTTTGTGTGTCATTTTGCAAATCATGTGGAGCGTGGGAACCAACCAATTCCCTTGGGATGAAGAAAACACGGAATGAAAACTAGAATGCAACGCGCATTGACTCTCAAACATCTTGGAGGCGTCGCCAGCAAGGGCGGCATCACTGGCATTGCAGTACTGAGTCAACGTGGAACTCCAATCCAGACCGTGGTCTTGCAATGACACGCTTTTACCACTGCTGCTACTAGTAGATCTACCACTAGCAGTGCTAGTAGAAGCCACCTTGGGCAAGACAAAGACAGAAGCAATCTGATCCAAGTCAAACGCATTCAAAGCATTTTGTAGTTCAGACACCTTGCCGTCGCGGTTCACTACTGTCATCTTTTACTACCAGGTACGTCTCTTCAGATGGACTCTGGTCTGATCTCGATAAAGTATAGAGGGATTGATTGGATTTGTGATTTTTGTTGGTATCTCAATGGATCTTTTTGAGAATGCCAACATGTTGCGCCTACAATGAAAAGTAACTTTTCAAGCTTCATTCGACTACATGACGTCATTCGGAACCCCCATGTCACATCACAAATCGGAGTTCGCAAGATCAAGAACTAACTCCAGGCTCCAGGTTTGCCGTTGCATTTGAAAATTTGACCGGATGCTGTGCATTGCTTCTATATAGCTAGAACGAAAGAAGCACCTTGCAACCACCTTTCAGCAACCTTTCAGCCACTTCAGAAGCCTCAGACGACCACCTTCATCACTCACCACTCATCACTCATCCATCATCAGATTCAGCCTTGTCATACCTTACCTTCCTTAGCTTCTTCAGTTTTCAAGCAAGTTGCAGCATTAGCATGACCCCCCTCCTAGGTGCCGAATTTGCCGCCGTGGGATTGGGTGGGATTGGAGCCTATTTCTTTGTCGCAAGGCGCAAGTGTCCCACCAAGTTGGAAAAGGCACTCAAACTCAAGGACGCTTCCGACCTTCAGTTGCCTCCGGGAATGAGTCAAGAGTTCAAGTTGCCCGAAGCCGATCGCGTCGCTTTCAAAGAAGCTTTTCTCAACAATGAAGAATTCCAATGGCTTGCCGCACAACCGGGCGTCGAAGATTTCCGAAACAACTCCAACAGCACCAGTCACAAAAAGGTTCTATTTGAAATCGTGTGGTACATTACCGAATGTCGACTCCGACTCGTAGAAAAGTACGGATATCTACTCGTACAACGCGATCCAAAATCGGGAGTCTTTCAAGGCGCCATTGGTCTTATCCCGCCCTATGCCAAATGGTGGAGACTCAAAAAACACTACCAATTCGCTGCATTGTCGCTAGGACGAATTTCCATACCCGAAAAACTCGGATGTACCAAACGATACCGGGCGTATCTACGAGAATTGGACGATCATCATCAAGATTCCATGATACTCGTTACTTCACTGACGAGTGAAGGACATTGGCACATTCCCATTATAGGTGTGGCCACCAATTATAAACGCGTCGGTATTGGACGACAACTCATGGAAACCGCCACGCGACTCTGTCCTCGACCCATTTATGTCGCCAGTCCCGATCCAGCGGCACACTTTTTTCAAAAAGTTGGATTTGCACTCGACAAGAAATTCCTCGTCGTTTCCGAAGGGGGCAATCAAGATTTGCAACGAGATGCCATTTATTACAATTCCATGACGTGTCAGTAATACTAAAAACAATAATGCAACAATCTACACCTCATGCATGCACACCAGTTCGTCCGGGTGGTCTTGGATGAATGGTTGTTTTATGCTTGTTCTGAGTTTCAGTATATGTGTGCGGGAACAGTTAGTTTCTCCGTCCTCTTCTTTGTTTCCTTGGTTTCAATGGTTCCATTATAAATATAGTGTGGCGTGATCGTGCATGCAAACAAAAGTCTTCTGGGGGTTTTGGTACTACGGTAGAAACAGACGTGCCATGTCAGTAATAAAAGTTCATACAGTTGCATGGTTGGATTACATGTAATGTGTATCTCTTTGAAAAATATTCACCGTGTGCTTCAACTCGCCACCCAGACAACTGGGGCGCCTCTTCTGTCGAGGGCTTTGGTAACTACCTATTATAGCCAGCCAAACTGGGCCGCCACGACCAACGTCTTCATCATTCCTTGTCCCAAATCAGCCATTGGTTGGTTTGTCACTCACTCCAGGCTGGAACCTGGTAGCAACTTGGCCCTCAGACTACGATCTTTCAGTGTCAGTCCAGGGTGTGATGAGGGACTCATTCCACACGCTACAAGACCAGTCATCCCTGGCATCTTACTCAACAGTGTCAAGTACCAAACTACAATGTTAATGGCACAGAGACCTGGCCTTTCACCGAATCCAACTTTTAAACAGGCAACGTAACAGAGAAGGGTGGGAAGAACTCGCAGAGCAAGTCGGATCCGTGCAGTGTGTGGGTTGTTGAATTGGATCTGGTCCCATAAAGTCAAGAAGTGGTCCAGGTCTCCATCATGATCTTGCCAACAGCAAGTGCCTCCTTTCATCCAATGAAAGTAGAAAAAAGTCACAAAAAAGTGGAGAATGTTGGTGATGGTCAATGATGCCTTTTGCAGGGAACTATCCTCTAACAATAGTACGGATGCCAGCACTTCCACAACTCCTGCGACTGTCAATAGCAAAGTAACATAGGCAACCACTAGGAACCCCTGCTGATGATTTTCCCACCAACTAGCACTGCCAGCATCCAAGGCGCCCATCATGCTGTCACGGCCATGATCCGCATAATAGGAAGATCCTTCATGGAATTGGATGTAGTCTCGCTTTAACGGACGAGGAGAGATGCTGTTGCCGCTCTCTCCGAGAGACAGGCGCGATGGAGTCTGTGGAAGCATCAAATGATCCAGGGGAGGAGGTGTCTTGGTTCTCCTGAAAGATCGAAGGCGAATTTCTCCACTGTTGTCGCGTGACAAAGTCTGGGTGGCCCCGTCGGGATCGTCCATCTCTTGCAGAAGAGGGTCAGGTCTGGCGCGCCATAGCTTGGGCGCCTCCGCAAGTCTTGGTCTCTGCGTGTCGTCGCTACGGCGCTGATCATTCTCCACCCGCATTACATGTATTGGAAGGGACTCTTCATCTTGCTCTCGTGCGTCTTCTTCTTCTTCTTGGGCGACAAACAGTCGGCGCGGCACCATGCATGCTGGCACGGGATCAAACGGAGCACGGGTGGATGGTTCCGGCACTCTGTGGATAAGAGTATCATCGTCGCCACCGCCATCTTTCGAAGCTTTTCTCTTCACCTCAGAGCTGGCCCATTTGGATTCACCGTCACTGTCATTGCTGCAGTTGCACGACTGTTTGTGTTTGGGCGAGGAATCCATGCAGCTTCTTCCAGTCTCGCTGAGAATCATACCCAAACAGCAACCAATATCGGAAAGGACGCTGCATGTATATATGTGTGTCGAAACTGAAGTGGGCTATTATTATCTGCACTTCTTGCCGAAGAAATTAAGCTGTGATGCAAACAAGCTCTTGACTTCAAAGTTACAAACTGCGTAAGCAGCCAGGGCAAAGCGAAGCAAACAGCTTGATTGCTAGGAATTTCGCGGGGATGCTACGAACGTCCGGTACGGTTCGCATAGAAAAGAACGCACACATACTCCAGTTCGACTGGGCCGTTCCCGACTGAGATTCGATTCGACTCCGCTCCCCAAAGGACAGGGCGCGGTCATGGTTTTTTCCAACAATTATGCAGGACCGACAGCGGACCGAGTTATTGTGTTTTTGTTCTGCAGGAATGAAGCGCCCATGCACACTGCATGGCAGGGTCCCGATCCCTGTGCCGTCAATGCGGCAGGCAATGCCACATACAGTAGAGGTTCCTCTTGTGGGATGACCGAAACGCTGCAAGACAAGGCAGCCCTGAAGCTACAGTGGGTCAAGAGGAAGCATGCACCACAGCTACAGCTTCAGGTGGAGCTTCTCTATAGTATTTGCATGCGGAACAGGTCCCCTTTGCCACATCATTTCAAGCGACCGATTGAAGAACCACCATGCAATGCGGCAGGTACGTACTCTTTCTGAACTCGCGAAAATATACATGTACGTAAGGGGATAGCTTGAGTGGGGTAGTTATCTACGGAAGCTGGTAGTAGGGGGGCAGGCTCAGGAGAAGGACAGGCAAATTTGGGGCTATCTAGATCCGGTGGGATCAGGGGCGAGAATTTGAGGACCAGTGCTTGACATTGTGGAATCCATGGAGACACAAATGAGTGGCTTTAACAAGGGGGGGGGGGACCAGATTTGCATGGGCCTTTGTACATTTGGAATGGTTATCCTACGTTACCTAATGGTGCGAACGTGCCACTGGATCTGTTCCGCCACATGCATACATACATTGTTATCAAGGTCTTTGTGCCTGTCACCAACTACATGTAGTCTGTCTCTTCGGGGGCGTCACAACTAGCAAAACTAGGCCGCCAGGTATTCATTCGACATTCCCAGTTGCTCGTGGAAGGAAGCCGTCGCCATTTCTGGCATTTGAAGCATTGAATCCAAGGCTTTGCAATAATGGCTCGATAAACCGGCACTGCGTTCTGTGCCCTTCTGATAAAAGGTGATGGCGTTAGGGTCTTCCTCGCTTTCATTGTCCTTGTTTCCGCCACGCCTTGCCAGTGGTAGCTACTCGTTTTCAAGGTGTCTTCGTCATCCATGGGCATAGGTTCATGATCCGTAATGTGAGAATTGATTCCCAAGACACGAACGCCATTCATCCATGGCAATTTACCCAAGAGGGTAAAAAACCAAACAATAACGTTGAAGGCGCAAATATACGCCTCCCACCCACTTTGCCAGCAGGCAAGGTAACAGAGAACGGCAGGAACATTCCTCAAGGCGAATCGGAGCCATCCAGTGTTTGGAATGGCTTCAATCTGTTCCCACAGAGTCAAGTGGTCCAGGTCTCCATCATGATCTTGCCAACAAGTACCTCCTTTCATCCAATGCACGTACGTGAGGGTTACAAAGAAGTGGATGGTGTTTGTGATGGTCAAAGAGACTCGTCCGCTGGTCAGTTGTTCATCAGTGGGATCTGTTAGAAACGATACCATCACTTCGACATAGAAAGCCACAATGAACAAGACAATCACATAGACCAGGAACAGGAACCACATTTGTTCTTCGAACCAACTTCCAGTATTGCGGAAAATGTGGAAGCCTGCCATGTCATTCCCATCGGCATAAGATCCCTCGTAGGAATGAACATAGTCTCGAGAGTTGACTCGAACATGGTTGGGTCCACTACTAGGCGAGGCGTCATGGTCCCGTTCAAGTGGTCTGGGCTGTTCTGAGGAACGACCTGCAGTACCAGTACGGTTCAAGTTACGCTGAGCAGGTCGAAAGCGAATCTCCCCGTTGTGGGTTACGGTACGCATTTTAGAATCGAATGATCAATCGTTGGCGTTCTGGCTGCGGGAGGCAAACAAGGAACAAGGAACAAGAAAGCATGAGTAGTTGGGCACTTGCTTCGTGGATCGTCTATTACAAGGATTACTGATCAGCAGAAGCTTTTCCTTTCTGAATTTGATGTCACGATCGTCATCTGACTGCGATGCGACACGGAAGAAACCAATGCCTCTGGGGTCGTACCCTCCGTACCTTTCACCTTTCACCTTTCCTCCAAACAGCGATCTCAACGAGCCAGATGGATGGGAAATTGCTCTAGCCAACAGGTTTAGTATGCTATTACGGTACCAATACCGTACTTTATTAATGGAAAGATCTGGAAAGATCGAACATAACATCAGCAAATTACGCAGCCGTCAGCTCCTGGCCCCTCAGAACATCGCGACGCGAGGCTGACTACAGGTCTCTGGTCTCTGATTTCCCAGGACCGAGCTTGTCTGGGCTTTGCAATCACGACTGGATAGGGTTAATGTCTTCTTCTTCAAAAACAGCAAGGCTATCAATGCACTGCCACACCCGATGTAACACGCCGCTGTCTGAGTGCGTTTACCAGGCTCTCGTGTTCGTTCATGTAGACAAGCATGGAAAATATTTCCCGCCTTCATGGCCATCGTGACGAATCACCCGACCGAATCGACAGTGTCACTTCCAAGGATATGCCTTCCGCAGTTTCACCATGCAAAGAGGGCACTGCCTTGATGACCAAATCATCTTGTACGGTAACAAGATTGGACACTGCTCCATAAATTGTCCCCTCATTGGTATCACCATTCAAAGCATAGGGAGCTGCGTTTTCAGTTTGCGTGTTGATTCCATTCTCGTAAAACTTGACAGTAACCCTACTGCTGGGATTGGTTGCAGCTCGGATACTCAGCTGTGTAGGCCCATCCGTAGAGTTGTTGTAAAAGTAAACCGTATCATTGCCACTTTCCAGAGTGCGAATGTCGGAGTTGTCATCCACATTGATGAGAACAAAACTCGTCACTTCGGGTTTGACGGTGACGCTTGTCAGTGTCGCACAAACGGTCTGGCGAACACCATGTTCGTAGTACACTCCGAGATGGTCCAACCAGCTCCCGGAATATCCATAGAACGAGTGGATAACACTACCACTTGGACTCTCGAAAAATGTGTTGGGCTCTTGGTCTAGAGAACTTCCAAATGGACCAAAGCATTCATTGTCGGAGGTGCATATTCTTATGTGGATGGGCCACCTGTCCGTCAACATTTCTATCTTTGTGATGTATTGATTGCTTTTGAGATTGATAACTCCTTTGGGGCTTCTTCCATCACCCGTGTAGGCCCCATTGGTCTGTCGCGACGTAGTGCAATCAGTCAATACGTAGGTGGTGGCCAGGCTGAGGACCGTAGCAGTTGGTAGAGAGCAGTCATTGTTGGTAACGCAAACAGTGGTGGCGTATACTTGAATCTGACTGATCTTGTGAATGCTGGATTCGCCTGCAGGTGTAGCGCCAAAGCGTTCCAAGTGATTAAAGTTTGGGTTTGCATTTCGGTTGGGGGCTAGGAAGCTTTGTGTGTACGAAACAGTTTCGAGCGCAGTTGGGTTCATTGAGGGACTGGAAGAACTTGGGTTGGTTGAAGGAGCCGAGCTCGGGTTGGTCGAAGGACGGGAGCTTGGCCTATGAGATGGAATTCGGGTTGGTGAATCGGAGGGCATCTCTGATGGCATGTTGGAATTTGCTGGAAAGGATATTGTTTGAGAAGAAACTGATTGTTGCGTGGATTCGTCGTTGCGGTCGCTCGATCTCGAAAGAGCCAGACCAAGGACTATTCCAATAAGAACAACGATTGCAATGCACAAGGCAACATACACTACTTTTCTTCTTGGAAAGCCGCACAGTGTTTTGTCTTGGACGCTCTCATCTTTGCCTTCAAATGAAGGTGGAGAACCCACCGGGACTTCACGAACCGCAACGCCCACAACAGCATCTTCCATGATTTGTCTACGGATCTCGTCTTCCAAATCAGCTTGGGTGAGAGCCGTAGCGACCGCCAATCGAGGTTCCTCTTCGTCTTCTTTCGTTTCTGCCTGCATCTCGTCGCTATTATCCTTCTGCTCCGCATCAACTCGCTCCACGACCACATCAGCATCCGTTTGCTCGCCATCTGTGAGCTCCTCGATGACACCATGTCGGTCTCTGTTCTTGCGGAGTCCCCGACCGGTTGAACTAGCGAAGCCACCAACTATCACGGTACCACCACTGGAATCCGAATCCTTGCTCTTGAGTCCTCTTTTCTTCGGCATCTTTGGCATTGTTGCTTCTCTAGTTTCGTTTTCGGGCATGAGAGTATTTGTATTCCCTTCAATCTTGCGGTTTGTGTCGCCTTTGCCAGGGCTGGGATCAGGGCCAGGATCAACATCAGAATTGGGAAATGGGATCATGGGGGTGAGAATGTTCCCATCAGTCTTGCTGTTTGCGTCTCCTTGAAGAGATCCAGGATCAGGGTCGGGATCAAAGCCAGTCTCAAGGTCAAGACTAGGAAAAGGGATCGCATTTGTGATAACTTTCCCACCAGTAGTGTTGCTTGTGTCTCCTTCAATGGGTCCATGACTATATGTAGGCTCAAGATCAGAGCCAGGATCAGAGGTAGGACTAGGACTAGGAAAAGGGATCATGGGGGTGATGATATCCCCATCAGTCCAGTCGTTTGGATCTCCTTTGGCAAGATAATGATCAAGATCAGTCCAATGGTTTGGGTCTTCTTTGACAGGTCCATGTCCAGAATGAGGATCAGTAGTGGGAAAGGGGATCGCAAAGGTGGTAAAATCCACATCAGCCCCACTGTTTGGAAAGCCTTCGACAGGTTCCAAACGAGGAGTACCAGTAGAGCCAGCATCAGGAAGAGGAATCACAGAGGTGGTGACATTCCCGTCAGTTCTGCTGTTTTGGCCTGCTTCAAGAGGTCCGTTTCCTGGACAACGATCAGGATCAGGATCAAGATCAAGATCAGGGCTAGTATTAAGAAAATGGGTGACGGGCGCAATGACATCCCTATCAACTTCATTAATTGTGCCTCCTTCGTGAGGTCCATGTGCAGGGCGAAGACGAGGACTTGAATCAGAGCAGGGATCAAGATCAGGGTTAGGAATAGGGATCGTCTTCTCATCAGTCAGGCTGCTGGTGTCTCCTTTGACGGATCCAGGATGAGGATCAGGATGACTGGCTAAAATCGGAGAAAGGATCACTGGGGTGGTGATATTCCCGTCCAACATGTTGTTTGTGTCTCCTTGGCCGGGATCAAGATTGGGTCCACGACAAGGAGAACGAATCCGATGATCCTCAGGTTGATCCTCTGATGCAGACGACATGGAGCCTTCAGTGCGTTTGATGATCGTACACTTTGACAAGCGAATGATCGAGTTGTTTGAGCTGCTTCAAGCTTGGATGGTCGATGATACAGTACCATTCTGTTGAGTTCCGAGCTCGTCCTTTCTTTTGTTTGTTGTGCTGTAATTGAGTGGTACTGTACACCAGCACATGTAGCGCTATTGAGTTTAAGAGTACTGTAGTACACTTGGCCATCTCCGAAGAAAAACCGTAGGGGTACTTTGTAGATATCCACGCGATTAAAAACTTCATCAGAAGGACAAGTCCTAGAAATAAAGGATTAATGGACTTAGTCGCGGATCGATCGCTGATGGCTGTACCGGTATTGCGCGTGAGCCAAGATCGTGCAACCGTTGGGATCGAGCACCGTGTGCTAACTGATACTGAAAGGAACCGGACTTTCTATCAGTATGGATGATGGGTTGGGGGGTTAGGCGGGTTTTGTCGTTCCCTGTGGCACCATGCTACCGGTACCGAACCGCCGTTCTCTGGGATGCTGATGGTGCCCTTGCACTCTTCCGCTAATCTTGCCCCCTCTTACTCCCTCTTGACTGCCCGTCTACTGAAGTCCTCCTTTTACTCATCGAATTCCCCTTCCTCCTTTGCCCCCCATTTGCCCTGTCGTTGTCGTTGTTGTTTCCCGAGCATGGAAACAGGACAAAAGCAGCAACCACGTGCCAAAACCTCGGAGCTCACGTAGTCTACCATTGGCTGGCTGGTGGCTGCCCGCTTCACACCTAGGACATCCTTTCAACTTTGCAGGCCGACAAAGCAGTCTGGCTTTAGTTAGCCCCCCCCCCCCCTCCCGCCAAGTCCGGTGCCGTTGCAGGCCACCACTGCGGCTCTTCCTTGCTTCGTGTTCGAGCCATTTGATTTGCGTCTTGGCGTTGCACCGCCCGCTTTGGCGAGAATATTCAAAGATTTGCGCTGGCTCTCCTATGTGACAGCCCAGCGGGATTGATCTTCTCGTGTTTAAATTCACGTCTGTAAAAAGATGTCATTGCTGGACGGCTGGAGCAGGGCATTTCCGCACCCTGTTGATGGTCCACCTTCTTGGTGCGAAGTGACGAGATCTCGAGAATTGGAATTGGCTTAGCTATCTAGCCATGGCAAAGGTTTCGATAGAAGGCAGGTTTATACTAGTAGTTAGGATTATTAGCAGGTTTCTGTTTGCTTCGATTTATTGGACTGCAACTCCTCCAACCTGTTCCAAGTAGTACCGTTTTCTTTCATCAATGAATGCTTCAGCAAGTCAACATGAACCAAACCTCACACACTGGCAAACAGCGAAGGCACGGTGTCATGATGAAGCTGGCCCATCATGTCGTCCTGAGGGCCGTCATCGTCATCATCGTCGTCATAGGCACGATTCTGGGCACCATCGAGCACTCTATAGGGCTCAAATCTGGCCATCTCTCGAAGCAGCGTTGCAATCTTCTCTCTTGCCACATTCTGATCCACCATTATCCACTCATTGCTTACATCATCCCATCTCAAAAACCGGAAACCTTCTGTCTCCAGATCCATCACTATCTGCCGGGTCAAAGTAGTCTTGGCCTTCTTGGATGTCAAGCTGTTCCAAGTACCCATGTACTGCTCATCCAAAAACGTGCGAAGCAGACGATTTCCAGAGTGAGTATAGGTGGAGCCGCCACGCCCCAACAGCACATCCCTCGGCTGCAAATCATCAGGGGCGACCATTGCTTCAGGCTATCCTTGACTATACTTTCGGTGCCAATTGCCTGGGTGATGAATGAACGGTGAAGTCTGGCCCTAATGTACAACCAGATTAAATTAGTTTACAATATAATGAAACGATCGATGCTACGCAAACGAATGAGGGGGCCGTCATTGCTCTTCGATATCGGGACTGATTCAAACTCCAGGCATGTGAAAGACGGTTTCTGCCATCCCGAAGTCACACTGCTGCTGGGGTTCTGGCAGTATAGTACCGATCCTGCAACGCTAGCATTCCTACGAAAATTCCCCGACTGGAAAGATTCCTACGTATGATAGGCTGCTTCCGTAGCTAACTTCGTACCCTAAAGAGTAGCTAGCTAGAACCCCTGGCTATATGTAGTAGCGCATTCGTCCCACCAGCGAATTATCGAGACTTTGGAGCCCCTCCTTGATCCGTGGGTATCATTTGTAGCTTTTATGTCATGGTAGAGGAGATCAGGAATCGATCGTCAGCCACTCAGCGGCCAATGACGAGCTTTCGCTTCTTCAAACGTGCACGGTCCTGGATGAAGTGGGTCTTCGGGGTGGACCTGCCTGAGAGTTGCATGCAGCCTCAAGGTCCATTTTCCATTACCTGTACGCACACGAGTACCAAAGATGCGGAGCTACACGTCGAAGGATTCGATTCTGCCGCCTCTGCTACGTTGCCCTGCGGCTTCGTGTGGCTCCTGCAGCCACGGGATTGCGTCAAAGTTTGTTCTTCTGGCGTCTTGCCTCGGTACGTGCCGCACGTTTTGCGTTGTCCGAGTTCCAATAACCTGTTTCCATGCCCGCACTGGATGTGTCCAGTGGAGCCTGAAGAAGGAAGATAAACTAATAGATAGACGACTGCCATGGTGAAGGGGGTCTAAAGTGGTGGGGTTATCGACAGTTGCCGGCGGGGGTCAAAGAAGAGACGGAATCTGGGACTATAGGGGATGTAAAAACCGGCGAGCTCAAAATCATCCACATACATTGGATTGGCAGGTGCCAGAAGCACACATTGAATTACTTCCACAAGCAGAACCAGAGGCAAGCTCAACACGTTGGAATAGATGATGATATCTTGTTCTTGCTCAAAACCAAAAAGGAAAGTGACGTAGCCAACCCAACCTCAGTCGGGAGAGATCCAGTTATAGCAGCATCCTCAACGTTCAAAGTCTTCAAAGGGGGAATTCTGAACAAGCCTGGTGGAATGGTTCCAGTCCAACCCGTCTTGCTTGCAGAAAGTTCACGTAGGTTGGAGAGGCTGCCATATTCAGCAGGGATCGATGGAGCCATCAAAGTTGTTGTTGTCTGTTGCCAGTTCCTGCAGGATTTCCAACGATGCCAAGGCGGGCTGCAGAGTCGAAGAAAGCACGTTACTTAATTCTTGCTGTGAATGACTCCAAGGATGTCAAAGAGATATGTCAAGCTAGTGACATTTCCCAGTCCAGGGTGGAGCGTCCCACTCAATGAGGTGGTGGACCCATCCAATGAAGTCAACTTGAGCAAGTACTCTATATCGGTTCCGAGGGAATTGTACTCGTAAGGCTATTGTTGGAGAGCCGAACGCGTTCCAAGTCCGCCAAGGAAGCTAGTTCCGGGACGAGAAAACCGGTGAGGTTGTTCGAGTTCAAATCCAACGTCTTGTAGTTTCCTGTTCATGCACGTGATGTGATGTGATGTGATGTGATGTGATGTGATGTGATGTGAGCGGTTACGGTGCACGACAAACTACGAATTCAGTGGTCGCTTTTGAACGTACCCTTTTCGTCGCACACTTCCTTGGTTCCTTGGAGGCAGAGTACCACAAACATTCATCCGCGTCGTACCGGTAGCTCAACCAGCGGCTGTTATTGAGCCAAAAGGGACCACCAGTGGCGTAGTAAAAGGTAGCAAGAGCTAGTCTCTGCTCGTTTTTCTCTGTTGAGTAAGAAGACAGACCAGGGTCGTTCTGCCTGTTTCGTTCCCAGCCTAAAGGAGCTGAAGCTGCCGAGGGCGAAAGTGTAAGTAAGCTTTGCCGCACTGGGCGGGGCCCAAAAGGCAGAACATAAAGAGCGCTATTTCCTCGTCCGATTTGATTTTGTGGCCCAGTTCCGCCTCGATGGCATCCAATCGGGTGGGATGGATTAACAGGCTCTTTTCAAACTCGGTGTTTTCGCCTCTGTTGGAAAAGGCAGAAGCAAGTGTGCAGGCAAAGCTGCGTGGAACAAGAAGCGCAGGAAGCGATAGACTGAGTATTAGAAGGAGCTTCATCATGGATAGATTGAGCTGTTTTCCGTGCCTCGGCCACTCAACGCGTCGAAAAAAAGGATAAGCGTTCCAAAAAATGAGGATGGAAGAAAACAGCTAAGAAAACTCTGCGTTTGGCGTGTGGTGCAGCATGCACAAGTAAGTACAAGTAACCAGGGTGTGGGACTCACATGAAATACACGCTGCGTGTACTCGATGTGAGTACGGGTACTGAGTACTGAGTATACTCAGTACCCATACTCACATGACCTCAGAAAATGTGAGTATTACTCAGTACCCGTACTCACATGACTCCGGATTTTGAGTACTTTTTGAGTCTTCGGTGAGTACTTCGGTGAGTACTTCGAAGTGAGTACCAGTGAGTACTCGGTGAGTATTTTGTGAGTATTTTGGTGGGAGACAACTGGCAAAACCAACCACCAATCATCTTTGAAGTTGCTGTGCGCATCTTTGCAATGCCAGATAGAACGGCTTCCAAGAAAGAGTTTTCAGTTCTTGTACATGGTTTGATGGAAAACTCAGCAATGGACAGAAGGTTGACATGACATTCAAATGCGCCTTCTTTGCTCAAGAACAGTGCATTCATCCAGAACTACAAGCAATGCATCAATGATGCAAGAAAGGAATGGGCAAAGAATAGGACCAAGGATCTCCTCAAGCTAACTGCCAGCAGATGTGAAGAGGAGGATTAACAGTGATATTGATGCCATGGTGGACCTTTACAACAAGATTGATGAGCCCCCAGCCAGAACTAGAAAAACCTAGATAATTTCCCTAAGTAATTATTTATGAGTACTCAGTGAGTACTCTATAGTACCCACAAAGTACCTGTACTCACATGATACCCGTACTCACTTGACCCTGGGAATTGTGAGTATTACCCAGTACCCATACTCACTTGACTTTGGAATTGTGAGTACTACTCAGTACCCATACTCACATGCTAAAACAGTGTGAGTACCACGCCCTGCAAGTAACAAGAAGTGAGCGAATCTTATTGGATCGTTTGCTTTTCTACTGGACCTCTGTGGAAACGTCATTCGTGGCAAAATACTTAGGAGACGATACACCGAGGAATAGGAGACGATCGTAATGATTTAAGAGACGAAAGCAATCGACGATTCAGTAGGAGACATTACAATTAGGAGACGAAAATTTCGAAATAAGAGACGATCCGAAAGATTTAAGCGACGATACCATACAGTTTACATGGGACATGGGACACTTAAGAGACGATCCGTTGAGAATAGGAGACGATCCGTTGAAAATAGGAGACTAAGGAGACGTTTTAAGAGGAGACAAAAGATTTAAGAGACGATCCGTTTCGTCTCCTATTTTTAGGAGACGAAATCCATTAAATAGGAGACGATCAAAAGGATTTAGGAGACGAAAAGTAGCATGACTTGAGTTTCCACAGAGGTCCTGATTGAATGATGCGCTGTGTCCGCTGTCATCCTGAAGTGGTAGTGAAGTTCATGGCTTTGTTTAGTGGAGCGCTCGTGGCATCTGAGAAACATTTAAGCCAATAGTGGCCAACAATGTCACACATTGGGTTGGGGCTCCGGAGCTAGAAAAAGGGCGGAAAGCGCGGGAAACTTTGTTAGTACTGATAATTTGTATAGTAAACTCATGCCCACCCGGGCGACATTTGTCTCACTTTTTTCGAGTTTATGGAGTGAAGTTTAGATGTTCTATGGAACTTGAGTCCTGCTTTTGAGAGATTTAAAGGCCTACTTTGACCTTGACCCTCGCTGTCTCGCTGGAGCCAGCATAATCCGAGTGACCTAATAATTAATGCTCAGTACCTGTTTGCACAGTGTTTGGGCGTTGACATTTGACAGGTTCACACCCACGTTGACAGCCATGGCACGGAAGCCAGTCTCGAAACTTGCTGCCAACAATTAATTCTTCTTCCAGCTGCGGCTACCGCACCGTGTGGGTACCATGGCATACCGGTAGATAGCAACCGGTGGGAGTGCCGTACAGCAGCCAGCTAGCTAGAGCCCTACAGTTACCGGCAATAGCTAGCTAGCTACCGCATCATAGACTCTATTTAATAGTAACCAGTACCAGGGCCAGATGTAAAAATATAGTTCCAACCCGATTGACCCGTAGCTAGCTACATGTACCCCCAGCGAGTACTGGGATCGAATCACGGGGCAAAGAGCTTTTGGTTTTGCAGCTACTCTCTCGTTGTGCAACGGAGGACAGGGCTCCGTGGGCAGAGCTCTTGGTTGCGAGTTTCGTTGGGTTTCTCCATGTGCCCGCTATTTAAAGAAAGCTATTATAAGTTGCAATGGAAAACTAAATACTAAATAGATAAGCTAAGTTGCAGTTTGTACATGTAAAACCTTGTTTGAATGAATGCGTATCGTGGAGGTCTTTAGGACGTAATTCTTTCAAGCAATGGAATTAATGTAACTTTGCCACCCAGGCCGGCTGCAGTTCCGGGTAGATAAACATTTCCCTGCGCTAAAGCTAATAGATTGCTAGCTAGTAGCAAGTAGACACTCCTCATCCATCTGATGAGGTGATGAATGTTAGCATTTCAGGTTCCAGGATCAGTACTGCATCGACAGAGCCCCAGCTACGGTGTGAGTCGGCACGCCCACAAGCGTAACTGACACTCCTCACCTCGAGTTGTGGATTCATTCATTAACCCAGGCAATCAACATCCAAAGAATACAGCAAGCAAGAAAAGCCTGAAGCGATGAATCATGAGAAAGTTGCCCCAAATGATGTGCAGACCAGGGATGTGCTGCTGGGACGCGGTGGCTACATCTATACTCATTCAGGAAATGTCCTGCTTCGCAAGTTTCTGGATGAGCAGTACATGGGCACTTGGATAGCCTTGACAGTGAAGATGGCCAAGACCAATTTGACCCGGCAGATAGTGATGGATCTGGAGACCGAAGGTTTCCGGTTTTTGAAATGGGACCGCCCAAGCCATGAGTGGTTAGTGGTGGATCAGAATGTGGTGCGAGAGAAGATTGCGACACTCCTTCGAGAGATGGCCCGATTTGAGCCGCATAGTCTGCTTGCTCATGATGGTGCCCAGAATCGGATGAGTGATCGCGGCAATGACAATGGCAATGACAATGGCAACCAAGCTGAAAGGGATCACCAAGCCGACGATGACGACCAAGCTGAAAGGGACCACCAAGCTGACCATGCGGATACAGCTCGTTCGCGGATTGCCAGTGTGTAAGATTTGGTTCAAATATACCTTTGAGTTGACGTGCTAAGGCCTTCGTGTGTGTGTGTGGGGGGGGTTTGTGTGTCTGTGTGTGTGGCTGGGCCTGTCTTGAGCAGCAATAAATCAAAGCAAAAGAGTTTTATTAACATGATCCTCAATATGTTTATAACACCTGACTTCTCTTGACTGCCACGCATACCGTACATGTGCTAGCTACGGTAGCTGGCTAGCTATCACCGAAGAGCCAAAACGAATCCTCATTATATTCAATGTTAGCAATTGCCGACGTGATCTGGTCTACCTGCCATTATGAAGCCAAAAGGAGATGATGCTCGCAACGCCATGCGTATATGACACGATTGCCCGCCCTTGCGGTGTCATTGCATGGGCATGGTTGCCGCATAACCTACGGTGGAAAGAATGAGAAACCAAAACCAGTATGCCGCAGCTGCATGGAACATTGAGTTCAAAAGCATTGCAATCTCGCTCGGATTGCAGTTGCCTCTTCGATGGACAAGCTCCAAGAATCAATCATTGCATCTGCGAGGGAAATCGTCTTGTTTCAGTGGATGGTTTTTCTATGCATCGGCCACAAAGTGGGATTGATTGGAATGAAATCAAATCAGGAGAAGCCCATCCCGTGCCTCATTTCCCTTGGCGGTGCGGGCAAAGCTATCGACTCGACTCGATTGAATCAACCGACTCCATCATTACTAGCCCCCGAGACTATACCATACACACCGGATTCGATCAAACGTCAACGTTTCCACTGTCAGCCCGTCATGTCGCAGCCGAAGCCTTCTTCAGTAACCCCACCCGGCCGAAGAAAGTCGATTCGTTGGTAGTTTGTTCCATTCCATGCCGGCCGTTTTGCAGGAGCTAGTATAGAGCTTACCGGTAGTACGTCCGCATCGCCGCGTATACAATGTCACATTCCGAAGAAATATCCGCACGTTCAAGGCCATTGATACACAGTACCGGTATACCGGTACCAAAGATCTTCTTCTTCCAAATGTATGGATGGGCCCAGACTTCAAAGAATCATGGTATGGAGGGTCTCCGGTAATTCCACAAAGTCAAGTAGATTGTTCCAGGGCTCGAGACACTGCCTCGAGCTCCTGGATCTTCTATCTGTGCCACTTGTTTCCAAGCTTCTGTTGTTCTTCTCTTGCTGGAGAATTCACTCCCTGTTACATGTATATTTTATAATGTAAATCTTACCATGCCTATTCCGTATGCATACTGTACCTGTACTGGTGGGACGGGAAGATCATAAAAATGAGGAAAAATTCACGAGTTTGTCAAGTACCCTCCGACGTTGAGGTTTCTCGTTGCTTAGGGTTAGAGGTACGAACCGGGACCTGGCGTCGAGCCGTCCTGGACCTGGTCAAAAAATGACAAACACACACCATGCATCGTCCATCACAGTCCCTGAACCCACTAGCTGGTATAGATACACCAGCAACGATCGACGGCTGCTTCTCCAATCCAAAAAGAGCGAGAACAACTCCCAACATCATGTCTAATCCAAGCAATGGCTCCAGATGGACCAAATGGTTCTTGGTCTCCTTCGTAGGGTTCGCCGTGGCTGCTGGCCTCTTTGGAGATGCGCGCATCATTGGACTTTACAAGCGAAGGCTTTCCGTTGCTTCCTTATTCGACACCAATGGCCCAGCTGCAAAGCTAGCTGATTATCAAGAGAGCCGTGCGCAACACCCGCTCGAAATTGAGTTCCCGCCAACGGGCTGGCTCTATCTGGAACACTTACCTGCTCCCGGGCAGTCGTGGCCGCAGCCTAATATTACAAACACATCATCCACAGATCAGGAGCCAACAACTACGAACCTGTACCATAAATCGGCACATGTACGTCAACGTGGGATCCCCACTCAGGAGGAGGATTCCAGCCCCAAAGAAAGCACGGCCGATTGGGGGAACCCGGTAACCATCACCACCGGCGTCCCGGCAACCTTTTGCAACGAAAAGCACTTTGCCGACTTGATGCGAAGCATTGCCGCGCAGACAGTCTTGGCACAGGAAGTAGTCATGGTCATGAGCAATATGATGATGAAGAAGGGGCTTCCTTCTGGTAGCACGGATGAACAAGAAACGTGTCGCAGAATCTATCAAGACATGCGACACATTCTCAATGATGCCCACCATGAAGTTCGTCTCCGCCTCGTCTGTGTCAAGGATCGAGTAACCGCGGGGCATGCCCGGAACGCCATTGAGCGCATTGCATCTTCCGATATTGTGGCATACATTGATTCCGATGACATGGAACTGCCTCATCGCAATGCACTCTTGCGACAGCAGTTTACCTGTTATCCCAAACGAGTCTTGGTGCTCGGCATGCTGGAACGTAAGCCCAACAATGCCACTCAACTCGACAATGACACGAGAGAATCCTGTGCCGTCTTGCCTCCCGACACGACGCGTGGCACGCACCTGTACGACTTGACGTTTAAGCGCCAAGAAGTCTTGCACTTTTGGAGAGGATTGGGACACGGGCACATGGCTGTGCGACGACTGGCGGTCCTGGGACAATTGTCCCACACGAGCATGTACAAGGCGGAAGATTATGTCTTCATTCAGGATGTCTTGTATGCGTTTGGAAGAAATGATGATGCCGTTATTGTGCTGTACCAACCCATGACAACCTATTACCAGAGAGGAGGCAGTACCGGTGAAGTTTTACGAGAACATAAACAAGAAAAGGACCCGCGGTAATAAGTGATTGATGGATCGAACGTGGACCCGGGCAACCAACTACTACTAAAGCTACGTGTGTAGCAAGATTTACGTTTGTATGCA